AATTGATTTGTTTAGCTGAAGGGTGACGGCCAAGCATCCACGCCATCTGGCACGCGTTGTTACGTTTGTTCGTTCGTGCACAATCTATGGCTAGTTGAGAACTAATCTCCGCACCACGATTTGGTCCTGAAACATACTTCGTATTTTGTATGATCAGTTTGGTGTTTTGATTTGTCTTTGGTCTACATGGAATGAATGCTATAGAAGTTATGGGTATTAGATCTTGTGTTAGTAAACATTGTACTATCCGTGAAGTTCAGCACCCTCATCCTCTAAACCCTGTTAACTTTTCCAGATATTCAATTAGGGCTCCAGAACCACCATACTCATAGAAATATGGTGTTAATTTGTGTATACTGATTCAACCAGTTAACTAAACTATTTCCGTGGCCTGTTTAATGTCAGTATTAGAGAACTGAGGGTGACCAACTATTTGATTATGTTTTAAAAACAGTGCTTCATGTCATCTTCAGAGTTTGCATAAAAAGTGTTTGAAGACTGAAGTTAGCTACATGGCTGCGTATTGTTTCAAAAATCTTTTGTTTATGTAGGACTGTTCTATTTATTCCGGCTTGTAAAAGGAGGAAGAATACTATACCTTATGTGATTCATCAACCTCTTAAGATATCTGACAAGAATAAACGCTCTCGATGAACTAGGCAATTCAAATTTTACCACTGTTTCAAAATGAATATTTCGATCACGCTACACGCAGATAAGAATGCTAGGAACCGTATAATTCTCCCTAAATTTATGACTTCCAGGGTATTCAGCTAAAATTCAAGCACATCATGCACTAGGCTTAACTGTCACATACTACTCAATCTGGTTATTTCCCTTTTTCAAATGAAATGACACTGTTAAAATGAAAACTGAAATTGTGATAGGCTAACAGTATATCACGTTTTGCTTAGCTACTGTAATATACTAGAAAAAGAGTTCATATTCTGGTTCATGAATAATCTTGAGTGCTTCCTCCGCTTGATAACATGTCTTATACCGTCAACTGACTCCAGCTTACAGCTAGCCGTTTGGATTCTGACTTGTGTAATTGTTTCCATTCTGCTTGGAGGGTATCCACGTACGGTTGTTTATGTGAGAGAAATCAGTGAACGCTACAAAAACGAGACACCATACTGCCATATATGTACAGAAGCATGATTGACTAGTCCCGGTACACTCCTGGAGGTTTTTGTTACCTCACGCCCGGTAATAATTAGGCACGGCTTAAAGTTCAGTTAATGGAATCCTGAAACGATAGTGACTGGAAAATCGTCCAGGCTAGATTACCAACATAAGTCGACCATCTACTGGAAAACGGTGCACGAACACAAGCACCGATATTTATCAAACGTCATGAAATGGTGGCCCTATCTTAGTTATTAAGGTGCAATTACTTATGAGTAACTCTCCTAACCAACATTGTTACAGTAGGATCAACTGTGAATACATGGCACAAGCCATAGTGTCTGCGCCTTGATCCCAAGCATATCATTCAACAAAGGTAGAGGAGCACTATAAGTGGCTGAAGGGCATAATTAAGATAACTACCAGCGGAAAACTTTCTATGAAAACTATGTCTCCCGTCAGAAGCTCATTGACTGAACACGTATACAAAGCATCTCCTTCACAGTAAAATAATTTCTAGGTACAAGTAGAAACTAGAAGAAGGAGTCAGGCTACAATATGTCTAGATCTACGAGAATGGGGCAGTACACTGGTTCAAAAGGATAGAAGAACATTCAAAACGAAATTTTAAATACTGTAAACCAAATACAGGAATCTGTGCTCATTCACAGCGTAGAGGGAAGTCACTACTTAGTCCATGAGTGTTGTATGGAGTTAAAGTGGCATAGTTTCGGTAGTACCAGCATGGCTGAAGATTTTAGGTCGTCTTTACGCTGATGAGGTATATTTATAGAAGGCAGTGAGAAGATTTAGCTATAGAAAATTTGACGAATATCGTATTGGGGATGCCTGTAGACTGGCGTTCCCCATGTATAAAAACTGAGAAAATATTACTATTACATTCTTTTAAATGAACAACTTTACCGAATATTCTAACGTTTATAGCTCTCACCCCCTTCCTTTTTGTATGTGATGACCTTGCTTCGTCTGCCTATCACTCACTCTGTTTGCCCTATCTTATGTTTGTTTCAACATCCAAATCCCTCAACGCCTATACCACTTTCATAGCATTTAAATATTTACAGAGATTTCGGTTAATTCGGAGGATTGTTTATCGAGATGAAATTCGCAGTTCAAGGCAGTGCCACCGCCGTGATTAAAACTGTACACTTCCTTCTCTTATTGTGTTCAGCGTGGCTGTATCAGTTCCCGAGGCATTAGAATCTACAAAAATCTAGAAGGTTTCCAGAACAGCGGGAATCAGTCCCGAAACAGCAACACATTTATACGATCCCGTCAAAAAATACTAGATGTCGGTCATTGAGAATCGTCGATGTTTACTGTGAATTCATCAGTCGTGAATTCATATTGGAGATCGTTAAGACACATTACATGTCATTCTCTCGTTTCATAGTTCCTATATATTAAACATTTTGGGCTGAAAAGGCAGGCGAATATCACCATTTATCTCATCTGTTACATAAGAATGGAAGCTGTTGATAAAGAATAGGAAATGAGGGTGTGGTTCGCCTTTTGATCTAGTATTTAAGTGATGATATTCACGAAGTTCTAGGGAATGGTTTATAAACATTGTCAATGGTGAAATTTTTAAAGCACTAAGTATTCCGAAGAGTCTTTCTGCATCCAGTTGTTGGATATGACATGACTATAAATGGGATGTCTTGTAATAATGTGTCGTCAGGTTCACAAATTTAATGTTATGGTGTTCATGGTGAGTCAATTCAATATGAACTTCCTACTTCAATGCAGATAAACTGACCCGACATAAGTGGCAATTCACAGTCTGCTCTGGTTTCCTGAGATGTTCAATTTAGGTAAAATATGTGAGTTTTATTGATACAAAAAGGAAATGGGGGAATATGGTAGAGTATAATCTTATAATAGAATACCTTTAACTGATGTTTTCAAGTATTGGTTTTGTAGGGATCTTGTTTGACTGGTTGGAGGATTACTTCATGAACTGACATCATTTAGAGAAGCATTCAAAAACCTGCAGGGAGTACTGGACATCTACTTCGTCAGACTAGTTTGGGGTTCGTAATCAGTACGCACCCACCGCCACGGTTCAAACCCAGAACCTTCTGGTTGCACGGTGAGCTCGTAAATCACTAAGCCGCTGGGACCCGATCCAACAGCCCATGAATTCTAACTTCTGCCAATTCATGACATGGTGCGACCGCTTCGCAATGTCTTTTTCGATAAGCTACTGCCTCACCTTCATCCTGCTGTACTCCACTAGTTACTACTTTTCACCAGAACCACAGGTTAACTGCCTGAATAGGGCCGGTCGCTAGAAATCCTCCATCCAATCACAAAATCCCTACAAAACCAGTACTTGGAGATTTATCTGATGCTCACTAGCGACTGGTCCTATTCAGACAGTTACCTTGGGTTCTAGTGGGAAGCCACGAGCAGTGGAATACAGCAGATAGAAAGTGAGGCAGTAACTCATCAAAGAAGACATTGCGAAGTGGTCACGCTATGTCATGAATTGGCCGAAGTTAGAATTCGTGGGCTGTTGGATCGGGTTAGCTAAGTGGTCTACGAGCCTTGTAACCAGAAGGTCCCGGGTTCGAATCCCGATGGGTGCGCACTGCTTTAGAGTCCCAAACTAGTCTGGCGAAACAGCTGTTCAGTACTCCCTGTAGGTTTTCGAATGCTTCTCTAATCGATATCAGCTCATGATGAAATCCTTTAATTGATATGACACACATGTAATATTTTATAATAACTGATGACATTCTATCAAGTACTGTCACCAATCCTGACAGGTGTAGTGTGTATTTTGATGAACAATTCTTTGTTATGATTACTGAATTTGTTGGTAGCATCAAGATTTCCTTCAGTATTGGTATATACGATTGATGTTTGTAAACCAGATATTCAAAAATTTTCTTAATCAGAGTTATCTCACTAAGTGGAATCGGCTGAAGCCGACCTAATGCTTCCTAGTGTTAGGGGAATATGGTTTATCACAGATTGTCATTTTCCGCTTACAAGTACACAGTTTTACGTAAAAATTCCTCACGGATTTCTTCGGGAGACAAAAATTTTTAAATAGCAATATTTCGTCTGCCTGATATTATTAATGTCATCCCAAAAAATATGTAGCAGGCTGTCGTTGAAGGCAGTTAGCTCGCAGATAGGCATGAATTTGGACCAGGAATTAGGTTATGAATTGGCTAGTTGAAAAGCTTAACTTTTGAGTCTTTAGTTGCATACATGACCTTAATAGACACTGTATTCACAAAGAAATGCATAAGGAGAAGACATTATGCCACCAGTACTCTATGTATTTATCATCTGTTAACAGGTTCTATTTTTCGACTTAACCTAGGTAAATGAAATTTAAATACACGAAAATTCTCACGTTAAATCAATCTCTACAATCAAGAATTTTCTTCAGTGACAGTTAATAAAATAACCTTCCTTTTGCTGTTGGTCGAAAAGCACTTAGACTGTTTAATGGAGCTGGCAATATCACTTAAGGTTAGACAGTAGGCAATATTCATGCGTAGTCTAAGTTTCATTAAAAATGTACGCTCAGAAACCAATGAACGTTTGAATCTATGCCACATTTGTCTAGGGTAATTTCGATCTGCTACATGAATAAGTTTTGTTTTAATAGGCCAAATAAGATTTCATCTCCCCACTTTCTTTTCAACGTATTGCGTTACAGTTTTGTCCACGACTAAATCTAATCAACATTAAACACTGTCGAATTCCTCCACGAAAAATGCCATGCGAATTGTTGTAATTAATTTATACTAAATTGTTATCAGAGTCTGCTGTAATAAGCCTTACTGTGACAGCAGTTTGTCAAGATACCAGGCGGTTTTTGCTTGCATGAAATGGGTGACAGCACTGATAGCATTACACAAATAATTGAAGCTTTTCGGATTCATTCTCTTAAAATTGGTTCGGCGAGCACAAATGTCGCCTCACCACAACTGTGCTCTGATGTATGTGTGATTTTTTCTCACTTTATTTTTAGATAACTCATACGCCCGAAAACAAAGTAATTTACTTCATCCACAGAGTTGCTGAATTTGTGAGGCTCTGTGCTGTTGCAAAGCCTCTGGAAACTCACGCTTTAAGCAAGCTTCTTCAAGAGATTGTCTCACCCTATTTGACTTCAAATGTTGTGTCATCACTTCTAAGTCGTATTTATCAGTCTACAGACTGTTGGGTATCTGTTTTTTGATATTCTTCTAAAGCTTCAAGCCCTCTTTTTCAGCTGGATTTTTCGAAATTTTGCATTTATTGCCATACACTGCATCACCGCACGCCTATTTCAACTTTCCGGATAGTGAGAGTTCTGTATGTTATATTTTTTTTATTTATTCATTCAGAATATTGCTTTACCTCCAACGGATAAATGGCCTTGTCAAAGTGGTTGGACGTTTCACTGTTGGTTATACAGATATCCATCGGCTAAAGCCAACAATAAAATTAATTTATACTGGTAGCTTTGTTGTCATTATGTTTCCTAACTATCTTACTTAAGTTTTCAGACTTGTGATCGTCTAGGATTTTCAGGATATTTTGTAAATGATGTTTTCTTCCTATCTTTAACTCGAAACAAAGGGAAGATCGATGAATTCCCAGTAAATTTCAATTTCCATCCACATGAGGTTTGAACACTTTATTTAATAACTTCCACGAAATCTAGTGGTTTATGATTACAATTGTACATTCATTTGCCCGTTGGAGTGGTAGCAATATTTCATGCTATGTTAATGGTGTTTTGGTGTCAAACTTTGATGTTACTTGGCATTTAAATTCCAGTGAGGTATGTTAAGTGTTGAGCATTTCAACTCGCTACATTCATATTTAGTTTACATATTTTAAAATAGAACTGAGAAAGACATTCATTTATGTTTATTTCATGTTTTTTAAAGTTCATCGGTATCTACTAATCTTTAGGACTGCGTATTTTTTGATATGGTGTTTGAATGATGTGTAATTTCTCAGTTTAGAGTGTACCGCATGAGTAGCATGCTGTTACTAACATGTTATAATGATATATGATGACATATATCCATTCTTATTTCATACAGTATTGAGAAAATACAGGTAATTGGCTAAGTGCATAACAGGCTCAATTTTCTCCTATCAGCGAAAGTGGAGCAATGTGATCCATATAATACGATGTAATGCTGTGATATATATACATATTTGTGCAGAATTGTTTAATGAACGGCTCTTCAGTTGTGTACTATTACTTATAATAGCATCAATGTCTTGGTTTGAATACAAACTGCTAGTAGTGGTCAGAATGTTATCCAGAAAATTATACCCTGTTATTTCAAATAATCATACAGTAAGGCTTCTTTCTGTCCTAGCTATTTACTGGTCTCTTAAAATGACGTCTTCCTGATGTAATGGTGACAAAGATGTGATCAGCCACGTCTGTCAAACTATTTACATTTTTGTTGTATTGATAATCATTGCAAGTTATTTTGACGCCTTCGTAAGGCGAAAACAAACTATACTTGTTCAGATGCTAAGTTATCGGAAGGGAATTATCTTTTTTTATTTCTGACTTCTTTAGACACTAAAATGAGTGGTCATTAAAATGTTATGCTGAAGGCCCAGGTGTTGTATATTTGCAGAAACTGGTGATTCGTCTTATCAGTATTACAGACTATGAGACCGTTCCATCTCACGGACCGGATCTCATAGGGCTCAAAGAAAATGATAGGCATGGAACTGGTTCACACATAACGTATGCAATCGCACGAATTTTTCTGTTATAATGTATGAATACTGGCTGGAATATTGCGCACTTCTTTTAAATGAGTTGAAATTGCTATGATGGTGCACTTTAGATTATAGTAGTCACAATCTGTAAGGCTTCCTTCCTCCTTTAAGGCTGAGGGATTTATCTTCCGCGCTGATAAGGTAGCTGTAACTGTCCGATCTATGCACACTGTTATGAAACTCTCACTTGATAAATGTCACAGATGATTGTATCTGCACGATAAAAACACATTAAAAGAGCAAAAATGACGGGTTGCATTTATCTCATAAAATACCTCTTCGATGTGTGTGCATGTTAAGTTGACACATAACTTTGAAGAGTGTATGAAGTGTTACATCTCTTTAAAGAATAATAACCTATAGAGCTGAAACTAGACAGTATGGCTCAACATTTTCGTCTAAATTTGATAGTCAGCTACCCTAGTTTGAAGTATGAGCCTTTTCCAAATGATTCACTTTTGAATGTATTAGTGTTCACATTTATTTACTTGATGGTGTTATGTTAGTAAAATCATGCTCTTGCTCTTTAATGTAGAGGTATTTGTCTGGTTTAAAAATTTCACTCATTTTATTTAGTCTGCTTATACCTTTCATCGTTCTTCGTTTTTTTGTACCTAGATATTCAAGACATGTCTTATTGGTCAATCAAGTGATCCAACTGATGGCAGTAGTTGCTTTAGCGGACATATATCCATTATAATGGGATTTATGGATGTGCTGACTTCCGAACAAATCAGTTACATTTATTCGTTAGGTCCAAAGTATCAGGTATTTTATACTGAAATTCTGTCTACTTTTGTGCTAAAATTACTTATTTGTTAATTCAGTTGTGGTGGATGTTTATCATACTAGGAAGATGAAATATTGTTTCTCAATGATAAGATTGTTTCAAGGTTTTCAACTCTTTTTTTTTAGACTAAATAAGACGAAATTAATTATCATATTTGCTTTTCCACTGCGGCATGTTTTTTTGACTTCTTGAGTTCAATGATAGCATTATTCTCAACACAACTGACTGATTCGTTTCAATGTAGAACCTTGCACAGATGTGCAGCAGTTCAAGTTGCCACTCTCCCTCCATGTAGCACACAAAGCAAGAGAAAAGAGTAAGCCGAGATTTAAAAGAGAAAGATAATAAACAGTAGTGTGGGTGAGGCGAAAAGAATAGTAATATGGAAGAACAATGTAATTTTATTGGATATGACAAACCACAAAGAGTGAATGCCTCTGCGTCATCAATGAGAACGATTTTGAGCCATATCACCAATTGTTTCCAGCCGTCATTGGTTTTACCATCCCGAGGACCCCAACCAGACAGTCAGCCTACATCTTCCTACGTGGCCTAAACTAACTGTTGTGGATTACATTGATTGATGAAGCCATGTTTGGTTGACCACCACTGGCTCTTTTCAAACCTGATCCTATGTCAGCTAATATTGACCGTTGAAGAAGGCGATGCCTAGGCATACACAAACATATGCTGACAATGTCATGAATGGATTGGAACTATTTTACGCCAGCCTTATGAAGAATTCTACTTTTATTCTATCGGCTTTCGACTCCTTATTATACATAATTTTTGCATCATTTACATTACTCCTCTCAACCTTCTTACGGATCTTTATACATATTTGAATAAATTCTGGTGGGTAATTTTTCACTGTTAATGTTTATTTTATTTACTTGATTTCATCGTTCAAATCTGAACTATTAGTTAGGTTCTTGGCTCGATTATATGAACACTTAACTAAACCTACTTTTACCGATTTTGAATGGGATGAATGAAAGTCTTAGCATTTATGAGAATGTATCGGTTCTCTATAAATGTTATTAGTATCTAACCCACCATATTGTTTTCATTTAATTGTACAGTCTAGCATAGCTGACTCATCTTAGTCATTTTCTGATTCCAATTTGAATCCGATTGCATCTACTACTGAGGTTTCATGTATGCGTCGGTGGCACAGTGGTTAGGACTCTCGTCGACCATACACATGGTCCGGGGTTTGATCCCCTGCCGACGCACACCCGATATCTATGGTCGGCCTGTAAATTTGGGCTGCCGATATCCATGCTGAAAATTCCATACTTGTACTAAAAATACTGTGTGGCATCAAGCTGTAATCAAAATAAAAAAAAATAAATGTGTGAAGAACGTAGGGATGCGTTCAGATTAATATCTAGTTCATTCCAAACTGTTTCCAGAGCTTCTTTAATCGGAATGCTGTTAGTGTATAAACTTGTTACGCCGAAACTAACAATTTTTTTCAGCCTTTTCTATTTGAACTTGCTCTAACTTTTGTTTCATTAGGTCTAAATTAGTTAGCCTAGAATCTAACCGATCGCTAATGAGATAAGTGATTTTGATGCTAATTACCTTGGAAACTCATAGGTCAGGTATTCCTAAAGTCAACTGTTGGCGTAATAAGGTTTCCTGCTTTATGAATAGTACCATATATTCTACTAGGATTATTAGTCCTAGTCATTAAGTTCAACAATTTTAACTCATTGAGAAATGACTTCATTCTGCTCTAGATTTTTTGATTTCATTCATATTTGTGTCTACAGATTTCTTAATCTCTGCATATGTACGTGTTTGAATATGTATATTGATCTTGTTAATATAATCTGACATATCCATAATTACTATTGAATTGTCTAGTTTGGCACTTACGATGTTCTTATCATCCCTCAAACTTTTTTAGAGTTGATTTTTCTTCTTGTAATAAGCTCTTTGTCGCTTTCTTTTTGTGTTTCAGTATCAACGTCATCCAGTTAGTAATACTGTATCACTGTGTGTGTATTGTGTGTGTTATACCAGATAAGCTTATCTAATGTAAAAATGTTTTCTGTATATTACATTTTTAAGTTGTTGTGACGAAAACTTTGTCATATTCTACACCTATGCTTTTCCAATGTATTATTATTATTATTGTTGTCCCCTTGGGTTCCAGGTGGAACAAAGTGCTTCAACAGCACATCTCCACTGCGTCTTGTTCTCTGCAGTCCTCTTTACTTGGCCCCAAGATTGCCCATAGTCTCTCATATCCTCTCACAATCTCCTCCATATCACCCTCGGACACACGCCTCACTCGTCGTTTCCCATTCCGGTTCCATTCGAGGGCGTTTCGAGCTATGTCATTCGATGGTCTGCTTCTGTATATTTATTGATTATTAGGTTCTTGATTGGTTCGTCCCTAGAGTTTCTTGTTGCTAATTCATTCTGGTCATTTAATCTTCAATATGGAGCCAGTGGAGGCAGCTGTTGATAAAAGTCTGTAACCTGTTAGAAATGCTTTCCGTGATGCGCCAAGTTTCTGCCCCATTTAGGAGAACTAACTTAACATTTGTGTTGCAAATTCGAATTTTGTTCTTCATGCTGAGTGCAGAAGGTTTCCGAACTGATTTCAGAATGATGGTGGTCTATCTTGACTTTCCGACTGTGGTTTTGTATCGTTGCCTGTAGTTGAAGCGATGCTGCCTGGCCGGATAGGTGTAGGAACAGACGTCTTTCAAATTTACTCCGTTGATGGTGATTAGTGCTTGTTGTTGTTGTTGTTGGTTGGTTGGTTGGTTATTTTCATCACCACCGTCTTCTCTATGTTCACTTGGAGTCCTGTCTTCGCCGGCTGCTTCTTCAACCAGCTTGTTGGTTTTCACCTGTAAGTCTTCGAGTTCTGTTGACATTAGACATAGATCATTCGCAAAATCCGGATAGTAGTAACGTTCTATTATGTCTGTTCTGTCTTCCTTTTCTTGCTATTTTAAATCATGGTTTACTACTAGGTAAAGTTGTATATCTTCATCCAGTAAGTCATACTCACTGTAGCATTTGTGATAGGCTTAATTTAGTTTATAAAATGCCCATGTGAAACCAAATAGCCTACCGATATTTCGTAATTACGTTGATTGACGTACTCCTCTACCTCGCTCGCTTAGCTGGTAGTAAGCCCAACAAAGAGGGGAGGTGGGGCGTGAGGCCAGCAACCCCACCCAGTAGAAAAAGGAATAACATCACTGCTACTGAAGCTCCAAAGCTCTAGCTTGAACCCCCATGTTTCACTGGGAACTCAAGTCATTCAAAATAGAATCAACGGGATGTATGTTCCCGGCGAAATTGCGTTTCAACAGCTTTATAGTCTTACTAATGGTGTTTTTCTTTCCTTAACAAAAGTTTTGTGATTAGTGGAAAAACAGGCAACCCTGGCTTCTTTTTTGGACAAGTATTCCTGCTTAGATATTTTGTAGAAGTGATTAGCTCAATATCTACATTTAAAAAAACATACTTGAAATTCAATAAACAAATATGTGTCAACCTGTCTTTTTGCCAGTTTTTAATGAGTTCTTCGTTGTGACAGTAAAATCTAAGGTCATTGCCTGCAAAAATGGAAACTGTCACAGTTTCTTAGGCATTATTCATAGAGTTTATTATACAAGTACTCAGAAAAACAAAAATTGACACTGAGGCCACCACGGTAGTAAAGCAAAGGTTGGATAAAACGTTTTTGAACACAAATTTAAAGTTTTTTTTTTTTACTATGGATCACTAAAGCTTGGGCTGTATGATGAAGATGTGGGAGGAATCCTTTTAAACGGCTTGGTTTTACTTTATAATATGACTCTGAATGGAGTGTCTTATGATACTGCTTGACCAGAAGTTATAATGTGCTCCAGAAATGAGCTGTTGAGTAAGTGTTCATGGACATGTCTAGATAATGTCCTGCTGCCACGGCTGCACAGAAGCAAATGAATTGGTAAATGCACGTTGAATTTGCCAACAACGGAATCTTTTCTTTGACGTTCTGGTTAATAAGATTATGTGTGGAGAAGGTGAGGAGTAGGGATGCAGCAAAGAACTTTCTTCAAATTACTCTCGACAGACGGCTTCGGAGAACTTCACTAATTGTATCCCTCTTGGATTTTAAAGTTTGGATTATTTTTTTCTTTGGCACATACCGGTTTCGCAGAGTATTTGTCTTTTTCTTTAGATGTTCAGTGGATAAGGTAGGTTGGATATCCATTTTTTGATTAAGTGTTTCTAAAGGATTCCAATTCCTTACTCAATGTATCTTCACTGCATATGCAGTAAATTCTCTTCTCAAGAGAAGCCATGAGATTTCTTTTTCTGCTTATTAGGACAAAACTGTGAAAGTTTGTCAGCAGTCCATTCCATTTTGGCTTGTTAAATTCCATAGTTAATTGTAACAAAGAAGACAAGGGCAGGCAACAGATCGTTATTAAGGAAATCAACAATAGTTATATATATTAAATAATTGTTATTATCCTATTTTTCACACATATTGAGACATAAACATTGACGTCAATTACTGTCTACAACTTTGGCTAGCAGCTAGCACTCACCACAAAATGACTTTTCTTAGATAGCACACATCGATACACGAATACAATAAATAATAATGTGTCACTTTAGGAAAAACAAACTAAAGGAACATTGTCTTATGGGATCATACTCTACCATAGTACCTTAGTTCTGTTCTTGTGTGTGTGTGTGTTACGGTTTGCAATAAATCACCCATACATATGAGATCTGCATAGTTGCAAGTCTTAACTTCATTGGAAGTAGTGGTGAAATTCAACACTATTATGACAGTTCACTTTTGTCTTGAATAACTTCATTTCAAAATAGACTGATAACGTGCTTACTTTGCTCTACGAGGCACATTCGATTCTTTTCTTTATTTGAGGAATTCGGGGTTTTGTTTGGTACAGTCCAATAGGCGTTCTCTGCATCGGTAGTTCAGGGATAAAATGTCCGCCTGTCACGCACTTGGTCCGGGATTCCCAGAGGACTCACTCTTAAATCTTGCCTAGCCGGTGTTAAGTCAGTAAAAGAGGGAAAGTTGAGCTTGAGACTAGAAACGTCACCCTATAAAAACAACACAACTGCTACTGAAACTTCAAAGCCTAAAGAACATGCTTGAAACCCTATGTTCCACTCGAAACGTGAATGGAACCAAATGAAATGCATGAATAGAAATTCTGTGTGGCATGATCTCTGATGTTTTAAGTACTCTTCGAGTGAATAACTTATGTTAGTATTAATTCATTTAAACTTATAATTTCTGGGGATTATCATTTTCTGTTGGCATGTAGGCTTATAGGACGGATTTCGCGTTTATTCCTTTGAATACACTTCGGTCTCTAGCTAACAGTGGAATCTAAAAAGCGCATCTTATCTCCTTCTAACTGATTAGCTCTAAACAGAGTGCTGCACGAGTCTTACAAATAAGATATATATATTTCTGTTAAATTTCTGAGTGACCCTAACGTGAACTTCTGTTTTTCCATGAGTCATTTAAAAGCATTTTGTACAGAATACCAAAGTATTTCTGCTTTAGATTGATTTAAAAGTTAAGAAGTTAGGTAATAACTGTTTGTTAAACTATCATAGCCAAAACCACAGTGACCTTGAACAACCAATCAGAATTCAGATGCAAAAAAGTCGCATAATCGTTGGAAAATACATTAAAAAAATATTGCAAACGCGATATTACACAGTATAGTTGTAGCATTATGTGTTGTAAGAATGTCTCCCAGTCACTAGACAGATGATCTATAGAGAAATCATACCATGCGTGATAGATGCATTCATTCAGGTGACTGTAGGTCATGGTAATTTGAGATCCATTGATATTTCTTACACTCTTCTCCAACCTACTCCTAACTCTAACCATAATCCTAACTTTAACCTTGAACCCTAGACCCTAACCCTTAATCTTAAAAGCCATAACCCTACCTAACAGTATAGATTTGCAGAAAAAGTACGTAGTAAATCAGCAGAATACTGTATCTTTCCCCTCCAAGTCCCAAAAGGCAGGCATGATTTGATTTGGAATGACATTTCTTTGCATTCCCTGTGTCTGACCGGTGCTTGAACGTCAACTTTTGACAGGGCCTTGACTTTGGCTATGGTACTTTAACTTCTCCAAATGTCTACTTTGAGCTGTTGACACAGAATAACATACCTAAATGTTCATCACCTCTGGTCTTGAAGTACTGACTTTTGAGTTCACTAGAAAGTGTTTGGCGTGGTTGTTAGTAATACTTTCAGGAATTGCAGGAACTTAAGGCCTCTGGTAGAGGTTTCTTTTTACAATATTTCCATTTGTATTTTGTGCTAGTCAATTTACTTTTATGTAATCAAGTAAAACCATGTTGTGTTTCTTTCTTCACTTTTTAGGGACAATTTCGTTTTGAAACGGAAAGCTGTGATGAGTCAGTTTCTAATCAAAGCAAAATTACGATTGACTTAAACAAGCTACACAATTCCCTTGTATTTGCATACAGTCCTCTTGCTTCTGATGGTCGGTTGTGTTTGAATCAGGCTGTGAATTTCCACCAGTCGAGTCAGACATCACTACACGCTATAATGAATGGGGTAAGCCTTTCATTAATGTTGTTTATAGTAGTAGTAGTATTGCTGTAAGTAATTTTTTCACTAAGGTTTTAGAATTCGATTAAGCTTATACAGGCGCTTTCTTTGGACATGTTGAAAATAAAACGTTATACTGTCGTTCTTTTACAACTAATTTATCTTTTTGATGAATCATTTTTGCAAGAGGTGTACATTCTTATTTATAGAGAAGTTATCGAAAAGAATATATTTTGTTCAGTTATCAGTCTTTTGAAATTTCTAATGGTGAACCTTTTTAGTCAGTTATTCAATTGAACAGCTGTCTCGCCCTAGTTTGGGACTCTTCAGCAGTACGCACTCACCACTGGGTCGGATCCCAGTGAATGAAAGGTTTATGAGCTCACCTCGTAAAGGAAGGTCCTGGATTCGAACTCAAGCGTTTGCGTAATGTCCAGTAGCCGCAGATTTCCATATGGGTTCTCTAACTGATGTCAGCTCGTGACCAGTCCTGTAACCGATGGAATCCCTGCAAACCAACACTTGATAATTATTTAATTGATGAGAATTTATGTTGGAATCTTGGCTTATGGATATCGTAAGTTTAACTCCACCACTGAATACCGACCTACCTTTCACATCCTGGTGGTGCGGATAAAGTCGTCGTATTTTCTGCTAACTTTTTATTGGTCGAACCATAGTTCAGGGTCATGTCTATCAAACTCTGGTAACACTTAACCTTCGTCGGTATTTCAGAATCGAAATCCGCAGAAATAGTTTTTTAAGTCAGATTCCATAATGGTTGGATGAGTAACACGTATGGACAAAAAGACTCGTAGAAATAACCATAAGAGACATATATATGAAGAAGAAAGAAGACGTGAACAGCGGAGAAAATTTCCTTTTCGACGATTCATTTTCAAAAGCTATACAATCGTATTTCAACTTAACAAATTATTCATAAAACCAGTCAGATGCTGATAACTTTGTTCTAGAAAGTGTGAATCACACATAATATGAGGTTTAATCTAGAAGGGAATGAACAAGTGGAGACTAGAAAAAGAGGGGCAAGGATAAAATGACGTAATAAGTGTGAAAAATGACTAATCAGTATAAGTGCACAAACTGGGCAAAAACTAATGGAGAAATGGTAAATTTTTTATTTAAAATCTGAAGGAAAAAATGCGATTTTATCATAAAACAATAATATTGATTACGGAATCATAATAATAAACTTAAACAATAAAATGAAACGAAATTGTGATAACAAAACGTTACTCTGACCATGGTAAGGTGATGGAATGTGTGTAATGCTTTTGAACATAGAGATCCGGTTGCAGGTCCGTAATAACCAGGGATTCGGCTATATAATAAATTTTACAAGTTGATCACGGATTGATATCAGTTAGAGAACCATTGAAAGCCAGCAAAACTGGACAGCTGTTTCATCCTAGTTTGGGAATCATCGGCAGTACGCACCTACTGGGGTTTGAACCCAGGATCTTCCGGTTACAAGGCAAGCTCGTATACCATTTAGCCACTGGGATCCGATTCAATGGCTCATGAATCCTAACTTCTACCAATTCGTGATTTAGCGCGACTCCAACCAATGTCGTTGGTGGGACATCCATCCCCACACGTGACTGGATGGACCTCACTGGTCACTGGTTAGAATTCATGAGCCATTGAATCGGGTCCCAGTGGCTAAATGGTATACGAGCTTGCCTTGTAACCGGAAGGTCCTGGGTTCAAACCCCAGTAGGTACTGCCGATGATTCCCAAACTAGGATGAAACAGCTGTCCAGTTTTGCTGGCTTTCAATGGTTCTCTAACTGATATCAATCCGTGATCAACTCATAAAAACATAACTAACCCTTACAAACCAAATATAGAAAATATATAATAAATGGCTTATTTGAGGTCCTTTCGTGCAATATTGAGAAACTCTGTGTAGCATTGTGAAGCAATTAATTAAAGAAATGAGGCGTAGCGAAAGTCCGAAAAGTGCGGATGTTTTATTTATCTTTCTTAAGTGTCATATATATATATATATATATATATATATATATATATATATAGTATCTTTTTGTGAAGCTGAGTATTTTGTAGTCAGCGTCTACTCTCTCACTAATTATGACTAACCGAGTTTCAATATAGAACATTATACAGAAGTGTACCAGTTCAAGTCGTCACACCATGTAGCACACAAGAGTAGACGAAAGAGAGAAAAAGAGATTCAGAAGGACTATATTAGACGGAATTGTGCAGGTGGGAAAACAGTTACATGGTGGAAACATGATGGTTCAGTGAATATGGGAAGTCACATAGAATGAATGCATCTGTCAGCTAACATTGCTCATCGCGGAAGGCGATGGCTCGGAATGAGCAACACATGTCCCAGCCATCTCAATCGATATAGCTTCACAACTCCATCGACTGACATACCCTTCCTAGCTAACATGCTACGCCTAACCTCCAAATTACACCACCTAAAGGGGGAGGTAAGAGGCAAACATGTGTGGTCGAAGACAGCCAGTCTTTTCATGTCATCCACTTTCAATGACCATAAAGAAGGACAGAGTGAAGTGTTGCGCAATACACACGTCCTTGGATTGGTAACCTGATTTGACGTCCACTTTACAGGTGGCATAAACTGGCAATTGCCACAAGAGCTTTCTGTATCCGTATAGAAGTTTCGCCAACAATCAGTCCTTTAGATCTGATACAACTTCCCAAATAATTGAAGTGATCAACGTGCTATACCTCTTCACTCCGTATCTTCAAGCTAGGAGTGAGAACAGTACAGTCATGAAGGATCATCTTACTTTTGATAGGAGAGAATCGCATGCCAGACATTCGAAGATTACTTTGTGAAGTGTTTAGAAAGGTGCTTATTGAGTGCTACTCAGATGAATTTATATCTAATATCAGCTGTCACTGATAACCATTCCTCAGCGTATATTAACGTTGATTGTGGTGATACATTGTATGGTTTATTGCATGTCAGTTTCAACATGCATACATCTTTGAAAATAATACAGCTTTTAATTTTAAGACCAAATAAAAATGTAAGAATACTAAAGAAAACAGAAACCTTTGCGCTGATATATTGAAACATTTCAAATTCGAATATCTAGAAATAATCATACTCCTAATTGTCCGTCCTCATTTGTCTAACTAAATGTCATTTTTTACATAAACTTTATCCTCATATTCTCATCGATGGTTTAGCGGTATAATACTGGCTAATCACATAGATGGTCTATGGTCCGATTCCTGACCGACGCACTCCCTAACCTCATTTAGCCGGTAGTTAGCCTGGTAAAGAGGAAAGGTTGGACATAAGGCCAGCAACCTCACCCCATGAAAGAAAGAATAACACCGCTGTTACTGAAATTTCAAAACTTGGAGCCCTATGTTCCAATGAGAATGCAAAGGAATAAAATAAAAGTAATATAATAGTATCATCAATACTGACATGACTTAACCAACAATAATGACAAATGATAATGCATAGTACTATCATTAATGGCTATGAAACTCTATTATCTTAAATTCTTGTCTTCTTTTAGAATGTTTCTGCTGTGATAAGTTTAACCGTGCCAGATCTACTCATACGACTTGGTGGTATCCAACTATTGTACCCTTTGTTCAATCGTTTAGACTGGTCAGTTGAAAAGTCTAACTGTCTTGACAATGAAACAGATCTTTCAAAGATACTTTCACTTCATCCATCCTTTGCAAATCTCCAACCATCTACACCAGAAATTCAGTAAGTATTACTGTAAATAATTTTGTATTTGTTATCATATATAAATATTTTTTGGCAAAACTTGATTCACCTTAGTTCATATTTCTACTAATTATAACATTAGGGGGGGGGGGAAGTATTTCATAAGATTTGATTTTAGCGGCTATAGTTATTTATTTTGAATAAAGAAAGAACGAATATATTTGCAGGATAACACGAGGTCGTTTTATTCGGTGATCAAAGAATTATCCATAAGAACGGAAAATAGAATTAAAGGTTGAAAAGAACAAGAAGTTCAGCAAAGATGTTAATCTTTTCGGCAATTTCATTCTCAAGAGCTGTACAATCGCATTTATATAGATAAGTTTACATAGATACAATTCTTATTTGTTTAATTCCACATGGTAACGAAGGTGATAATAATTTTCAACTTGATATGAAAGTTTGAAGGTACGAATATAGATTACAAGGGGCTTAGAGACAAGATTGCATAGGATTAGAAAACAGTTACAAAGTATGCAAAATTAATATTTGATAAGTGGAGAAATAATAGTTTTAAAGGCAAACAAAAGGTGATAATTGTTTTCAACTTGATATGAATTACAAGAGGCTTAAAGCGAATTACAGGTGTGAACAAAATGAGCATGGAAACAAATTGAGATCAAAATTTTCAACTTGAAATGTAAGTTAGGTGTGAATATAGATTACAAGAGGCATAGAAACAAAAAATTACGCAGAATTAGAATATAATTGTATAAATGGTTATTCTAAACGGATTAGAAGTGTGATCAGGAGAAGCATAGAAACAAACTTAAAATAACTGATTTTATAACTGAAAAAATGGGATAAATTGAATGAAGACAAAGAGAGAAAATTACACACACAGAGAACAAAAACAACTGAAGGATAAGGGAACATACCGAACTAGGTCCACGGTAGTTGTAAAGGCTGGACTAGTTTCTTTTGAACACATAGCTCCGGCTTTTCGATGCATATAGCGAGAGCTTCCGCAGTACAAAGAAGTCGGAAACACACTGCCTTTGGTAGATTTTTGTTTACTTTGTAAATAACTCTGAATGATGAGTCAGTTGAGATTCTGTGACAGGTATTAATGAGGTGTTCAGTTATTGCGCTTCTGATTGAACTAGTGCCTCCTCTTTGCAGCCACGCTGGATGATGTTCTCTAACGCGTTTTGATAAGACCCGCATAGAGCGACCTATGTACCTAGCTCCGCAAGAGCAGGTGACCTGATATATGCATAGTGAAGTGGTCATATGCGAAAGTCTATCTTTCCCGTTGCTCCGAAGTGGTGGGCGGCTAGAGAATATCACTCTTAAAGTTGCTGCCGGAAAATTCTTGTTCCGGGATTTGGAGATTCTCCTTTTAAGGACATCTGCTGCTAGGTCTCCTCTGAATTCCAGATTCAAATAGAGTGTCTTCTTTTGCACTGAAGTGTATTCTTCTCTTTTTGGCCTTGGTTTCATGTTCTTCTCCACGAAACGCGGTGGGTATCCATTTTGAACCAGGATGCTTTTTAGGAATAGGAGCTCTTCTTCTAAACAGTCATCACTACAAATTCTTCTGGTGCGGTGGGCTAGGGAGGTGCATTAAAAAGAACATTTTCCACCGTTAGACTCATTCCACTTTCTTACACAGTATGCTCGTTATCCCAGTCAAAAGAAGATAAGTATCCTGCTCCGCATGCCAACTCCAGCTTCATTTACCAATTCACCTTCCCTTGCGGTACCAAGTATATAAGAAGGACTGATAGGAGAGCGTCTACTAGATTCTCTGAGCATATCCTATAAAAGTCTCCATTTGAAAGGCAGGAAAGTATTCTCAAACTGTAGAAACTAGTCAGGCTTTCGAAATAGTCAATACACAAAGAATGGGAAAGCATGGTTACTTCGGTTCTCGGAGGCCACTTTTTATGAAAGTACTTCGACCCAGCCCATGTATACAAAAAGATGGAGTAACTAATCTCTCACTAGCCTGGTAACCGTAATTGTTTTGTTCGTGTGCTTTGGTGTTTTGTTCTGTTGCATAACATTCCGCTCAATCTTGACTCTAATTTTCACTCACTGAGTTGAACTCACTATGAAGGTTCCAAATCCACTAAATTAAATTATTTTATCTATTGTATAATTTTATTTCACTATTCACCCCCACCCTCCTGAACTCTTCACCATAATATGTAAAAGTTCACTCTGTTGTTCTCTCTTGTATTTTGTCTCTAATTCATCCTTGTTTCCAAGCGTCGGTGGCACAGTGGTTAGGACTCTCGCCGACCATGCACATGGTCCGGGGTTCGATCCCCTGCCGGCGCACACCCGATATCTATGGTCGGCCTGAATTTGGGCTACCGATATCCATGCTGAAAATTCCACACTTGTACTGAAAATACGGTGTGGAATCAAGCTGTAAATCAAAATAAAAAAAAAATATGAACTCTACTTCCTTGTCTAATTACCATATGAATAGTTACTCTTTTAACATTAAATAATTGTCTACTTATATCATCTTTGCCTATGCTTTCTGTCTTTAACTTGAAATTACTGTAAGACACCATTTTGTAACATATAATTGATTTATTTAGGGTGTAGGCAGTTGAAGAGAGAGAATCCATGGAATAAAACTAGCTCGTATTATCCTGTCCGCCAATATATTCGTTCTTTCTGTATTTAAACTAATAAAGGGAACTAGTTGTATGAGAAACATTTATTTATGCTTTATTTTTCGAAAGTGACTTTGAAAGAGTGCGACTTTTACTCTTCAATTCGTTTCATATGTCACTGTCACTGTCAAATATTTACATTGATTTCAATTTCGATCACGATTGAACTTCAGTTAGAGAACTACTGGTAACCAGGGTGTACTAGTAAGCCGTTTCATCCTTATCTGAGACTCTTCAGTAGTACGCATCTATAACCTGAAGGATGTAACTCAGGACGTTCAGGTAACAAGGCGAACTCATATACCATTCAACCACTTAGACGGAAATTCATCAGTTCTAATTGGTTTTCAATGATCTCTTTATAATTGATGTTTGGTTTGTGACGAAGCCAAAAAATTGAAATCAAACTTATATTGATTGTTTTATCCTTACATGCGGCACATTGATTCAAATCAAGAATGTTATCTATTGTTGTCTATTCTTGTCTAGCTGATAACTTTATTTTGTAATTAGCACAAAGTACAAATAATGCTAAAAAATTTAGCTTAATGTTTCATTTCTTAACCGTACTATTGACTGACTGACTGGTTGCAACATAGAACTTTGCACCGATGTGCAGCAGTTCGAGTCACCACACTCCTTATAGCACACAAAGCAAGAGAAGAAAGTAAAAAGAAATGGAAAATAGAGACAGTAAACAAAGATATGAGGCAAAAAGAATAGTAATATATGGAAGAACAATATAGTTTTATTGGGTATTATAAGTCACAAGGAGTGGATGCATCTGCGCCACCAATCAGATCGATTTCGAGCCATATCACTGATTGTCTCCAGCCATTGGTGTTTACCGTCCCGAAGACCCCAACCAGGAGGTCTACACCTTCCTATGTGACTTAAACCAACTGCCAAAGATTTCATTGACTGATGAAGCGATGTTTCGGTTTGACCACCACTAACTCTTTCTCTTCGCAACCTTATCCTATGTCAGCTAGCATTTTTACTTTTAGCATTTTTACTTCCCGGCTGCCCACACCGTGGAAATTGATTGAGTCTTCGGGTACCTGAAACAGAAAGAGGGTTAGTATTGCGTGACCGCAGAGCCCAGAGGAGAACTGCTTGAGGCCGGTCACATACGGCCTGTATGAACTGCTTTTTTGGATTGGTTCCGTATTAGTAAACTCACCACCGGTTACGGACGACCGTAGGTGGGTTAAGCCGGATTTGGACCTTTTCTAACTCCCTCTTTCCAGAGTGGAGAAACAGCATAGCTGGCTGGCATGCTGATCACTTGAGGGAAACACCCTACTGCTGTTATATCCCTGTTCCCCAGCAGTACGACTTCGCCCACAGACCCACAGTATAGTGTAAAAAAATTCCTTACACTATGCCGGTAACTGCTTTTAGTCTAATCGCTATCTTAACAACCTTCCTGGCATGGTAGGACCTGTAGGAACAATAGTTCCGGGGCAGTGTTGCTTGTTGGGTCATTGCGGTATGCAAGCCTGACCACTATTACGTCAAGGTAGCAGCTATCGGTTGGGAAAACAACCTCCTGTTTCGGTCTGGGCGTCTAGATAGTATATATATTCCAGTACTCGCACAAACTATGAGACTTTGTGTAGCTCATCACTTAGCGCTCATATTGTGCACGAAGTTTATTTTACTAATAATAACGATATTAATAATGGGCTTTAATATATAACTGAACGATTTGTTATTTTTGTTTTCTCTCTCTTCTTCTATTTTATAGAACAATTTTAGTTCGTCTCATTTTCAGTCTAGTCCGTACATCGATTACATTGAGAAATCAGTTTATTACAACTAAAGGTCTACTTATCATTGCTAATGCTCTGAATCAGTCTGAGGCAAAACACCTAACAATGAGTCTATTGGATGAAATTATCCAGTTTACACGTTATCTATTAAAAAGAATCAGTTCAACTCAAAATAATAATATTACTGTTGATGATGGCGATAATAATCATGGTCATAATCATAATAATAATAACAGCACTTTGAATATACACAATAATCTAATAATGAATTCTAATGTTCATATTATACTACTGAAACAAATGTATGGTTATTTAATAAGTAATTCGGAACTCTGGTGTCGAGCAACAGTTGATGTGAGTTGGATTTTTTTTCTTTCGTAAATTATCTACAATTACAGATAAATTATGATTCCCACTAATAAATATATTATTATTATTATTGTTCCCTTGGGTTCCGAGTGGAACATACGGATTCAACTACACATCTCCACTTTCTTCTATTTTCTATCATCCTCTTCAGCTGGGCCCACAATTGTCCATAATATCTCATCTCTTCCTCACACGATCTCCTCCATTTACGACCCATTCGGATTCCACTCTAGCAATGGCCTGCATTGCGCGTGATGTCATTTGACGGTCTCCTCAACGTATGCCCGGTCCATCTACATTTTCTCCTACATATTTTTTGAGCAATCGGCTCTTGCTTGGTTTGTTGCCAGCCAGCGTTTCTTGCTGCTAATTCTTTCTGGCCAAACCTTGGTGCGTGGGGTGGGTTCGAACCCGTGGCCCACTGGTAGGAAGTGGCATAATTCAATTATTATTTTATTTCAAGTATATTATGTAATAGTCATATGCAACAACTGTGATACAGAAATCGACACTAAGATTTGCTTTGGTGCATAGAAAGCTATGGATCATTAGTCTGAGCACAGTTGACTTTCAACCATCAGGTTACCTGTCATCCAAGGAAAAGCAGTTAGGTTGTATCCAAATGTTAATGTTGGTCAGCTGACTGACTGACTGGTTTCAGCGTAGAAATTTGCACAGAAGTGCAGTAGTTCGAGTTGCCACACTCCATTTAGCACTCACAGGAGGAAAAAGAGAGGAAAACAGTGATTCTAGGGGACGATAATAAGCAGAAGCGTGAAGGAGAAAGAGTAGTAACACAGAAAGACACTAGGATATAATGGATATGGGAAATTATAAAATGGGATTGCATCAGCACCACCGTGAACAATTTTGAGTCATATCATCATTTGTCTCCAACCATTGGCGCCCGGCCCAGACAATCTACCCCCGGCTCTTTTTAAAGATGGTGGCGAGCCTCTCTCAGTGGCTCTAACTGGACTATTCAGGAAGGTATGGGAAACTGAGAGTGTGCCATCAATATGAAACGAAGCCATTATCGTCCCCATCTTTAAAAAGGATCGACGTAATCCATGTGACAACCATAAGGGTATCAGTCTGCTACCAGTCGCGTCTAAATTATTGGCTGCTGTCTTGCTTCACAGGCTGTGCAAAATACGTGAGGGATTGATTCGCGAAGAGCGGCTGGGTTTCGTTCAGGTCGTGGATGCATTGATTATGTGTTCACTCTTCGTCAGATGTTGGAACACCGCCACACGTATTGCAGGCAAACGATCGTTGTGTTTCTTGATATTAGGGCTGCCTTCGATTCGTTGGACAGAACTGTGCTCTGGAACTGTCTGTTAGAGAGGGGTGTACCTGAGAAATTTGTTAACATCTTGAAAGCCCTATAGAGAAACACCTCAGGTAGAGTGAGGGCATACAACCAACTATCATCACTGTTCCCAACCAACAGTGGGGTTAGACAGGGTTGCCCAATCTCTCCATTTCTCTTTAACTTTGCCATCGATGACATTCTGGAGTCAGCTCTGAAGGATGTGCGTGAAGGTGGTGTAGTATAGCATATCATCTAATACAATATCGTTGCATCCGAAGCATGTTCTAATACTCCATAATGTTCTTCCTCCATTTCTTTCAACAACAAAAAGACAACATTCGTAGCTATAGGTAGAAACTTATTTGAAAATGTGCGGGAGTAAGGATTGCGTTCCATAGACCTAATTGGATGATTAAAACAATATGGAGTGGAGTAAATACCGATACATTTCTATGGATGTAAAAACTAGTCAGCCAAGTGATTTAAGCAGGCTGCTGTTTTTGGTCTAATAATAACTCAATTACATAATTGTGTACAATACATCTCTACAGTTGTCTGTTATAACTCCTCTCCGGGGTAAATCTGTAAACGGAAACTTATTCATATTGACAATTTACATTCTTTTTCTGAAAACTTATTTAACAAATAAGTTTTTTGAAACAAGTATTTCATTAAAAAAAGAAAGACGAAAAATCTCTTTCCTACAATGCAATGCTTTTATAGAAATCTGACAAGTAGTTCATATCGTTATGTGTTTACGCGTTGCTATGGTAACGAGATTTCTGCATTTTGCGTATTTTTTTATTTCCTGATAAGTTATCGCAAATATATATATATATATATATAATATATATATATATCAGTGTGGATACCTTTAAGCTACTCATGATATAGTTCTTCACTGCTCTTAAATACCTAGTTGCATATAAATAATCAATCCTTTAGTGTAATTTGAAATGAGAATAGACGAAAAACAAGTATGTAATATAATTAAATAATTGTTTATTGAAGGAAGCCTTATATAACGCCCATTGAGTCACACCTATATATAAATTGGGATTAATGATGCTAATTGGTTGTATTGTTAGAACCATGACAAATGAATGAGACGGATTGCAACTGGAATCTGTAACCATCTATTGATTCAAAGTCAGATGGTTAAATGTACTAGTCAATGCTCACCTTTTAAGATATTATAATACTTCAGTAATTATTGTATATATTCATATTAAAAGTGGAATATCATTGAACGATTATTAGAACATAAATCCTGATTTCGAAGAGTAATTTCCTAGGGGTTTTATTTGTTACTTATTTGTTAAAGAGCCATTAAAAACCAGCACGGAGTACTGAACAGTTGTTTCGTCCTAGTTTGGGACTGTTCAGCAGTCTGCACTCGCGACCTCACTGGGAATCGAACCCGGGAACTTCAAGTCACGACAAATATTTGCCGATGGCATTGGCTGGTGGTCGCTCTGTATCACAAATTGGTGATAGTGGATCGGTCGACATAGAACTTTGCACATATGTGCGGCAGTTCAAGTCGCCACAATCTATGTAGCACGCAAAGCAAGAGAAGAAAGTAGGAGAAATGCATAATATAGACAGTAAACAGAGGTGTGAGACAAATTAACAGTAATAACGGAGAACAAAAGTTTAATTGGAAATCATAAGTCACAAGGAGTGGATGCATCTGCGCCACTGAGAACGATTTTGAGCCATGTCACCAATTGTTTCCAACCATTGGTTTTTACCATCCCGAGGGCCCCAACCAGGAAGTCTACATCTTCCTACGTGGCTTAGATTAACTGTTGTGGATTTCATTGATTGGTGCCATGTTTTGGTTTGACCGCCGCTAGCTCTTTTCCAGCCTGACCCTATATCAGCTAACATTGCCCGTCTAGGAAGGCGATGACTAGGCATACGTAGCACATGTCCCAACCATCTCAGTCGATGTGATTTCACAGTCTCGTCGATTGACTTCCCCACCTTACCTAGCACTGGACGCCTAACATCAATATTGCTCACCTTATTATACCACTTCACGCGGGAGATAGAACGCAGACACCTATGATCGAAGACAGCTAATCTTTTCATGTCTTCTGCTCTCAATGGCCAGGTCTCACAGCCATAAAGGAGGACGGAGCGGACTGTTGAGCAGTACACACTCCCTTTGGTTGATAGTCGGATATCGCGTCTACGCCAGAGACGGCGAAAACTGGCGAATGTGAACCTAGCCCTCTGTATTCGTGCTGAAATTTCGTCGGAGATCAACCCGTTGGGGCTGATGGTACTTCCCAAGTAAGTGAAGCGGTGAACGTGTTCTACCACTTCACTTCCTTTTTCTAATCTAGGGGTCGATGAAGTCCAATCCTGCAGCATCATCTTACATTTTATAGGGGCGAATCGCATGCCAAACATGCGGAGATTGTTGCTCAGGGTGTTCAGTAGACTCTGCATTTTGTCAGAGTCCTCGCCTAGAAGGGCTATATCGTCCGCATATTCTAAGTCAACGAGATTCTTCCCTGGTAGCAAGTCAATCCCTGAGTCGCTGAAGTGAGTTAGGGTTAAGTCCATTAGTACATCTATGATGAAATTGAATAGGAATGGGGATAATGGGCATCCTTGACGGACGCCACTAGTCGTCACCACTTCAGATGACAACTCGCCATAAGCCCTCACCTGGCTGCATGAGTACGAGTAGAGTGCCTTAATCAGTGCAATGTATTTTCTTGGCATTCCCTTTACAGCCAAGCATCGCCAGAGAACCTCCCGGTCGACAGAATCGAATGCCGCCTTTAGGTCAAGAAATATAATGATTGTCGGACGCCGGTAGGAATGCCTATGTTCTAGAATCTGTCGAAGGGTGAAGATGTGATCAATACACCCTCTACCTGGCCTAAAACCTGCCTGGTTTTCCCGTGTTTGTGTCTCCCGAGCACCACTTAGTCTACGCAGTATTATTGAGCCTAGGATTTTAGATACTATATTAGTCAAGCTAATCCCTCTGTGATTATCACAAGACGACTTGTCCCCCTTCTTGTATATCGGGATGATCAGTGACTTACACCAACCCGATGGGACTTCCTCTGATTCCCAGACGCTGCCTAGAACCTCCGTTAACGCAGACAGTAAACTGTCTCCTCCGTACTTAAATACCTCTGGAGTCAATAAATCAGGTCCCGCTGCTTTGCCTAGCTTCAGATTGGTGACAGCTTTAGTAACCTCGGTTAAGGACGGAGGACCTGTGTCTATCTCCCATTCAGGGGGGTGTTGGATGTCCGGTAGGTTAAGTGTGGCTGTGGGCCAATTAAACTGCTCCTCATAGTGTTCTTTCCAGCGCTCCAGACGTCTATCCTGGGAGCTAATTATGGTGCCATTTTTCTCGGAGATTGTTTCGCTTATCATTTGTTTTTTACCACCTGTTTCCCTGATAAGCCTGAATAGTTGTCTGATGTTGCCTATCGCCGATGCTTTTTCCATCTCTTTCGCCTTAGTCAACCACCACTGTTCACGGTCCTTGCGGAGACTTTTCGTAAGTTTCCTCTTGTGCAGCTTTCGCTCCTCATTGAATTCGGAGCTCGCCGGAATAAGTCTTCTAGCATCTATCAGTTCGGATGAGGCAGTCGAAATCCAGTGGTTTTTACTCACCTTTGGAATTACCTTATTCACAGCTTTTACAGCTGTATCTATGGCTGACTGAATATTCTTCCAGGCTTCTTCAGGGTGAGCGCAGCTGTTGAACTCAGATATGTGTTTAGCTAGTTCTTCCTCAAATAGGGACTTAGTTCCCTGGTCGAGCTGGGGACGTGATGGGTTTACCGCTCGCTGTTTCCTACGTCCGTTCAGTCGTAAGCACACACGAGCGCGGACCAGTGCGTGATCGGTATCTACACACGTGTTCCAGAAGGAGCGACAATCTCCTACCGACCCACGCCAACGATAGCTTATTGCTATGTGGTCTATTTGTGTCCAGCGTTGATTTGATGATGGGGGTCGCCAGGTCAGACAGTGTCTCTCCTTGTGTTTGAAGTTAGTGCTTACAAGATACAAATGATTATCTGAACAGAACTGTAGGAGACGGTCACCGTTGTCGGTTCGCTGGCACGGAATTCCGTATGTGCCACCAACATTCTTCTCAGATTGACACAATTTCCCTACTTGAGCATTAAAGTCACCAGCTAAAACGACTATATCTGAGCGTCTAGCCTTTCGCAGCAAACTAGACAGCTTTTGGTAGAACTCATCCTTCGTTTCATCCGAACTGCAGTCAGTGGGGGCGTAGGCGGAGATTACGAAAAGGCATCGGCGAGTAGTGCAGTCCTTTCTCCTTTTCACTGATCCGTTCAGGTGGACAGCGCACATTCGGCTATCTACCGGGATCCAGTCAAGTAATGTCTTTTCTGCTCTAGTACTTAAAGCTATCCCAACACCAGCTAATCCTCGTGAGCTAGCCGTCGCATCTCCTGACACCCTCAAGGTGAATTTTGCAGATTCATCCTGTTGGCCAGGTGGGGTTAGGTGAATAACCACACTTGGGTCTTGTATGCGTGTTTCTGAAACACAACATACATCAATGGCTCGGGATGCCAGAGTCTTGGCTAGAGATGCTTGTTGTCCTATTTGGCAGAGTGTCCTAACATTAAATGCTCCTATATAAAATTGGTGGCGTGGTTTTAGGAGACAATCGGTGGTGGCTTTTTGGCTTCCATCGTTATCAGTGCACACAGAGTGAAGGGGAAGTGAAGAGCCATCAAGTAGAGGAGTTGCATTGGTAGAAGGAAGGCAAGATAATAGAGATGAAGATGAAGACAAAGATGAGCGAGGATTAGAGGGGTTTCGTGTGCACTTCGGATTGTGAGGGCGATTGGTACTTCCCGGCTGCCCACACCGTGGAAGTTGGTTGCGTGACCGCAGAGCCCAGGGGACAACTGCTTGAGGCCGGTCACACACGGCCTGTTTTTGTTTGTTCTTTTTTATTTGGTGTGTCTCAGTAGCGTATTTATCACTTCTGCCCTGTGACACGGCAGCAGAAAGCGCGGTCGTTGTTAATCCGGGCCCCGGCCGATCCGGCATGAAATTTTGTGATTTATTTGAAATCATAGGATTGGATTGGGTAACTGCTTTTAGTCTAACTGCTATCCAAACAACCTTTCTGGCATGGTAGGACCTGCAGGAACATAAGTTCCAGCCAGTATAGCTTGTTGGGTCATTGCAGTGTTCAAGCCCGACCACCACGTCAAGGTAGCAGCTTTCGGTCGGGTGATAGTGGATGCGTGATGGTGAAGAGTCTCAAATTAGGGCGAAACAGCTATCCAGTAATGCCTGCTTGTTTTTTTTAATGGTTCCCCGACTCACACCGATCCGTGATCATACTTGAAGAAATACTAGTAGTTTTATACTTTACAAATGGCGGTTAGATGTTTTCTTTTGAAATATCTTTTTATCTACCTACACAGAACCATCAAACAGTTATAAATGTGTACAGATATATGAGTTCTAGAATTATAAGTATCTATGTGCACTATGGGCTTTACTACTAACAACCATTCAAAATAAAAAAATGTTTTGTCCTACTGTTATCTACATTGTAGCCGCCTGACGTTTGCCTCCATAGAACTAATAAAATAGTAAATAAAACTAACTCGATTTTATTGTAAAATTTGCAAGTATGTACATAAACAAAATGATTTATTTAAGCTGCAAGCAACTGATGAGAAACCAACAAAATAAACGATGGTAGCATATTATTCTGCACAAATCACTATTGTTCTTGCTTTATTCGATTTTGTTGATAGGTGTTTTTGACTCTATTTCTTTTTCTATTTCTTCGTATCTTTCACATTTTCCTTCGTTTCTATGTGCATCCTGATCATAACTCATTTATCAAGTTATTCAACTTATAACGTAACTCTAACACCCTTATTCAGCTCTCCTTATGTATTGATTAATATTAACAACTATGATTATGTGACAACTCATCTCTTTTTATGCTACTACGCTCTTTCGTGAGAAAAAAAAACCCCATTATGTAAGTGAGATTGTATACAACTAGCTAAAGAAAAAAATGCATTCGCCGAAAAGAGCCTCTTCGCTGAATTATTTGCTTTTTGTTGTTTTAAAGATATCTTGTAAATTACTGGTTAACAGTTCCACTTCTACTGAGGGTGGGAATAACCACCGTAATAACAGTTTTTATTTAACTTGACCAATGCACTCTGCACGTCTGTGTCTATCCTTCAGTAGCCGTCCAATGTCTACCCAGCAACTCAAAGATGTCTTACCTAACCTTAGCTCTTCTTCATGCATATGCCATTTCAACTGTTCCTGTGGTTCAAGTTATATAGGGCACACGATTAGACAGGTTCGTCCACGGGTTCGAGAACGTTTACCAGCCTGGTTCAGCAGGGGGGGGGGAAATTAAGTGTATAAAAAGCTCGATCATGTCACACTTGGTCGATACTGAACATCATATCGATGTCAACACAGCCTTCAGGGTTATATACCGAATTCCGAAGTCGTTATCACATACAGTTCGCTTACGTCTCCTACACATAGCTGAAGCTGTTGCAATAAGATCGACTAAACCGGAACTTTGCATCCAAAAAGAACACGTCCAGACGCTGCTCCTACCGTGGCCAAACTTGGATTGATGATTCTTCTTCTCACCAAGAGTGCTCCTTCCCCTTAACCCTCTTGGTTTTTTTCATTTGCTCATTATTACAATTATTATTAATATTATAATTATTTTTATTATTCGTCATAATTTATGCCCTTCATGCAAACATTCTCTCAATACTATCGAATTTTTCGTTTTCGTTTATACTATCCGGACTTATTATTAGTGGTATTATCTCTTTTCTCAATATATGCTTTCACCTGCTTCATTTCACATATTCGTTATTTCATTATGAACCTCTCATTGCATTCATACTATCTCCTGTTTAACACAGACCACTTTGTACTAGCCACTCACCTGACACCTTTTATAACCTTGAACTGACTTGCCAATTTTCCTACCCCACACTCTACAAATCTATTATGATTAATCACCACCATTGTCTCCCGTTTTACAATATTTTGTAATCGAATTCAGCCTAGCACGTTTGTCACACAAATACGACTATTGATTTTGACACCCCATAACTAGTCTGTTATTCTACGTTGAAAATGTATCTGCCGCATAACTGGCCTTTTTTGTAACGACAACAAGTATTATATTTTATAATTGTAAGAACCTGAAGAGAAATTACTGAAAGAATATTCTTCGTTCTGATTGACTTATAATTCATAATATCAAATTTTAAAGATATCTTGTAAATTACTGGTTAACAGTTCCACTTCTACTGAGGATGGGAATAAACACTGTAATAAGTTTTTATTTAACTTGAGAATTTTCAACAGTGCGAAATCATGACTTTAAATTGTATCACATGAGGGAACTGTGAGATGTCGAGATAAACACATTTCCTCCTCCCCCCCCTACCTACTGAGTCCATTGAAATCGTATACCCTATGGTTTCTAGCTTTTGTCAATCTGTAGTATAGTGACACTTGCAGACACTAGCATAATCATACATATATATATATATATGTATGGTCGGGAGTGAGGATGGAGTTCCCGCCGATGAAACTGGTTGGTGGTCGCGCTGAAAACCACGAATTGCTAGAAGTTAGGATTCATGCGGTGGTCATTGAGTCGTGTCCCAGTGGCTGGAATAGTCTACGAGCTCGCCTTGTAACCGGAAGGTATTGGGTTCAAACCCTGGTAGTGGATGCGTACTGTTGATGAGTCCTAAACTAGGACGAAACAGCTGTCCAATACTTTCTGGTTTTCAATGGTTCTCTAACTGATATCAATCCGTGATTTAACTCGAAAAACGAATAAAATCCTTACCAATCAACTCTTGAAAAAATATCTATACATATATATTAAGTAGGAATCATATGAAATTAACATTTTCATGCTTTCTGAATAAATACAGTTTTCTTTTTTTTTCTTTTCTTAAATTACTATAGGTTCAAGAACAATTGTATCAATTTTTAGCTACTGATTTCATGGAAGCAGTTATCTCCGGGTATATTGGTCGAACAGGGACTGTAATCCATTGTTTAAATACACTGAAATATTATTTAGCATTAGCTAGTCCTCGTGCACGAAGTGGATATGAACTGAATACACCAGGTAAAATTTGTGTATTTGTTAAATAAATGTATGTGTAATTCTTAAAACATGGCTTTATTTCATGTAATTTGTTATACTATCTACAAAAGACAATGTATAGACGTCAGATACTAAGAGCTGTAAGAAACTGTCGATATTTAGATATACTGCACCAAGTTATGATTAGTCTTTTTGCTATTCTGTAAACTACGGAATATCCACATTGAATAATAGGGAAAATTAAAGAGAAATGGGAACTTGTTGATGACACATGTCTGGATAAAAATTTTGGAGTTGTTCTATTAAACAAATCGGACTGTCCAGATAAACTATCACTGATCCTGTCTGATGAAAAAAAAATTCCTAAAGCAGTCGTCTGAGAAAGATCCTACTGAACAAACGGGGCTGCAACTGACAAAGATATTAAAGAAAATTAAAGAAGGATTAATCATTTATTCGTATAGAACTATATGAAAAACTTTGTCCATCTGATTTTACAATACCGCGCATGTACGGCAAACGTAAGGTACATAAACAAGAAGTCCCGTTCCGGCGCCGATACTAGATATGATAAATTTTCCATACCACTCAATTGCGAAGTGGCTGGGGGGAGATTTTTAGACTGGTGATGGAAAAGCTGATGAGATACAATCTCCGAGACAGGTTGACCTCCAGCCCCACCCTATGCATAAGAGATTCTGCTGTTGAGTTCCAAATTTAAAGGTGATACTAAGGCAGGAATTCTCCGAAAACAGCTTTCAAAATCTCTCAGTAAAACATACTTCTCTGCCAGCTTACAAGTAAAATGTTTTGTTAAGAAACTATACGGCTAGTGCGTGAAAGATAAGCTGTCGCATTGAGCCACATCAGCATGCATGTACCAGTTCACTTGCTCCTGCGGAGCTGAGTATCATGTCGAACCATGCGTCCGCTCGTAAAGCGCGTTCGGGAGTACTATCCAGCCTGGCTAGCAATACTTGAGAATGTAGGTGTGTTTATAGCTGGGTAATGGGACATCTGGTGAACTCACGACATTCAGCTCTGTTTGAAAAATCTCCCAAATTTCTATTCAAGATGCCATCAAACCTCCCAAAGGCAGCAAGATCAAGACATCAGAGCATAGATGAAGCACTAGCAATCCGACATTTCAAGCCAAGGTTATGATTAATTGTAATAGGAGATTATAAAAAGTAATAGTTTTGGGAACTAATGTATTTTAACTACTTATTCACTTTTAAGATCAAAATTAGTCAGATGGATTTTCCTTTAGTCATGAAACACGCAAGAATTCTCTGTCCTAGTTAAAGACTATTCAGTAATCCCTAATAATGGGATCCTCTGTGTAGTCAACCACAGTGTTATAAGTTCGTTGTGTACTTCAGTTGTTGGTTTCTTTTTTTCAAACTCAAAGCCTCAAATATGGTAACTCTGTATCAGTAGATTTGTGTACAATTTGTTTTTCTACATCCATCCATCAAGAGGTTCTTTGGCAACTACTTCGCTACTACGGTGTGCCACCGACAATTATACATCTCATCCAACAGCTGCACGACAATGCTTCATGCCAAGTAATCCACAACGGGAAACTTACGGAATCCTTCGAAGTGAGGACAGGAGTAAGACAAGGCTGCCTACTATCGCCAATGATTTCCCTGATTGCAGTAGACTGGATAATGCAACAAACAGCAGGCAATGAGGAAACAGGCATAAAATGGACTCACACAAAAAACTTGGAGGATCTGGACTTCGCCGATGATATGTGTCTGATTTCCCACAAACTGGAAGATATGCAAGCGAAAAGCAACAAGTTAGCCAGAAGAAGCATCAAAGATAGGACTCCAGGTGAACACAGAGAAAACAGAGGTAATGAAGATTCCTGGGCAACACCACCAACAGCAACAACAACAGACAACAATCGCCAGCATAAATGGGAGAAACCTGAAAGAAACAACCTCTTCTACCTACCTGGAAAGCATCGTTTCAACTACAGGCGGACGGAACTGACGAGGATATCAAAGCAAGAATCGGAAAAGCAAGACAAGCTTTCACTACTCTCAAGCCTGTGTGGAGGTCAACAGCACTCAGCACTCAGGATTTTCAACTCCAATGTGAAGTCAGTGCTACTATATGGATCAGAGACTTGGCCAGCGCGTCATAAAGAGCATCTCAAACAAACTACAGACCTTCATCAACAGCTAGTTGTCTTCGCTCAATACTCAAGATCAGATGGCCGGCCAGAAAAGATCAGCAACAGAGATCTCTGGCAATGAGCGAACCAATACAGCAGGAACCGATTGTGAAACAAATAGGCAGGAAGAAATGGAGATGGATTGACCATACTCTGAGGAAACTATCAAGTGACATCACTAGAGAAGCCATTGCTCGAGTGGAACCCGAAAGGGAAGCGGCGAGTTGGTCGTCGGTGCAAAGGTGACTTGTAGGAGGTCATGTGAAGAGGAGATGAAAGCTTGTGGGCAGACTTGGAGCCAGGTGAAGACTCTGACAGAGAATCGAACGCAATGGAGACGCACGGTTGAAGCCCTATGTTCCTCTAGGAATTAAAGGAAATAATAATAATAAATCCATCAACGTTTTGACCCGATTATCTGCTTAACTGAAAAAATCAAGGACAACAGTAAAATACTTCATTGGTTACATTCATAACCCATCTGTTTCTTGTTTTTACCACAAAGTCTGTTTTTATACGGTGTTGGGTATATTCATTTGAGTATCCCTGCCTTATTCTAAAAATTGGTCCAAGTACTGAACACTATTTTGTGAAGTGTGATGAAAAATTACACCTTGTTATTGTATGAGTTTTTCATTCGCTTGATTTCCGAGTGGAAAATACGGCTTCAAACTTTGCAGTTTGTTCGTTAGCAGTGGTGTTCGGTTTTAAGAAATGGAGGTACTAATGCCATGTCCAACCTTCTCTCATTTCGTCGCATTAATCACAGCTGGTGATCATCTTGTTGGCACTTAGATCCTTTGATTCCTCTGCAAGAGCTCCCAACTAGTAGTTGGCTAGTTTTCAACCTTTCTCCGACAAAGATTTTCATTTAACCTTATGGTATTACTAGTTGCAAATGCTCACTTATTGATTGTAGTTATTTTGATTACATTGTATTGCTAAGCAGTAGTATAATTACTGCCCCCACCCCACCTCCACAGTTGCATTGTGGTTAATTTCGCCAACACTAAAAATAGAATAATGATGTAAAGGTTATAGAGGTTTTCTCTGTTATTATTAAGACGCAAACATGGTACCTCATGAGCATCAAGAGGCCCGCCATAAAAAATCTTACAGTTTTTACGACGGCTGAGATACTGACAAGACGCCCAGACCGAAGCATGTGTTTGGCTTAAGGAACCACGCCGAACCTTTGATTCGAAGTCTGATTCACAAGGCTGCAGAGAAGCATCAGGAACTGCATTCCCAGGGTTTCCAGTAACCGAACTGGGTTCACACACCATTCGATTCTATCGCATTCTGGAGCCCACAGGTATGGAATCATAGTTTTCCAGCTCTCCTATGTAGACCTGCATGTTTACCAGTCCGAATAGGGCTTACTTTGAGGAGGCTATTAATGCGTGGTCACATGAGATTTCGAGAGTAAGACAGAAGTCTGTCCACTCTAGGCCGCACCAGGTCGTTTGTGGGAACAAAGTGAGAGAGACACCCGTGTTTTCTTTAGTGAACAATCAGGCGTAATGTTTGTTCAGTGTATTACTTTATCAAGAACAATTATCTGTTAATCCGCTAAGGCTGATCGCTTTCACTCGCAATAATGTTTCCAATAGACTAATGAGACAACTGTTCATGATGACTTGTACTTAATAATACCTTCTGCTATATGATCAGATGTTCAGACGACATTGGCCTTCTTTTATACTGTATTTCTTAGTTATAGTTTGTCCTGTCAAATTCATTTGATTCATTGAGTAAGTATGTCTGTCAATGCATGTTCAACGTCTGCTATACCTGTGTTGCATGCAATGTGTTCAGAGGCTACATTGTGATTATAGGATGGCTGAGAGTTGTATTTATGTCTTCGTAATGAACGATATTTCTAGTGTTCTTTCTTTGAAGGCAATTATTACTGCATGATTTCTTTGTTAAATTTAGAAAATAGGAAAGTATACTGAGTCTTCTAAATTTAAATTCAATTCTCCTGTTTATTTTCTTTCATTCATTCATGGAAAAACCTACTTTTTGATCTACCTATTTATTATAATCTAGCCATCTTCTGTCTGTATATGTCCTATACAAACCTGACCGATATCTGTCACCTTAGCGTGATAGTTGGACTTGCATTTCGCAATGATCCAGCAAGCTACACTGGTTGGAACAAATGTACCTGCAGGTCCCACCATATCAGAAAGATTGTTTGGAGAGCGATTAGACTAAAACCAGTGTGCGTGGTTTACTCTATGTAGGGGGTCTGTGGGCGAAGTTGTAGTACTGGGGGATAAAGATGCAACAGCACTAAGGCGTTTCCTTCAGACGACCAACAAACCAGCTATGCTGTCTCCTCGTTCTAGACAGCGAGGCGGTAGGTTAGAAAAGATGGACCGTGAAAATTGTACATCCCTACTTACCTTGCGCGGTCCGTAATGTGTGGTAAGATCTTAATACACACGCAACTCCAAAAACCAATTCGAACAGGCTGCCTCAAACAGTTGTCTTTTGGGCTCCGCAGTCACGAAACATTAATGCTCTTTCTGTTTCAGTTACAACAGGAAAAAAAATCAACTTCCATGGCGTGGCCATCCGGGCAGCAATAACCGCCCACACACTTCCAATGACTCCTTCCGTCCTAAAGAAAGGATGGCATTCTTCAGTGGGGAAATTAAGTGGATTAACTAAAAAGTGTATAACATGTGTCCTAGCTAATTCAGTTGGTGAAGAGACACATATCCCCACTGATCGATCACCTTACGTTTTCTGTAAAAAATATGCTTAAATTTACCAATCGGACCTTCTAGTTTTTTCAAAACCAAACAATAATTAAAAAGATAGATATAGTTATATGATAAAGAGAAGACGTTCAGCGAAGAGACTCTTTTCGGCGAATTCATTCACATAGCTGTACAATCGCATTTATATATAATTATTTTGTGTGTGTGTACATGAGGTTTGTCAAGTTTAGATAATTAATCAGGTAATACAAGAATGATCTAATATAGAAACAAGATTAATTAAACAGCAACTAAAGTAAGATTGAGTTAGTAAGTTAGATGACGTAATATAATTGACTAAAATGTTTCAACTTAGGTCAGGATAGCAACAGAGGTAATTACAGGTGGAGACTAAGTAGAGGTCCGGTAGAGAATAATGCCACTTAAATTAGGACTAAAATTGAGCAAATAAATTGGATGACGTAACATAAATGACTAGAAATTGAGCGTTGGTCAAGTCAGTAACAGTGGTAATGAGGTGTAGAAATTAAATCGGGTGGGGGTAGAGAACAGGAAGGTTGAAAATGTAAAATATTACATTTGAAAAGACAAAATAATACTAATGAAGAGACAGAAAGAAAGAAATAGAATTTACTTGTCGGGTATTAAGATAGATTACGTCCATTGCAAGTGTAGTGATTGAACGAACTTCTTCTGTATGCAGAGTTCAGGACTTAGCAAGTGAATCGCCATTGCTTCTGCAGTTTGAAGAAGTCTGATTCGTACACTTTTAGGAAGACTACTTCGTATTCTGTAGACGACTTTGAAGTTTGTTTGGGGTGTGTAGCTTGGTGTCCGGAATCTATCAGATGTTCTAAGATAGAGCTGCGGGGGCATCGTTTTTCTCCTTTTTTAAAACCATGCTGGTAAGTGTTCGGTGATACGTTTGGAAAGCGAACGCTGGGTACGGCCGATATACCTGGCTCCACACGAGCAGGTGGATGTCGGCCGTACACATGTACACACACACAAAAAAATAATTATATATAAATGCGATTGTACAGCTATGTGAATGAATTCGCCGAAAAGAGTCTCTTCGCTGAACGTCTTTTCTTTTTCATATGACCCAATGGGGATTTTTAAGGTATAGTTATGTCGGCGAACAGCGAGCTTCTCTGTATAATAGATAGCAAGAAATCCTGTTAAATGTTAATTGTCTGTGATGCTCTCGGGTTTCAAGCTTGAGTCCTGAAGTTTCAGTAGTAGTGGTTATTTTGGGAGGTTTCTACCCTCGTTCCCGACCTTTCCCTTTTTACCGGACTTATTAGCGGCTAGTCGAGGTTTAGGAGTATGTCGGTCAGGGATCGAACCCAGACTACGTACGTGATCGGTAATAAATGAAAAGAAGAGAAAGGTATCAGAATTAAAATTGGCACCGATCCATGAAGTCTTATTTAACTTACCCACAGAAACCGTGTAAAGAAGTTTAGGCCTCCACATTGGTGTCTATAGGGTTATTAAAATCATCGGTCATGGGTTATAAGTGATAATATATAGAATCAGTTGTTGTTGTCGTAGTAGGGCAGTTGTATTTAATGCCATATACCCACTGAAATTTTAGGTGGATCATTCCTTTCATCATCAATTCTTCCCTTAGTTTTGTTTCGCTTTTCCTTTGCAATTATTCATACAAATTGTGTTTTTCTCATTTCATTTCGTTCCGTTTCTTTCTTGATATGGTGATATGAAGCATGACAATTTCAAGTGCTTGTGCCATATCTAGTGTGTCTAATTTACAAATTGAGCTATTTATTCAAGATTTTTCGTGTCATATCATGTATTCAGTTAAGATCTAAGAAGAGATGTTATTTATGAGCTTAGTAAGTTACCTAGTTAATTATCACAGTTGTAAACAGACACTGTCCATCTGGTCATACTAATTTACTATTCATTTAGTCAAGTAATGTTGCAATATTGTAGCATTATATTGCTATTATTCCCTGTAGTTCCGAGTGATACACCGGGATTCAATAGAACATCTCCATTTCATCCTGTTCTCTGCAGCCTTCTTCAACTGGCTCCACAATTGTCGATAAGCTTTCATTTCCTCTTCGCCTGATCTCCTCCCATGTCACCTTTGGACGCCCAACTCTCTGTTTACCATTCTGGTTCTACTCTATGGCTTGGCGTGCAGTGATGCCACTCAAAGGTCTCTTCAGAGTGTATCCGTTCATTCTTGTCTTCCTGCAGCATATTTGTTGGGTGATCGGTTCTTGGATTGTTCGCGGCCTGGCAGAGTTCCTTGTTGCTATTCCTTCCCTGACTGGCCATCTAGTCCTGAGTCAGCGAAGTGTAGTGTAGATAAATGTCTGAAACCAGTTCGATATCCTTCTGATGACACGCCAAGTTTCTGAATCATATAGAAGAACTGACTATATTATAAGTGTTGAAAGTCCGAATTTTGTTCTTAATGCTGGATGCAGTAGATTTCCATGCCGATTACAAAGTATCGAAGGTGTATTATCTTGTCTTTACAATCCTGCCTTTTACATTTTCATCCGTGTACCACCTGCAGGTGAAACGAAGCTGTACTTAATATTTGAGATGTTTTGTTTATTTTTCCCCGCCTCAATGTATATATATATATAAAGTGTATTGATTTTTTATATTTTCTTTTTGTTTTCTCTGAACTGTATATATATAGATCATGAACTGTTAGGCTCAGTTGATGAGATCGTTAAATTGCGTACAAATGTATTAATTTATTTAAAACGCCTATTTTCACGTGGTAGTGGAATTACAGACAGTGAAATGCAAGCAATTTTAAACTTTTTAACTACAATACACGAGGTAAGTAAGCATACTAATTTAATCTTACTTACTTTATGAGAAATTTTGTAAAGAATCAAAGTGATTTATGCTGTTTTGATATTAGTATTACAAACAATAAGCATCTGTTATTAGTGATCAAACGTAACTTCATTCAAATGTTTCTGTCCCCACCTTTGAGTTTATTTGTGTGTTGATGATGTGGAACTTTGGTTCAATGTGTGCTCTGAGGACTCGACCTTTAATAACTGAGTCATTACGAGTTCGAACCGAGGACAAAAGAATAATAGTTTCAAGTTTGATAGGGAACTAACTTTAGTTAGAGAACCGTTGAAAACCAGGGAGTACTTGACAGCTGTTTCGCCCTAGTTTAGGACTGACTGTTCGGTGGTAGATATCCATGACTCGATCAGGGATCGAACCCAGGACTTCCAGATTACAAGGCGAGTTCGTTGACCATTCAGCCACTGTTGTGGAGTCCTGTGAATGGTAACTTCTACCAGTTCACGACATATATTGCTCAGCCGTTAGACAATGTCATCGGCGAGTACTTGTCGTCACACCCAACTTGGTGGACTCCACACATTGGGCACGACTTCTCATTAGAACTTCAGGCAACTTCATCTTGTGGTCAGAGTCACTAACTAGTAGTGACTAAATCAAGATCCCTTTTAAACCAGCACTTTCAAAATAAAAGAAATTTACTTTTTGAAATGAAAAATAAAATTTTACCCAGCAACAACTTGCGATTACATGCAGTTGACAATGAATATCACATTTATTGCGTGCCGATTAGTGATACTGTGGTGAGAGCTGACTGCTAGCCAAATTGGTAGACAGTAATTTATGTCAATGTTTACGTCCCCAATATTGGTCGTGAGAAAATTAACAACAAAGACTGATTCAACAACCAATCACAGCAGACTTTGCGTAGACGGATATAATATGCAGATAGATCATTTGAACTTCAATAAACGGCCACAAAGAGATGAAAGATTAACCTTCAGAGAGAAACCACCAATCAGAAGACTGTGTTTGTTTGCTTACAATAATCTATAATAATGTACTTGAAAATCTATATCTAAATAAGCGATCTGTTGCCTGGCCCTTGTCTTCTGTTGTTACAATACTATATGGCTGTCCTAACCTCCATAGATGAAGTGGCTTTCAAACCCGTGACTAACCCATTGGTTGGAAGTCAAGCGCTTAACTAGAGCAATGAGTCAGAGCTTCTTTCCTATGTAATAAACAAGCAAACATTCAAAACAGTGTAGTAGAACCTAACAGTTTGGTGTAATAGTTATCATAACAGTACAAGCAAATAACAGTGTCATTAAATCATATCTGGAATCTTAAAGAAACTCATGCCTCTTCTGAGATTCGAAACTCCGAGTCACTCATTACCGCAGTCAGACGTTACCACTGAGTTATTCAGACTCACGACTGACCTCCTGTAGGATTGTGATAGATACTTTGATTTGGACACTGGATAGAAAGTAATGTCATGCGTCTAGTCTAGACTAAATTCTAACAGTTAGAGTGCACTGTGATGGTGAGCCACCTGGCTTGGTGGTCACATTGTATACTTGACTATTACACTTCTATCTTCACCAAACGAAGGACTACACGCATGACACTACTTTGTCTCTGGTGTCCAATCAAAGTATACCAATAAATATGTTGAAATGATATTCAAATGTTGGTTTACAGGGATTTCGTCATGAGCTGACATCGGTCAAAGAACGATTGGAAAACTAGCAGGGAGTATTAGACAGCTGTCTTATCCCAGTTTGGGACTCTTCATCTGCAGGAGTTCGAAACGGGAACCTTCCAGTTACAAAGCGAGCTCGTAGACCATTAAGCCCCTGGGACCCGATCCAATCGCCAACCCATGAATTCCAACTTCTGTCAATTCAGGATATAGCGCGACCACTAGGACTGGATCCCAGTGGCGTGATGGTCTACGAGCTCGCCCTGTAACCGGAAGGTCCTAGGCTCGAACCTTGGATGATATGTTGAATTGAATTCAAAGTTCACTGATTGTTGGTTTTTTTTTGCATTATGGAACTAGGCATCATTATCATTCTAATTTGAACTTCTAATTCTTTATGTGTGTACATTATTTCTTCCATATCTTAAAGAATATATTTAGATATTTAATATGTGTTTTGTGCACTGTAACCAAGTAGTATTATTTTTACTTTCTTTTTCTTTATATTATGATGACATTGTGAACAACAACAACAATAACAACAACAAATAATGATGATAATAATAGCCAGAAAATATACACGATATATTATACTTATTGGTTAGTGCTTTAATTGAATATCCATCTACATGCGGTCCAGTATTTATTCGTACAAATGGCATACATTGTGTATTCAAACTACTCACTTCTGAAGATGAACATGTACGAATTTATAGTATCAAATTATTTGGACTTTATCTTATTTATGGAAAAAATTTGTGAGTTGAACACATTATTATTTATTTTCTTTGTTTTTTGCTTTTTCGTTGATAATTCATTATTTTAATTGAGTTTTCTTCTTTTGTGTTGCAAGTGAAACAGAGGACTTTAAGCTTAGAGCTTGGCAGCTTCAGTAGAAGTGGTGTTACTGTTTTATTTTTTACAGGGTGGGGTTCGTAGTCCTACGTGCGTCGGTGGCACAGTGGTTAGGACTCTCTCCGACCATGCACATGGTCCGGGGTTCGATCCCCTGCCGACGCATACCCGATATCTATGGTCGGCCTGCAAAATTTGGGCTACCGATATCCATGCTGATAATTCCATACTTGTACTGAAAATACGGTGTGGCATCAAGCTGTAATCAAAATAAAAATTAAAAAATAACCTTATCTGTGTACAGGTTTTACTACCGGCTAGTCGAGGTTTAGTAGTGGCTCGGCCGGGAATAGAGACCTGGATTATGCTAGGCATGGTTGGCGAGTGTTTTAGCACTGAAAGGCTGACGCTTTTCTCGTTGATTAGATTGTAGCGACCAAATTTATTCGATTATCGTGTGAACGCAAGAAACTGTCTGTCTGTCTGTTTTCGACATAGAACTTTGCACATATGTGCGGCAGTTCAAGTCGCCACACTTCATGTAGCACACAAAGCAAGAGAAGAAAGTAGAAGAAATGCATAATATAGACAGTAAACAGAGGTGTGAGACAAAGGAATAGTAATAACGAAGAACAAAACAGTTTCATTGGAAATCATAAGTCACAAGGAGTGGATGCATCTGCGCCACTGAGAACGATTTTGAGCCATGTCACCAATTGTTTCCAACCATTGGTTTTCACCATCCCGAGGACCCCAACCAGGAAGTCTACACCTTCCTACATGGCTTAGACTAACTGTTGTGGATTTCATTGACTGGTGAAGCCATGTTTTCGTTTGACCACCGCTAACTCTTTTCCAGCCTGACCCTATATCAGCTAACATTGCCCGTCGAGGAAGGCGATGACTAGGCATACGTAACACATGTCCTAACCATCTCAGTCGATGTAATTTCACAACGCAAGAAACTGATCTCTACGTTCTATTGTATAGCCTATAAAAGACTTCGTTGAGACACACGCTATGAGGAAACGTTCGAAAAGCAAGAAAAAAAAGACGATTATTCTTCAACATTTTGGCGGTTCTATTAAACAATAATGACATCGAATTCAAAACTACCTCAACAGTGCTATGTAGGCTATTTAGACAATGTGGGTTTCTAAATGCAAAACAAGTACTTAGAATCAGGGAGAATATTCCCAACAAGGTGGGATCAAGAGCTCTGTCCTCAAGAATCACGCACCAAGGCTCCCCGCGTCAGAATGACCTTCAAAACAAACTCAAATCGTTAAAAACTATACACTGTCAATGTACACACAACCACAAAGAGACGTATTACAAATGAAGATATATATATATATATATATAGTTTACTTTTAGTAGATGGTGAGTGTTTTTCATTGACTTTATACATACCGACTTTCATTCAGCCAAGGGATCTTGGGTCCTAGTCCCACTTCACTTATTTCATCCCACGCAGCTGAGTGTAGTATCATCAGTCCTCACATACAATATGTATTTATCTCATAGCCTAGTGAATACATATCTGTTCTAACCAACTCCAACTTACTTTTCGTAGATATTCGGATTCACTATTTCAATGCTACTTTTTTTTTCCAGCAGTAGATTCCATTGAGACTGCTTCGTCATTTCTGAAGAGTACTCCTTATTAATGATTAATTTTCATTAGTTAGTTTGTAGGGATTTGATTTGTTTCAAGTTTTATCACATCGACTGATATCAGTTGGAGTACCACTGAAAGTCAGATGTTTTGTCGTAGTTTGTAACCCTTCAGCAGTTGACACCCACGACCTACCAGGGATCAAACCCGGGACTTTCAGATTACAAGGCCAATCTTGCTAACCATTCAGCCATTTGGGTCGGAATTCAATGATCCGTGAATTCTTACTTCTATGAATTCGCAATTTTAGCGCGACTACCAGCAAATGTCATCGGCGAGTATCAGTCGTCAAACACAACCTAGTAGATCCAACTAGTCACTTCTCACTAGAACATTGGCTAGTAGTCGCTCTAAAATTGCGAATTCACGAGTCATTGAAATTCAGGCTCAAGTGGATGAATAATGATCAACGAGCCTGGCCTTGTATACTGAAGGTCCCGATTTCGATGCCTGGTTGGGAGTGGTGTGTACGTACGGTTGTCGGGTCCGAAACTAGGACGAAACAGGTATCCAGTACTGTCTGATTTTTCGTGGTTCTCTAACTGTCCTCAATCCGTGATCCAACTTGAAATCAATCAAATCCCTATGAGCTAACTCTCAAAAATTGGTATGAGATATCTTTGATTAATTATTTTACTGTGTAATTGTGAAGAGTCTGTGGCGAAATTAATAAAAGTATGTATTCGTTTAAATTGTTTTCTGTAATTATCATTATTACTGTTATGTATAACCTAGCTGTTTTGTGTTTTGTTTACTTCCAGGGTGTATGGAAATACAGTTGAACGTTTCAGCTTATTCTCTCTACTGGAGGATCGTTTGAATTCAGTATCTTCTCAGTTTACTTTGTTAACGTATAATGCCTTATTCGAAGTAAGTGAGTTTGTGTGTGTGTGTGTGTGTGGAGACAAGTAATTGTCTCTCTTTCTGCAATTATTTGATAGATAATTATTATCTTATCTTTCACACTGCATCATTCTTGTCACTGGTACAAACTATGATGGGACTTTGATGATTTGTGTGGTTGATTTCGCTGTTTTTTGGGGGGGCCATTTTTCTCTAATAATGACTGAAATCTCTGCTAATGGTGTTGAATTCGGGTTGTAACTGATGATATATAAATAAATTTCAATGTAGACTTCGTTACAAACCAAAATCAGTTAGACAGATCATTGAAAACCAGGGAGCACTGGACAGCTGTTTCGTCCTATTTCGGGACTCTTTGTCAGTGCACAACTACGACCTCACTAGGAATAGAACGTGGCAGCTTCAGCTAGTTGTTCATTCAGCCACTTGGGTTCACACCCAGTCACCTGGGAATATATATTAGAACAATACTGTTTTCAATTCGATCTTCAGGCTTCACTCTAATTTACGTAGATTTATATATAAAAGTCTTAACCAATGACGTTAAGTTTGTGGATCCAATAATAATAATCATAATAATAATGTGATAAATGCTTTGAACGCCAATAATAACGATGATTATAATGAAAACAAAATACAAAAGTATGTGTATACGTAAACAATTCAATAAATAAATTAGGTCAAATCTTAAAAGTTACGTAATACTAAAGGTGGAGTGGACAGATAATCAGGGTTTAATTGAATATGATAAAAGTACGAAGGAAATGGAAAATAAGAAGGGTGGGAGGGTTTTAATTAGACCTTACCTAGACATACAAGGGAGAGACAAAGGTAGAACAAACTTGTTTTGTATGCAAAGACTTGGATTGTTCTCTCGAATTAATTCACATAGCTTCGGCTATGTGTAAAAGGCGGTTTTGAATTCCGTTCGAAAGGTTCGATGGAATGCGATAGATAACTTTCAAGGCACTTCTTCTGTCCACTTAAGGACAGCTGCCAATCAAATGAGTCAAAATAGAACCTGTTATAGATATTAATATTAATAATGGGAATATTTAAGGATATTTATATATATTCTCAAAAGAATTGATACTGAACAAAGAGTACTCTTTTCGATAAACTCATCATCATGCTCTACAATTATATATACATTATAGTGAATGAATGAATTAGTCTTATGAACAACATTAATGTTGTTTAAATAACATCAAATCAATAATATTGATAGATTACAGCTGAACAGCATCAACATAAAATAAACTGAATGTCAGAAAAATTAGGAAAGGTAATAGTACAAATTCATGAGTTTATGGTCTCTACTGAGGGCCAGCACAGTAGTAGGGGCTGGATTTGTTTCTTTTGAACACAGAGCACTGGTTGTTTTACGTGAATTGCAATAGCCTCTATTGTTTGGATCATGCGGTGCTTCTACGATTTTGGTAATTTGTTAGGCACCCGGTATATTATAGAGAAGGATTCTTCTACGCTGGCTTTGTGGCCGGTTTGCACCAGATGGTCCAATATCGAGCTGTTAGTAGTTTTAACTACACCTTTACTTAGCCATAGTGGGATGGTTCTCGAGCACGAAATGAAGTGATATATATATATATATATCAACTCATTTTGAAATGAAGTGAGTTTATTGAATTCGAACCTCCTGTGAGTACCACTGGAGCTCGAGGAACAGCTGCACTATGCAATAAATCACAAGTGTAAAGTCATGATGGTTATACCACAGTTATATAAAGTATTCATAATACAAGTCTAACAATTATTACACATCAGTTATTTATGTGAATTAATCTCCACTAACTACACTGTCAACATACATTTTAAAATCTACGCAATTTTTAAAAGTTCCGCCTTACTATAAAATTTCTCTCTTATTTATTTTGTTAAGGCCCATCAGCGTCTACATTTTGATTTTTTAAACAATTTTTTTTATCAACTATAGGTGTTGACTGAATCTATTTCTCCGAAAATTCGTGTCCATCCGATTATTATTAGCGAGAAATCAATATCAATGATAAAAAATCCTGGTGAGATTCCTATTATAATTTTTTCTCCTTATTGTTTGTTTTCATACATGTATTTCTTATCCGCATTAGGATAGCAAAAGTATATCGATTGGTGATTTCCATATGATATTGCCTGATTCTCAACGGAATAATAGCGTACTGCAGTATGCCGTTTATGACAAATGAGCGAAAATCGATAGTTACTATATTATCCGAGGGGAACATAAGGCTTCTTCATTTCACCGTATTCTCTACAGTCCTCCCTAACTGGCTCCATGATTGTCCATAAGCTCTCCTCTCTTCTTCACACAATCTCCTCTATGTCACCTTCGAACACTCAACTCCTCATTCCCCATTCAGGTTCCACTCAGAGACGGCCTAGTACATGGTGCTACTCATTGGTTTTCTTACAGTGTGCGATCCTTCTTCATTTTCTTCAGCATACTTGTTAGACGACAGGTTCTTGGTTGATTCGTTGTCAAAAGTTTTTGTTGCGTGTCATTTCTGACTGTCTAATCTTCAATGTGGAGGGAAGGCAAATGTTGATAAACGTAGGTAGCAGACTGTTTTAAGAGCGTTGCGTGGCACACAGTGCTAGTCTCTGTACTCGGTAAAAAGCTGTCTTGACGTTAGTATTCAAACTTCAGTTCTTTTTCTGTATTCTGAGCACAGTTGGTTTCCACACTGGTCTCAGAGTAGTGGAGGTCTCGCTTTTTAAATCGTGACTTTGACAACCTCATGAAAACCGATAAGTTAGATATATGCAATACAAAAAGAAATTGCATTATCATCATGGCCTTCATTGACCCTGTTACAGTTGTCATTGGTTGCTCATGTCGACTGTATCAGATATTAAGCAAATGTTATATATATATGGTAAAATAAGGTTATATATATGACCTTGTTTTAGCCTGACAATCTCTTTATATTTCAATGTACAATCTGACAGTCTATTGTTTTAATTTCAATAATGCATTTGCATCAATAGCTCAGGGTAGTAATTCTGAAGAGAGAAGCACAAATTGTTGTCTTATTTAACGGTGTTTAGTTTAGTATTTTCGTATAAATTGAACTTAATCTGATGATTACTGTATATTATACACATTTAAGTTATATTGTTCCATCATACTGATTTGTTCTCTCTCTCTATATGGTTGTTGAGTAACAGAAAGATCAAGATGTATCAGCTCCAAGAAGTACATTGGCTCAGCATTACAATGCATTTCTTTCTGTTAGCAGCTTTCAAAAAGCAGTCACACTGATGTAGCCAACTGGGTCGGCTCCCACTGGCTGAATGGTCTACGAACTTGTAACCGGAAGGTTCTGGGTTCGAACGCTGGTGGGGTGCGTCCTGACGATGAGTCACAAACTAGGACGAAACAACTGTTCAGTACCCCCGTGATTTTCCAATCGTCCTCTGAATGATATCAATCTGTGGTCAAACTTGAAACTGATATGCCACATTAAGTCTTTCGATGTAATTGTCATGTTGTAACACTTACCGGATGAAAGTTGGCTAATACTTAGAAGGATAGACGTTCAGCGAAGAGTAACTCTTTTCAGCGATATCATTCTCAAGTTGTGCAATCACATATATATGGTAAATTATCTTAGCAACAAAAGGAATATTTCTAAAGATGTGTCGTTGGAACTGTAAATTTTAGATGACAAATTACGTAATATAAGAAGCGTTAATTGGGTAGAAACTAAAATAAATAAAAAATAAAATAAGTTGAGTGACGGCATTGTGTAGACTTCAACTAAAATTGACCGAGAATCAAATTAACAGCAGTGGTAATAAGGAGCAGAAATTTAATTGGGGGACGAGAGAAGAAAATAATACATTTAAAAGCAAAAATTACTTATCCAGTGTCAGGACAGATCAGGTCCATTGTAGATTTAATGATCCAACAAACTTCTTTTGTATGCAGAGCTTGGGATTTAACATAAATTGCCATTGCTCTTTCGGTTTGAAGTAGTTTAATTCATACTCCTTTAACAAGATTCCCACGTTTTCTGTAGATGACTTCGAAGTTGATTTATGGGTTAGCTTGATGTTCAGATTCGATCAGGTGTTCCAGGAGAGAGCTCTAGCAAGGCGATCTTTTTCTTCTTTTTCAAACCATAAAAGTAAGTATTCGATGATACTTCTGGATAGCGAATACCGATACAACCTACATACCTAGCTCCACAGAAGTAGGTGAATCAATACACACACCCACACTCATGAGGCCAGTAGTATTAACTTATCTTTCACGTTCATGTGGATCACTGGTTTTTTAAAGAATATTATTCGGAGTTCAGCCGCGAAGAAGGTTTCCTTCAGTGAGCAGGACAGGTGGTCCTACAGTGTTTGTGCTGATGAATCTCCGTTGATTTGTAGATTCAAGTAAAGAGGTATTTTGAGGGACAGAAAGTGTAGGTGGTTTTAGTGGTGTAGGCTTCATGGATTTTGTGATGGAAAGTTCTGTGTAGCGATTTTCAAGGAAGATTCTTTTCAGAGTGTTCAACTCCTCTCCCATGGAGTTGGGGCTACAAATGCTGTGGACTCTGTGGTTCAATGAACGGATCAGGTTTCGTTTTGTATATAGAGTCACCTAACTATGAAAGTCTAATGAATTGTCTGTTCCATACTGGCTTTCTGTAAATGGATGTTTTCATCTTGTTCACGTCTTGTTAGTTGAACGTTCAGAAAAGATATGTTTGTGTTAAACTTGGCTAAATTGGCTAAATTTCATTTGTAACAGAGCTATTCGCTGTAGAAGGCAACATTCGATCTTAAGGTATATTTCATTACAAATCTATACGAGAAATATGTAGTACTGGGAAGTTTAAAACTCTTCAACAATATGCTTCCATAACTATACCGGGGATCGAAACTAGACTGTCTTGCTACGAGGTGTGAACATTAACATTCAGCTACTGGTCTGGAATTGAATAGCTTTCGATTTCTATTTAATGTCAATTCGCAGTATACAGCACCACTGTCATCCAAAGTCCACTGGCAATTACTTCTTCTCACGTCCGACTTTATGAATTTCTCTGGCCGTGACTTGTCATTGAAATTCAGCTCAGTAGTTAAGTGGTGACGTGTAGTCTTCGTAACTTGAAATTCTTGGATTTGATCCCTAGTGGAGTTCTGTCTGTACACTGATGTAGAGTCCTATATTTGAAGGAAACAGATACCCAGTATTCCTTACTTCGTGATGAATTGTACCCATTAATACAGGCAAATATTAGCAAAATGTTACTCAACAACTACTTGCATTTCAGTGCAATTGGCAGTAAATCACACATATTTCATGTGACGTGACTGACCAAACCTCAGTAGGTGAAGTGATGTTCAAACCTGTGACTCAGTGGTTGGAAGTTGAACTCCTAGACTGATAAGTCACACCTACATACTAAATAAATCATATTTATTCCAAACTGATGGGAAATTTTTCGAATTTTTTTTTTTAATGAGAAATGCTACTTTCCAGTACCCACTTTTATTCATATTGTATTATCACCTTGAAACAAATTTATGCAATGCTTTTATTTCGAACACATTTTTAAGAAGTGTACGGTTCACACTGAGGAGTGAACATGTTACTGTAGTAGTGTACTTAACAACCAGCCCACATAAATGACCTGCAACGGCTAGGGAGGTGGGTAATTTTTGGCCTTCCTCTCGAAATGCTCTCTTGTGGCCTCGTGCTCATAGACATCGCAAGGTAAGTACCACTTATTACCGTCATACAATGGCGGAGGTGTTCCTCACAAAAGCAAAAAGGCTTACAGAACCGGACTGCGGGACATGAAGCTGTACCTGGGGGAGCTGGAAAACCCTGATTCCAGAACTATGCTGCGTGTATAATGGGCTCCAAAATCCTGATAGGTCGACCAGCATGTCAACCTGTTTTGGACACTGACAACTACAGGGAAAGTAGCTGGATCAGACTTCAGGTCAAAGTTTCGTTGGGGAGTGGTGTCTGAAGACCACCACCTTCTTCTTCGGTCTAGGCGTCCGGGTAGTATTCCCAGCCCTGGCACAAACTATGGTATTTTGTGTAGCCGGTCTCTTGGCACCCATAATGTACTAGGTAGGTGTTGTAATAATAGTAACCTGGGCTTCCTAGTATAAAAGGAGCCAAGGAAAATGATTAGAAGTAAACAGACGATGTCACGTGACGTGCATACAGTCAATACTTATAATGATAATAATAGTATGTTCTATGTTAATTCATAATTTCTATGTGATAATGTAATGTAAACATTCATTTTTATTTATTTATTTATTAAAAAAATAAAGTTTATTATGCGGCATGTTTTCTTATTTACATACCTTTTGCGCTGTTTTTTTTCTTTTGCATCGAACTTTAGCTTTACTTAAAGTTATAGCACAATTGATTTCTCAGTCAGAACAGACAAGTGATATTTTATCGATTAAAGATACTTTCATTCAGCATTTATTTGCATTCTGTGCACAGAATCCATCCAATAAAAAGTGAGTTGTTTTTCTTTGTTGTTGTTTTGTTGTTTTGTTCTTTACAACCATGCTATTTTAGCTAGTGCGCTTACGTCTTGACTTGATATTACGTATTTAGAGATAGTCGGTAGATTGCTTCTTGGGGTTTCGACTTTCGTGCTTGTTGTGGCACACTCATCATTAACAAGGCATATTAGCCATCTTGAAGCAATCGATATCCCCTGAGAGTTTCTGACCCACCTTACCCAGTGCTGCAGTCGAAGGCTTTTCCGGGCTGACGATTGACCTCCTTTAGGATTGTAATAGATACACTGACTGGTTACTAGGGTGTAATAGATGTCAGTCGTTGGTGTTGATACTCGAATTCTACCAATGAAGTTTGCAACATGATCATTAAGGTGGGTAGATGACTAATCATCACACCTCACTTGATACTGATGCTGGCCTGTTGAAGGTAATCAGCAGAATACACTGGGTCTACACACCTACGTTCTCCTGCTTCATACGGATTTTTATCAGAAAAAAATGATAGGGGAAATTTCTCATGAATTTCCATGAATACATAATAATGAAACAATGTCGAGTACTGATGATGCTAGTGCGTACACACTCCTTGGGGTTCATTCAAATAACTGTGGAAATGAAGCTTTTTACATTGTTCAGTCGTATGTTAACAATTTTATTCTCATTAATCTCGTGTATTTCAATTATGGGTTTTTGTAGGGATGTGGATTAATTTCAATGTATCTTTTCTCACGAACCAACATTAGTTGGTTTCGTCCTATTTTGGAAATCTTCATAAGTACGCACCCACTACCGCTCATCAGGGATCGAACTTTGGACCTTCAGGTTACCACACAAAGCTCATTGTTCATTCGATCATTCGATCGGTCAGGATTCAAATGACCCGTGAATCTTAACTTTGCCAATTCGTGATGTAGCTCTAACCACACCAAAGTTATAAATCACGGATTATTGAATTCCAGCCTAAGTGACTGACAGAATGGTCCATGACCTTAATCTCGTAATCTGAAGATCCCGGATTCGATCCGTGGTGGGGGTTGTGGATGTGCACTGTTGAAGAGTCCCAAACTAGGACGAAACAACTTGTTCAGTGCTCCCAGCTCATTTTCAATGATCTCTCTAAATGATATTGGTTCATGACGGAATATACATTGAAATTCTCGTATATTGTGTATGATATACCATCCTGAACACAGTTGCAGACTAACTGGTTGTCTAAGTTGAAGTAGATTGAATGATTTTCAAATCGTGGTGTATTAGTTATTCTCAAATGCATAGCCGGCGATTTACGAGATAAATAAATGAATAGCTGCATTGGATATACTGGAGAAGATTTGTAGCTCAGGTGAATGATTTTGATGTAGTTGTCTTCTCTGAGCTGGATGGTTTGTTTGCGAAGCTTTCATTGCCCTGCCCTACTAGGCAACATCTTCAGCGCATACTTCAACTTGTTGAAGTGAGCTTTGAGATTTCTCCACGAGTTTACCAGTCATCTCTTCTGGTGACCTTGAGTGTGATTGATTGTTTTAGTGTGTTTTCACACCCTCTAGACACTACTTGTATTGGTACTGATTGTTTCCTCGACCTAAAGTTTGACCCTTTGTGTTTGAGATTTCCTTCTTATCGATTGGTAAATTTTGTCTATGTTTAAGTGGACTCAGAATAAAAGTGTTTTACAATTACGTTTCATTGTGCCGTGCTTCATCCTTGATTAAGTGTATCCTGTTTGCTGTTAGGCTGTTCAAATTCATAGGAGTACAAATTGTTTGAAATTCTAACACAATTATCCCAATGTAATATGTGAATAGTATAAGGTTATGCCGGATACATTAACATCTTCTCAGAGTCATATTTTCGTCAAAGATTCAGTTTTTGTGTTTGTTACTATCGTTAGGATTAGGGTGGTTCCACTGGGTCATGGTTACCAGTGGGGAATATAGGGCTTCAATAGGACACCTCAGTGTTGTACGTCCAAGTAAGTTTTTCACGTTTCCTTCTGCATATTTGTGAGTATAATAGCTTCCTAGTTAATACAATAACTATTCAAGAGTTGATTTGTTTTTTAAGTCAGACCACGGATTGATATCAGTTAGAGAACCATTCAAAACCAGGGAGTACTGGGTGCGTACTGCCTATGAGTCCCAAACTAGGATGAAACAGTTGTCCAGTACTCCACTACTGGTTTTCAATTGTTCTCTAACTGATATCAATCCGTGCTGTAACTCGAAAAACAAATCAACTCTTGAAAATTAATCTGATGTGCCACTAGTGATTTGTTACAGGACGGAGTTTCCTGGAGTTCTAGTGAGAAGTCGTGACCAGTGTGAGGTCCATCTAGTTGGGAGTGAGTATGAAGTTCCCGCTGATGATATTGGTTGGTTGGTGGTCGCGCTTATACAATTACGATTAAAAATCCTTGTCTATTTTTATAATTAATAATAATTTTTTTAAAGAAAATAGACAGCTTCATTGCATATATCCTTTATTCTTTTTCTTTACTTTGAATTTCACATATATGTGTATGTATAAAGAATAATACTTCAACTGTCTATATGGCAAGATTGGTTACTTCGTTTAGCACCATTATATCCAAATAATAAAATGAATGCAAAATTTCTTGTGAAAATTTTACGATTAATACGTGTTCTATTAATACATGGTATATGCTATGAATATGGTAGTTGGCAAGTATTTGTTGACACTTTGGCTTTAATTCATTTACATATTTGTGAAGAAAGATTTTCTTATTATAAGGAGAAGCAACAGGTGAGTCAATATTTCTCATCTCTATGTTATTTACTCCCTCTCTGTAATCATAATTTCTCCTTTTATATTAATATTATTATTGTTCCCTTGGGTTCCTAGTGGAACATAGGGCTTCAACTACACGTCTCCACTTGCTTCTGTCTTCTGCTGTACTTTTCACTTGCATCCATGTTAATCCATACTGTTTCAACTCCTCTTCACACGATCTCCTCCATGTCACCCTTGGACGTCCCACTCGCCGCTTACCTTTCGGGTTCCACTAGAGCACTGGCCTGACGCGCGATGTCACCCAGCGGCCTCCTCAGCGAGTGTCCAATCCATCTCCACTTTCTCCTGCATATTTGTTGAGCGATTGGTTTTTGTTTTGTTTGTTCCCATAGTTTCTTGTTTGTGATTCTTTCCGGCCATCTGATCTTCAGTATAGAGCCAGCGAAGACAGTTGTTGATAAAGGTCTACCTGCAACAGGCTGTTGGAAATATTCTTTGTGACCCGCTGGCCAAGTTTCTGATCCGTATAGAAGAACTGACTTGAAGTTTGTATTGAAAATCCGAATTTTGTTGTTGATGGTGAGTGACGAAGATTTCCAGATTGGTTTCAGGTTGATGAATGTGTTTCTCGCCTTCCCGATTCTCGATTTGACATCCTCGTCCGTTCCTCCTGTAGTTGAGACAATGCTCCCTAGATAAGTGAATGAAGTAACCTCTTTCAAATCCCTCCCGTTGAGGTGATTGGTACTGGATGTTGCTGCTGTTGTTTTTGTTGTTGGTTGGTTATTTTCATAACCTCCGTCTTGTCTATGTTCACCAAGGACTTCCAGATACTTGTTTCCTAATATTTGTTCTCTTTTCCTTTGCGTTCCGTTTGGAATATAGGGTCTCAACCTTGAGCTTTGCAGTTTGATTAGCAATGGTGTTCTACTTTTCTTACAGGGGGGTGGAGTTCCTATCCCTGGGCCCAACCTTCCCTCTTCATTGGGTTTACTAATGTCTAAACGAGGTTTAGGAGTGAGGGTCAACTGGGAATCGAACTCCGGACCATGTGGGTGGTTGTCGAGTATCCTACCGCTGAACTGCCGATGTGATAAGAGTATTATTAGATTACATATTATTCTTACATCTCACCTAGTTGATTCCGCTGGCTACAACTTCACACAGGAGCATCAGTATATGCCATCTTAATTGGATTTATAAATGAACGTTATCCTGTTTTTCATGTTTTAATTCTCAAAAATTAATCCATTGAGTGATAAAGTTGTACTAATTCGGCATTCCCGATTCAATAAATCCAGTTGGTAACTGGTAAGGTTGGCTAAAACCTGGTATCAGTCTTTGAATTCTTTGACATTTGGTTTTAGCCAGCCATGTAAGAAGGTACAGACTGCCTGGTTTGGTGCCCTCGGTATGCTAAGCACTGGTGGCTGGATGCTACTGGAGATATGGCTTAAAACCGTTCTCACTCTTTTTAATCTCTCATGTTACTATTTTTTCTCCCTCACATTTCTGCTTATTATATTAGTACTTTTGAATTTTTGTTTTCTCTTCGTTTACCTTTGTGCGCTACATGGAATGTAGCGACTTGAACTGGTGGGTGCATTTCTGTGCTAAGTTCTATGTTGAAACTCAACAAGTTAAGGCTGACCATATTGCTTGAATTTACCGATAATATTTGATAATAATTAGTCTTACATCACAGAATATTGTAATTGTTGAAAGAAATGTACTATGATTGGCGAGATACATTTTGGCTAATATATATTTGAAGTTTATGCAACAACCTCCTAGCATTCGATTTTCAGGTGGACCGTGAACGCTGGTTACTGATTTATTTAAGCCATACTATTGATAATAATAATAACATCTTTATTCTGGAAAGTATTTATAAAATGTATAGAATTTTCAGAGGAGTTTATTGTGTGATAATTTCTCTTCGTACAAATCTTCAAGTAAAATATTAATTCATTATAAATTATTCAAATTAATCCCAGCGTGTTAAGAAAATCAAAACAGGATTTTTCTGAACGTTTCGCTGTGTAAGCCTCAGCTTCTTCAGCAGATTTATCAGAAAAATCTTGTCTTGATTTTCTTAACACGCTGGGATTAATTTAAATAATTTATAATGAATCAATCTGACTCGGCGCTGAAATTATTCCAGGAAGTTCGTAACACCTACGGCCTGGAAACCTGTAAAATATTAATTGGCAGTATATTCTGTGACACAATGTTCTCTGAGCTGATTAAGCGCAAGCCATTCCATTATGATATATCTGCTTTGTCTCCTTCAAGAAATCCACGATATCTAGTTGAAAGTCAATTGTAAGATGTTCAGAAGTACATTTTGAGATTCAAGGACATAACTGAAGAACAGTTATCTCATGTTGTATTGGAACACGTTGCCACCCATAATCAGACCTTTCCTCATGTTTAGTAGGAACTTGCATATCACAAGCATCAGAAGTCATATATTGATCAACTAAAACAAACCGAACGAGAGAAAATATTATGCAATAGGGAGATGGAAGTTTTTGGTAGCCCAAGTTTTAATTAGGCTGCTAGCAGTGTTTAGTTCCAATTCTTTCTAGCTAAAAAGCGGTACAATTCCCAAAGAATATATCTAGCCATGATCCCTTCGGCAATGCTCATCTATTTTATCACAGGACCTTCAGGTTACGTGGCAAACCTTTAGAATGAACAACTCATTCAGATGCTTCACTTTTTTTTCCTCAAACTAAAAGTTTGTACGAACTAGTTCCCTTGGGATCATTTCGTAACTCACGAATAGGAAACAAATGACTAGTGTAATTATATATTTAGAAACTTCTATACTTTATCATATAATCGTAAACCAGTTCCTGAGAATTTGGATTGCGTAAAGTCGTTTTCATTTGTATTTCTATACTATAGTTTTATAAGAATTTCAAGAGACAGAGGGCGAGAGAGAGGAAGAGTATCCATTATAATAAAGGTTTTTTGTATTTCCCAATGAATGAAAAACAAAACGATATTGTTTTTACTTACGTTTCGCTGTTTAATCCTAATTGCTTTATCAAAGTATTATTAAACCGGAATTTACAAAATCTCAGCATATATATAACAAAGAGTTAGGAGGTGAGAAAATAGACTTAGGTCAAGTTAAAGGGACATATTGAAAGTCAAATAGCAATGAAGATCACTAAACCAAATAACAAAGGTAATAGTACATCTGTTATGATATCAAAATAAAGTTTACTAACTTGATCATCGTTCGTCTGTCTGGGGTCATTTTTCGTTGTCAAGTTGGTCAATTGGTAAAGATAACAAAATCAAGTGTGGGTTGTTGGATTTGATCAGTGTGTAAAATTATAAAAGTAGTGTGTGTTTACATAGTGAACTTGCTTATCACATTCGTGTTGATTTTGTCACTTGATGGGGGAGGGAGGTGTTGTAACTAGGTCAGATTCTGTTTTAGTCAATCATTCCTATTCAGGCAATTCGGATTCCACTTGATATGAAGTGCTTCTGATATTAGACGTTCTTTGTGATTTCTGAAGTCTTTCTGGATTATTTCGACATTGCCAAAATCAATTTTGTGGCGTGATTCTATAGCCTGTAGACCTATGGCTGATGATTTTTCAAGTCTTTTTTATAGTTCAACCGGATTTCTCGGTGGTCGAAGAGATGCTCTACGGTGTTCATTCCTTCTGATTTTGATTTCTCGAGATGTTTTTCCGATGTATATCGCATCACATTCCAAGCATTTTATTTTATAGACACAATTAGATAGAGAATCTTTAGGGATTTGGTCTTTTATATGGACAAGGTTGCTTTTCAGTGTGTCTGATGTTTTGAAGAAACCTAGTGTCGAGCTGACTGAGTACTCTTCTGATATCGTCTGATGTCTCTGCTCTATATGGAGTGATGACTGTTGATGTCCATGCTTTCGGAATGCGTTTTCGGCCATACTTAATGTCTGTGTTGATTTTGTTGATGAAGTTCCATGGGTAGTTGTTTCATTAATGTTTGATATTTCTTCTTCTTTTTCTTTCTCGTCGGTTATCAGAGAGTGTGCTCGTCTAAGAAGACTTGAAACAAGTGAAATCTTTGCGCTGATGGGGTGTGATGACTTCAAGTCTGAATATTTATTTGAGTGGGTTTTCTTCCTGAATATGGATATACCAAAATGTCCGTTTTTCTTTCTCTTAACTAGGCAGTCTAGAAATGGTAGTTCACCGACGTCTGATTCTGCTTCCGAAGTGAACTGGATTCTGGGAGATACACAGTTCTTTTTTCTCCAGGAATGAATTGTGTAGATCTCGTTTTAGTACTACAAAAGTATCATCTACATATCTTAACCATATTTTAGGAGTGAGTATTCTTGAAAAGATGTTATTTTCGAATTTATTCATGAAAAGGTCGGCGACTATTGGGGAGACTGGTGAACCCATAGGAAGAGTATCCGCTTATGAACTCATTGACTATCGTCTTCAATACTAATAAGAAGCCTTTAGTAGTCAGTTCTTAAACGTCTAGAACCACTTTCTTACCTAACGATTATATGTTTACGCATATCAATCTTGAAGTATACAATGAGTTAGTCTTTAGATCAGTAATCCAATGGTTGACAATCAGCCATTAAACCACATACTAGTCAACTAATCTTGCTCTATTACTCAATCTGACTGTTGCCTATTTTATTTTTATTGAATATCTTTCTTTCTTTATTTCCCTGTGAAGTCTGTCAAATCAAAAGATCCAGATTTTGAGAAGAAATCAAATTTAGCGCATAAAAGTAGCTCTGTACTTTTCTCAAATAAAGACTCAATTGCAAGAAATAATTCAGTAGGTGTTGATCTAACAGAATATGCATCTCATCAAATGACAACTGCTTATGTCTCACCTACTGATTCAACATCTGAACATCCTTCAAATACTGGGAACAGTAGTAATAATGATGATAATAGCAACAAGGATACACAATCAGTACATGATTCAGGTGAGAATATATAGCTTTCTTTTTAAATGATACTTTTATTTTTTCTCATTTCATCTGGTGGTTGATATAGAATTCAAAAATGAGTTTTAAGCGATGACTTCTAGATTCCTAACCTGGCATTCTGCCAAATTTAGAGCTGTTCATCGGGTTTTAATTTAAATAATAATGTTTTAAATAGTGGCTATCATATATGGCTGAATGGTCTGCGAGCTCGCCTTGTAATCAGAACGTCCTGGGTTCGAACCTCAGTGGGTGCATACTTTGGAAGAGTCTCGAACTAGGGCGAAATAACTATCCAACACTCCCTGGTTTTTCTTCCAGTAATCCTCTAACCAATGTCAGCTCGTGTTCAAGCTTATAACCAATCAAATCCCTGCAAAGTAACACTCGAAAATTATTCTGATTGCAACTAGCGACTCGCTCTATACAGGGAGTTACTTGGAGTTCTACTGAGGAGTCAGGATCAATGGGGTCTCCCAAGTTAAGAAAGAGGACAGTTACCCGCCGATGGTTTCTGAAGAAGTTGGAATTCATGGGCCACTGGATTAGATCCCACTATCTAAATGGTCTACGAGCTCTGTTTGTAACTGGTAGGTCCTTGGTTAGAAACCCGCTGTGTGTGTATAGATGAAGAGTCCAAAACTAGGGTGACATAGCTGTCCAGTATTCGCTGGCTTCTCGGTGGATTTATAATTGATACCAGCTCATGACCCCGGACCTGTAAATATGTGATTTAATGTTTAAATCTTAAATGTTTAACCTAATGAACTTCTAATGCACAAAATTAAAAGCTGAGTAAAGAATTCAGTAGTGGTTTCATCTGTCTCAGTGAACGCCCTGAAAGCTGATCTGATCTACTACTCATAAACTAATTACCTTAAAATTTCAAATTAACTTACTTTAAATCCCTGTACAGTTCTTTCTGAAATTACATAAGCAACAAAGACTTCTGTATTCAGCTATGATTAACTGTATGAAATGACAACTGTATTTCACAACAAATAAAGAGTTTCCGCGAATTAAGTATGCCTAATAATTACCAAGATTTAGTACTTTTTAGTGTTAGTACTCATTCATAAAATGAAATAAAAACAGTACACTGTTAGTGTGCGTCGGTGTTTCACTGGTGGAATGATTGTCAGTTGTAACCTTCTTAAGCTCACCCTACCGCTGGAAAGAGAGAAGTTTGCTCACGAGCTTGACAACCACACTTCGTAGAAAAAAATATCAGTGCTCCTGAAACTTCAAAGGCCTATGTTCCAGCTGGAATGAAGAGGGATAAGAAAAAGCATTTCTTCTCTTTCTGAGTCCTCTTGACAGGAATTTCAACTGCTCATGATGCATTTCCAAGTAGACATTGTCACTGACTGCGTAGGATTCCTAGGCTAATAAATAAATTGTATACTTTGATTGGACGGGAGGTCGGGTGTGAGACTAGCGACCCCAACCCGGAGAAATAAAATCACTGTTACCGAAACTTCAAATCTCTAGCTTGAAACCTTATGTTCCATTGGGAACGTAAAGGAGTAAAGTAATAAAAAATTATAAATTCTTGAACTATAACTATGTCTTATCGTAAACCAGGTTCGATTAATTTGTATGTGAAAGGATAGATTCTACACTGTTCAGTGATTAAACTACTTTTAGACCATGGGATTGAATGAGTTGTTTTCTGAATAAATTTCATTCCATATTGATTTTGATGTGATCTCTACGATTTTGAACTGATTTAGAGATAAGTACGATGTATGAATAGTATTCCAAGATTATATTATTTCTACTAGCTGAACTGATTGCTTTAAAAAAATGTATCTATATCATATGCTTAAACTGATTTGATTAGAAATCATTAGAAATTAATAATTTTGTCAGTAATTCAATATTATTATTATTATTACTTTTTGTTCTATAGATGTCAACTTAGATCGTACTTTATCTGATTCAACACTATCTTATGAGAATATTGAACTATCTTCATTACCAGTGTCCAAATCACCGGTGGAACAGAGGTCGTCTTCACCACTGCCTGTACCTTCACCTCCGCAACCATCAACATCCAGTCCTCATACTGCTACTAATGCTGATCATGATGTAAAAAATATTGCGGAGAGTAAAACAGTTACAAACGTTATGAATGAGAAATCAAAGCGGAATAAAAATTCAGTGAAATTTCAATTAGCTAATTTCTCTTGGTCATATGTTCATCATTTACTGTTGGATGATTTATTGTGTTCACTGGAAAATATTGTTGTGTAAGTCTTGTGTATATGCATATGTACATAGCTGACTAGAAAATGAAAGATTCATGAACTGTTTCCTTATGTATGAAGTAATTCGGTGGATAGTAATTGGCAGTGGAATCCAGGATGCGCATTTCGTCGTGTGTGGTACTCGTTAGCTAGATGTACCTACCTGCATTCTTCAGTGAATGTTGGTAATGTTCCTACTAAAACTTGATACTTGTGTAACAACAGAAGACAAGGGCCAGGCAACAGATCGTTTATTAAGGAAACCAAAGCATATTTATATATTTTCATGTACATTATTATAGATTATTGAAGCAAACAAACACAGTCTTCTGATTGGTTGTTTCTCACTTAAAGTTAATCTTTCATCTATTTGTGACTGTTTCTTGAATGTCAGATCATCTATATGTTAACTGTATCCGCCTACGCAAAGTCTGCTGTGGTCGGTTTTGAATCAGTCTTTGTTCATATTTTCTCACGACAAATCTTGAGAACGTAAACATTGACATAAATTACTGTCTACCGATTTGGCTAGTAGACAGCTCTCACCACACCTGCACCTTTCGTTTCAAACGCTGCCAAAGCGTTATCCACTAGGTACACCATCACTTGCTAGGGGGATGCAGTTGCGTCTGGCTGACGAGTTTAAGATTGGAAGAAATGTACATCCTGGATTTCGCTGCTAATCATTATCAATCGAAATAAAATCATAAAATACTAATTACTAACTTCTGAAGCAACAGAATGCTCAGAATTGACCAGTTATATGCACTTACTTATGATCTAAATTATGTACTTCAGTAGGATTTGCAAAAATGGAGACTACTCACTGTAACTGAAAGAGGAGTAATGTGGTTCATAACATATCTGTACATGCTGGTAGTTTCTTCACTCCATGAATTGATAATTTTTTAGTTCTGTTGATGACCGTATTATTCACGCTTGTAATTGTATTCAGTATAAACGGTGAGCTAAGAATACGCGTATGCTGACACCATTATTGCAAAAAGTTTGGAAAGAAGGAAAGGTGCCTACTGATTGGAAGAAAGGTTCCCTCGTCAAACTGCCGAAGAAGGACGACTTAGGCTTCTGTCTGCAAGAACTGGCGTGGAATAATGCTGTTATCCACGCCAAGTAAAATACTAAGTCCCGTCATCCTGGAGAGATGCACTGGAAGCAGAACTCCTCCCACAGGAACAAGCTGGATACAGGAAAGAAAAATCATGTGCTGATCAGATTACAACTCTACACATCGTCATCGAACACATCATGGAATATCAGTCAAACCTCTACCTCATCTTCATCGAATTCGAGAAGGCCTTCGACAGATAATGTTGAGCGAGAAGTAATTTGGAAACTACTTCAACACTACGGCGTGCAGTGACCACAACGGAGAACTCAACGAGGCGTTTTTAAGTGAATACAGGAGTAAAACAAAACATGAGGCCTATTATCACCGATGATATTCTTGATTGTGGTGGACTGGATTATGCGTCAGACTGTGCGTGGAGAGCGAGGAGACAGGAATACGCTGGACGACCGGAAAGAAGACTAGCAGATCTGGATTTCTCAGATGGTGTCACACAAACTCGAAGACTTGCAGGCGAAAAGCAACAAATTGGCTGAAGAGGCTCGCGACGAAGACAGAACTGCAGGTGATCATAGAGAAGACGGAGATGATGAAGATAATCAACCAACCAAAAGCAACACCAACTAGCACTAGTCACCATCAACAGAAGAAATTTGAAAGACATTACTTCTTTCACTTACCACAGGCAGTCAGAACGGATGAAAATGTCAAAGCCGCAATCGGAGAGGCAAGATACACCTTTATCAATCTGAAATCGGTTTGGAAATCTTCTGCGTTGACTCAGCATAAAGAACAAGATTCGGATTTTCAACACAAATGTGAAGTCAGTCAGTTCTGCTATACAGGTCTGAAACTTGCACTGCGTGTCACGAATAGGATTTCTTACGAGTTACAGACTTTTATCAATAGCTGCCTTCGCTGGCTCCATACTGAAGATCAAATGACCAGCCAGAAAGAATTAGCGACAAGAAAATTCGGGAACAAACTGACGAAGAACCTGTCATTCAATAAATATGTAGGATTTCGACAACACTACGTCTTCTTATTGTGTTGTCGAAATATGTAGGAGAAAATGGGGATGGATTGGGTACACTCTGCGAAGACCATCGAATGACACCGCGCGCAATGCAGGCCATCTCTCGAGTGGAATCCAAATGAGAAGCGACGAGTGGGTCGTCCTACGGTAACATGGAGAAGATCGTGTGAGTTGGAGGAGGCGATTATTATGAGAGATTATGGGCAATCGTGGACTCAGCTGAAGAGGATGGCAGCAAATAGAAGAAAGTGGAGATGTATTATGGAAGCCCTATGTTCCACTTGAAACCTAAGGGAACAATAATAATAAGAAGAATATGTATTTAAAGTTATTTCAGTAGCAACACACTCAATTCTTTGGTTTTGCTTTCCTATTGTAGTACTAATAAATGTCAGTTATGGTATGATGTCTGTCACATACATTGATGACATAGTGGTTAGATACGTAAACATGAATTATTTTCTTCAGTGTCAATTTGGTTCATTGGCTTATTAGACAACTGACCTCTTTAACTAACTGATCACAGATACAAGTTTCACTCCATTTACTTCCGATTTCGGCAACTGCCTAAAAACCTGAAATACCTTATCCAGTGTTATTATTTTGCAACATATTTTAAAGATGACTTTCGAGTGCCGACTAGTTTGTAATGATAATCAGCGTATTCTATGCACCCACAATAATATTGGTAATATGACTAAGGTCGGTTGTTTTGGTTAACTGGGTAATAAGGTAAATGTTTATTTAAGATGTTGTTAAAGTGAATTCACTAGAAGTCCATTGTTCATACTACGATCCGAAAACCTGTCATCAATTCATGAAATCTTTGACTGTTGGTTTGAACCACATAGGGAGGTGTAGACTGCCTGATTGGGGTCCTCGGGTGCTGAGAACTAATGACTGGAGACTATTGGAGATATGGTATAATATCGTTCTCAGTGGTTGGAAATCCGTTCAGTCTTTTTGATCTCCCGTCATTTTTTTCCATTTTACTATTCTTTCTCCTTCACATTTCTGTCTGTTATAGTAGTATTAAATCCCTTTCCCCCACCTATTTTGTCTACTTTTGTGTTGCACATGAAGTGTAGCAACTTGAATTGGTACATGTCTGTCTGTACAAATTTTCATGTTGGAACTCAGTCAGTCAGATATTTATTGACCTTGTTTTATGAGTCAGTAACCTGTTATCACTTACCATCAATAATAAGTTCCACTATTTATTTGGAAACTACTTTCAGAACAGAAACATGGCACAATTCCATGAAGTATCTCTAAGTGGTGTTCTACGATTCATGTGGAAGATGTCAAATATCTGGTTAGGTCATTAACACGATGAATGAAACTCTTGCATATATATGGAACACATATATTATAGTTCTTATCAATTTCCATCTCCTGAACATTATTACTTGTCCCCATTTATGTATTCTTTGATTTAGTTCAGCGTTGTATTTTATTTCATTTCTGTTCACTTCCACTCTATGTGCTGAGTCGAAAATGTACTATTATTCCCAAGTGCTCGAAGTAGAAAGTGGTGCTTCAGCCACGTACATCTCAGATCAACTCAGTTATCTGGTTCAACGATTGTCCATAAGCTGTCATCTCCAACCCACATACAAAACTTGTTGTTTCCCATTTGGGTTCCACCTGAGCGATGACGTTGTGCGTGGATATCACTCAGCGGTCTCTTCAGCATGCGCTTTGTCTATTTCCCTTTTTCTTCAACATGTTTGTTGGGCAGTAGGTTCTTGTTTGGTTCGCCAGCTAGCGCAGTTGCTTGTTACTTATTCTTTCTGGTCATCTGATCCTCAGAATCGAGCTAGCGAAGACAGCTGTTGATACAACTCTGAAGTTTGTTCGGCATGCTTTTCATGACATGCCAATTCTATGAATTATATAGAAGAATCGGCTACACATTAGTGTCGGAAATCCGAATGCCGTTTCTTACGCCTGATGCAGGGGATTTCCAGACTCATTTCAGGGTAGGGAAGGCCTCTCTTGCCTTTCCAGTCCTGGCTTTGTTACCTTGATCCTTGCCTCCGGTAGTTGAAGTGATTCTGCCTAGGTAAATGATAGGGATTGGTGCTTGTGTTCACTTGAGGTTTCTGTCCTTGCTGCTTCTTTTGCAAACTCGTTGGTTTTCGACTGTAGATCTTCGAGTTTTTGTGCCACCAAACATATATCGTCCTTGAATTCAAAGTCAAAATGATGAAAACAAAAAGATTGAGTGAAGAATATTCATATCGATCATCTCATCATCAATGAACATATATACCTGTGGAACTTGATGAGGAAGTTGTCAAAAAGAATATTCCTTTTTTGTATTCTAATTGTCTAAATGAGAAATTTCTCTGTATTATTATTATTTCCTTTAATTCCTAGAGGAACATAGGGCTTCAGCCGTGCGTCTCCATTGCGTTCGGTTCTCTGCTAGAGTCTTCACCTATCTCCTCTTCACATGACCTCCTCCAAGTCACCCTTGCACTGACGACCAACTCGCCGCTTCCCATTCTGTCGGGTTCCACTCGAGCATGGCTTGTCTAGTGATGTCACTTGATGGTTTCCTCAGAGTATGGCCAGCCAATCCATCTCCATTTCTTCCTGCCTATTTGTTTCACAATCGGTTCCTGCTGGGTTGGTTCGCTCATTGCCAGAGATCTCTGTTGCTGATCTTTTCTGACCGGCCATCTGATCTTGAGTATTGAGCGAAGACAGCTGTTAATGAAGGTCTGTAGTTTGTTTGAGATGCTCTTTATGACGCGCAGTGCAAGTCTCTGATCCGTATAGTAGCAGCACTGACTTCACATTGGAGTTGAAAATCCGGATCTTATTTTTGACGCTGAGTGCTGTTGACCTCCACACAGACTTGAGAGTAGTGAAAGCTTGTCTTGCTTTTCCGATTCTTACTTTGATATCCTCGTCAGTTCCGTCCACCTGTAGTTGAAACGATGCTTCCCAGGTCGGTGGGTAAAAGAGGTTGTTTCTTTCAGGTTCCTTCCATTTATGCTGATTGTTGTCTGTTGTTGTTGTGGTTGCTGTTGGTGTTGCCCAGGAATCTTCATCACCTCTGTTTTCTCTATGTTCACCTGAAGTCCTGTCTTCTCTGGATGCTTCTTCTGCCAACTTGTTGCTTTTCGCTTGCATATCTTCCAGTTTGTGGGAAATCAGACATATATCATCGGCGAAATCCAGATCCTCCAAGTTTTTTTGTGTGAGTCCATTTTATGAGAAATTTCTCTGTATTCAATTGAAAATGTTTCATTTACTCTCTGTTTTTATTATTTCAGTCAACAAAATATTCAAAGAAGAGTTTCAGTTCATTCTTCTCCATCTGAATTATACGATAATGTATTAAAACATAAACAAACGACTAAAAAACGTAAAGAATCTTTACTTTCATCAACACCATTGCCTGCTCAATTGAAGTCTACGACTAAATCACCATCACCAACAGCATCATCGTCCACACTGTCATCAGTCTCCTCGACATCATCAATGTCTTCGAACAGCAAACAGGTGTCGACTATTTCAAAGCAAATCAATAATGATGGTAGTGGTGGTGATGATAATAATAATGACAGTGCATCGATAACAGAAAATCTCCCTCATAATAGTAATAATAATATAATAAAAATAATATCGATCATAGCAACAGTAATAAAGTCCATGATGGCAACCGAATGAATGCCAATAATGTTATTATCATTGATATGAAAACGGAATCGGCTTTTGTTACAAATCTTTTACAAATTATTTCTTATCTATGTGATATGATTATTGGAGCGTGTGGAGGTCTGTTGCCGTTGCTTGCTGCCGCGTCAAGCTCTACAGTAAGAATAATTTTCCCCATTAGTAATAAATGTCATTATTATGTGTTTCACTTTTTTTTAATTGCTTTGTGTTGGTTGACATGGATTTGATTGGTTTTAGGACTTCTTCATGAGCTGACATCGGTTAGAGAGCCATTGAGAAACCTGGGACTACTGGACAGCTGTTTCCTCCTAGTTTAGGACTCTTGGCATAACGCACCCACTGGGATTCGAACCCTTGAATTGGCAGAAGTTGGAACTCATGTGCCATTGGATCGGGTCCCAGTAGCTTGATGAGCTAGGAGCTTGTCTTGTGACCGGAATGTCCTGAGTTCGACCCCCTTGTGGTGAGTGCGTACCGATGAAGGATCCTAGACTAGCAGGAGACATCTTTCAGTACTCCCTGATGGTTTTCCAATAGTTCTCCGTTCCGTTGTCAGCTCATGATGAAATCCTGAGACTTCTCCATGCTTTTTTATTATTATTCGTAACGAATATTTTGTGTCTGTTGCAGTAAAATATGTACGAATAGCAGCCTTTTCTATCATCAGTTGATTGGGGAGACAAAAATATTCAGTGTTCAGTATATTTAGCCATGTTACAGAAAAAATTGGCTGACCAACCTTTATTGTTTAATTCTTCCTAATGTCCCGAATTTTATACAATTCTGCTTTGTTTTGTTAGTGGAAATTAGATTTGAGATTTTAACACATTCTTTGACCAAAAAAACAAAACCAGAAAGTTTTAACCGCTCATAATGTGCCAGTACTACCATGTGGTTCACCGACTTGGCGTGTGCATCACTGAAAGCATTTCCAATAAGCTTCTGCAGACTTTTTATGAACACCTGCATTATATGGTTCCATGCTGACGATCAGATAGCCGAATAGAATATTATAATAACAAGGAACTCTGAGAACGAACCAACCAACAACCCGTCACCCAGCAAATCTGCAAGACGTAATGGAGATATAATGGACATACTCTGAGGAAATCATTGAGCGACATTGCGTGACAGTCCATCTCTCAAGTGGATCTCGAATTTACTGCGGGTAGGTGGGTGACATGGAAATCGTGTTATTTGGAGATGAGAGCTTAATGACAGTCATGGAGCCAGGTAAAAATGACAGCAGAAAACAGGATGAAATGGAGATTTGGTGTTAAAGTCATATGTTCCTCTTGCAACCCGAGAGAATGATATTAAATAGTAATACTTCTAAAGCTAAGTGTCTTTCTTTATACATGAAAGAAACGCGTGTTGCAGTGTTAAGATTATACCGATTCTTACCGATCATCATTCATTAGGTCTTAAGAGAATCTGTTATTGATTCCTTGCTAACAAATTAGAATGTAAGTTTATTTGTTTGTTTATTTATACAGTGTGATGACGATCCACTTTAGAACCTTTCACCAAAATGATGAAATATTGTTGAGTGTTATTATTTTTTATTATTGCGTCCATTCTGAGTGGAACACATGGCTTCAGCAGCACATCTTCCTTTCACTCTGTTCTCTGCACGATCTCCTTCATGTTATCCTCGAAGGGACGCTCACTTTGACTGTTTAGTGCGTGATTTCAATCAGCGTAAATGAAACCCGTCTCCATTTCCTTCTACATATTTTTTCGATTGATAGTTTCTTCGTTGGTTTACTCCAAGAGTTCCTTGTTGTTGTTAATCCTTTCCGACCAGACATCTGATCTTGACTATCCAGCCAGCGAAGGCGGCTATTGATGAAAATCAAAACGACTCTGTCTAGATAAGTGGAAGAGGTGACTCGCATTGATAGTGATTGACGCTTGTTGCTGTCCGTTAGATATCATCGCCTCCGTCTACTTTATGTCTACCCGAATTCCTGACTCCTCTGCTTCCTCTGCCAACTTGTCGATTTTCGTCTGTAGATCTTTGAATTTGTGTATGTGTGTACCACACTTATGCCCATCTTCTCTCTCCCCCTGTGGTCTGTTGCTTAATCCAGTCCACCACAATTTCATCATCAGTGATAGTAGGCAGCTTTATCCCAGTCGTATCTTCAGTTCAAATGCTTCACTGAGCTTTCCGTTGTGAATCACGTGGTTAGTGGTATCTGTATATGGCTGTTGAGTGGGGTTTATAAATGTTTGGGGCATTCCCGTATTTTTGAAGCATTTTCTAAATTTCTTCAAGGTTTATGCTACTGAAAGCCTTTAGCAAAGTCAATAGAGTTGAGGTAAAGACTTATCCTCCATCCGAGGTTCTACTCAACAATAATGCGTCTTAGGTAATTCTACTAACACTGCATCATAGGAACTCTTGTCATACATAGATAAAGTAGTTATAACTGATTTAGTATAACGGTAAAGCTTTTAACTTAAGCCTCCTGTTACTCAGGTTTGATTCTTTCTTTCTCAATAAACAACATATATATATATATCCTTATATCCTGTAAATGAGTACTGATAGACATAAAATCTGTAGTGAGCGGGCATTCGTGTGAATAAACTCTTAAAATGTCGAACATCTAACACCATATAAAATACTCCAGTTTACTTTGGGAAGTACAACAAAAAGCATTCATTACACAGAAATTTTTCATTTCATTAATCAATAAATTGTTTTTTTCTAACTGTGAATAGTAAATCATGAGAACAAATTGACATGAATTATATTTTCTATTTAGAAAATAAGTATCTAACATGAAGAGTACTTGAGTTGTATTTTTGTTTTCTTATTACACTTACTTGTGTCTCCATTCATTTTTGAAATAATAATAATGATAATACAATCCTTCAACATACACACCCTCTACAATATTCACATTATCATTACAGTGAATTTTTCAAAGCTTAGCATTGTAACTTCTTATCTTATTTAGAAGTAAATGCTTTCTTTCAGAAATAGAAGTTCAACATTACTAACAGTAATTTGGTGGATGGTGACTAGCAGTGCAGTCCAGGATGAGGATTTCGTCCTACTTACGACTCGTCATCTGAATGTCCCTGTATTCTCTAGTGAATGATAATGTTCCCAAAGAGGCTTGAACCCAGTACTCATCGCGTTTCAAACGCCGCCAAATCGTTATCCACTAGACTACTTAGGTCACGAGAGTCATTCCAGTGCTATTCACCATTCACCAAATTACTTCAGATTGGATCCCCAGACGTATGGTCGAAGCATTCACACAAGGAGCCGCTGACATATCAACAGAGGCCGAACACTTCAGTCCAATCCCTCAACGGGAAAGTTCAAACTGAATTAAACACTAACAGTATTAGAATTTTCCGTCTTTATACTGTCTGTTTTTCTTCATTCGCACACCTTTCAATGAATGTGTTCGGTCGTTTGGTATTCTTCAAGTATTATTATTAGTAGTAGTAGTGTAACAACAGAAGACAAGGGCCAGGCAACAGATCGTTTATTAAAGAAAATCAACACATATTTATAGATTTTAATGTACATTATTGTAGATTATTGTTAGTAGAAAATACAGTCTTTTGATTGGTTGTTTCTCACAGAAAGTTAAGCTTGCATCTCTTTGTGGCTGTGTCAGATCATCCATATGCTAACTGTATCCGCCTAAGCAAAGCCTTTGTTCTCATTTTCTCACCACCAATATTGGAGACATAAACATTGACGTCAATTACTGTCTACCAACTTTGGCTAGCAGCCAGCTCTCACCACAGTAGTAGTATTATTATGTATTCATCGATGAGACGTCATGGAGATCACATCACCTAACAGTTAATGATGTTGATAATAATAACTCATTGCGCAATATTTTCTCTGCGTCTAGGATCTTCAAGTAAAGTAGTAATCCATAGTACGTCACATGACGTAATACTGTTCGATCTGTAGCATAAACCAATCCCTTAACTTATATGTCTCCTTCGACTGCCATTTAAAAATGTGAGTGAGTACATTCCACAACCCATGGACACTAATTGAATATTTAAAGCAACAGTGATTGCGAGCTACCTAGCATGGCAGCTACAATGCTAACTTGACTGATAGAATTCAGTCTGTACCAACGAAGGACTAAATTTTTCTTGTGCATGTTCTAAAATCCTTCTTTAATTATATAAGTATATCTTATCCTTTGTGTGTGTATGTATGTGTGTTCAATATTACTTGACTGACTGTTCCTCACCTTGCACTGTATTATCGCTTTTCCCTTTAAATTATTTTGTTTACATTAGAGTGAAATCGGCAGCCTAGAATCTGTTCGTGGAATGGAATTGAGTGATGCCATTGGATATCTGTTACGCCTCACTTATTTAGCAGATTTTTGTATTATGAACGGAAATTACAATTTAAAACTACTAGAATCTGAAAGAAATCTTACGCCAGGGTCTATAGTACGTCAGCTGTTAAGATTATGTAAGTTTGTGCTGATATTATGGTTTTTAAATAAATATATATTATATGAAATTCACTTGTATATAGTAAAATATTATCAGGTGTTGATTTGCGTGGATTTAGTTTGTCTCAAGTTACATGTTGGATTGATACCGGTTAGAGACAAGCATTCAAGAACACGGTGTGCTGGACAGCTGTTCCATCCTAGTTTGGAACCCTTCAGTAATACTACGCACTCATGACCTTACAGTGGATTCCGTCTCAGTAGCTAGATGGTCAGTGGAGCTCACCTGGTAACATGAAAGTCTTGGTTTCGATCCTCAATAGGGTTTTTGGTGCGTATTTAAATATTATTATAAGCTGTAAGGCCATTTTTAGTTTCGCGTTACTAATCTGTACCACCTACTGGGATTATTGAAAAGTAGAGAGTGACTGAATAACTGACTGGTTTCAACATAGAACTTTGCACCAATGTACAGCAGTTCGAGTCGCCACACTCCATGTAGCACACAAAGCAAGAGAAGAAAGTAAAAAGAAACGCAAAATAGAGACAGTAAACAGAGATATGAGGCAAAAAGAATAGTAATATGGTGGAGAACAATATAGCTTTATTGGGTATTATAAATCACAAGGAGTGGATGCATCTGCGCCAGCCATTGAGAACGATTTTGAGCCATATCACCAATTGTCTCCAGTTATTGGAGTTTACCGTCCCGAGGATCCCAACCAGGAAGCCAGTCTACATCTTCCTACGTGGCTTAAACTAACTGTTGTGGATTTCATTGACTGATGAAGTCATGTTTTGGTTTGACCACCACTGGCTCTTCTCCAACCTAACCCAATATCAGCTAACATTGCCCGTCGAGGAAGGCGATGGCTAGGCATGCGTGGGGATTCAGAATTTTTTCCAATAAGTGCGTTTTTTATTCCTTTACGTTCCGAGTGGAACATCCGGCCTTAAACGTTCTCAACTTTGAAGTTTCAGTAGCACGTGTGTTGTTTTTACGAGGTGATGTTGCTCACTTCACATCCAACCTTTCCTCATTACCGGCTAAGCGAGGTTTAAGAGTGCATCGGTCGGGGACTGAACCCTGGTCCAAGTGCGTGGTTGGCAGTCATTTTACCCCCGTGAACCACTAATGCGTGCTAACTTAGTTATTTGATCACTCTTTTTTTAAAAAAAGGATTTATCGTGTATTACCTTCTGATAGATTTCTTGCTATTCTCATGTATCCTTCTTTCTCCTTTCTTTGATACAGACTTAACAACTGCAGTTCGTAATTGCTTAGAATCTCGACTTAATGTCCTTCTGCCTTCAGCATACCTTGTACAAACTATGAAACAATTAGCCTCGGGTAATGATATTATTAGCCATCATACTGTCTGCAGTGATGCTGTTGTTGATGACAGTGTTGAAGTGAATGAAGTATTATTTATCCAATCAGATGATGGCAGTCATAATATTCAATCGATACAGATAATCAGTGGATCTACACAAACATCGAATAATAATGACCTACGTGTAGATAAAATTAAACATGATAACAATTCATCAAATGGTATAGATATTACATCTAAAGAATTTCATTCTAAACATTTATCACTACCACCTATGCCAAATAATTCCAACAGTCAAAATAATAATAATGTCCTAGAAGATTCCCTGGAGAATTTAACACGGAAAGTATTAAATCTGTCAAGATTTCATCTTGTCGTCGATTTAGAGTATTATGCCATTCATCGACTAGGATGTGTAGTACAACCATGGAAATTTCCAGATTATTTAGCCTCATCGCTTGATCTCTTTCGTATTGGTGATATGAAACAAGCATATGATGCGAAGATTCGGCATTTAAGTGGAACATTTCAACAGCTGTTGTATGGAATTAAACCATATTTCAATTATCCAAAAAATTATGGAGTAAGTTCCGATTATATTGACTTTTTATTATAATTGTTGTAATTATTCCGTTTAAGTTTCGAAGAGAACTATAGGCCTTCAATAGCACATCTCCACTTTATTTTGTTTTCTGCAATTGTCTTCAGCCGGTTCCACGATTGTCCATAAGCTCTTATCTCCTCTATGTCACCCACCCTTCTACTTGTACTCAATTCGTCCTTTCACGTTTGGGTTCCACTTGAGTGATGACCTGGCGCGCGCGATGTCACTCAGTGGTCCCTGCGGCGTATGTCTAGTCGATCTTCGGCATCTGCTGCAGATTTGCTAGGCGATAAGTAATTGGTTGGTTTGTCTCCAGAGTTCCTTGTTGCTAATCCTATTACGCCCCGACTATCTGATAATCAGCATAAAAACCTGGCAAAATTGAGATTAATTGGCCCCAATAACATAAGAAATCTGGAGAATAGTTCAGCTGTAGCACTCACCACATGCGATTACACACAACCATACAATAGGCTGGATGGGGTAAGATGACAGTTCTAAAATCTAATGTAGCAGGGTGGAGGAGAGATACTGATAACGGAAGCTTTATTTATAAAATCAACTGAAAATGCTACGTGCGGTAGAAATGATTCAACACCTGTCCAGCCGGACACCTGGAAAATTCTACTACCCGTACGATGAATAGTGAGGAATGAAGAAAACTATAAAATGAAAGTTTCGAAGTTTTGTGATTATAATTGATGAAATGATCATGCACAATAATAAACTGGGTTCGAAACCTGTAATCCAGTAAATACTAATACTGTTTCACTGTGTGATATATCTAATTAACAAACTAATATGGAATTACATACTACCACAGTGACAAAGTTTTACACATATATTGTTAGTAGAAGTGTTTTATATTTTCATAATTTTGACACAAACATAACTCCTTGTTATTTCATGAATCTCTGTCGCCGTATCGATTGAGTAATCTCTACCTTACATGACACCTTTTCGTTAGTGTCAATGTCACTTACCATTATTAGGTGTGCAAAGAAGGTAGTTTTAGGCAAAAGAATTTGTAATCGTCATATATCTTCTAATTTTAGAGGACTTGCTTAATGGTGGTAAAGCAGGATATATAGAATTGCTGCATAGTACACACTATTCTTTACATATGATATCCTCAAGCTATGAGTTGGGAGTAGTTATAAATACCACTGGATGTTTGCGATTATATACTGTGAGTCTATACAATTCGGATGTTATCAATGTACTAGATCCCAATACGTCCACTGAATAATCACTGATCTGTCCTAGACTTGATTCTCCTCAGATAGTGGGTGCACACTGTTGAAATACTCGAAAGTAAGCTGTAGCAGCTATCTACCCCGCGTCCACTAGTTTTGATGTGATTTTATTGACTGACGTCATTTGATAACAAAATCTCACTTGGAAATCAGTTGAATGTATACAAACTTCGCATTTGTAAAGCATACTGATAACCAACTAGAGACGAATAAGTAGTGTTGCATACTTCATCTTTCGGTCTGTTAAATATTTTGCACTTTTTCATTCCTTTGCGTTCCAAGGAGAACACAGAGTTTCAAGCTTGATCTTTAAAGTTTCTGTAACAGTGGTGTTAATTTTTCACGTGGTGAGGTTGCTAGCCCCATCCTCAACCATTCCTTCCTTCCTTCTTACCGTGTTCACCATCGACTAGGCGAGGTTTAGCAGTGAATCGACGAAGAACTGGACCCAGACCACGTGCGGCATGGTTGGCGAGGGTTCTGCCATTGAACCACCGACGTACTGTTTCACTTTTACTGCATCATAGTTTCAAATAAACTAGTATTGTTGTTCAAAATATTTTTTCTAATAGTTAATTCGCTTTGTTAAGTGAAAAAGAACTGAGAATTTGTAGATATTATCCGAATTGCATTTGCTACTCGTATTCAACAATTATGGCCATTGAAAAAAAATGTGGATGGTTCTAATTTTGGTGGTTCCTTTTTTGTGTCTTCTATTTATCATTGAATTTGACGTGTTTTTCTTTCATAGCAGAACAACCAGTTCAGGAAATATATATTCCTTAAAGTTGACTAGTGGTGGATATGGTGATTAGCAGTGAAATTCTTGATTCGCATTTCGTCATATTTGAAGACTTGTTAACTTGATGTGCCTACAATCCTCAGTGAGTGATTGGATTCCCATTGTTTCAAACGCTAAAATGTTATCGACTAGACTACTTGGGCCACTCACTAACAGCAGTTGTTATTTGTGGTCTAGTGGACAAAGATTGGATACTGAGCTTGAGTCTCAGTAGGGGCAGCATCACTCACTGAGGATTGCAGGTACATCCAGATGATGAGTTGTACCTAGTACGGGGTGCTCATCCTAGATTCCACTACTCTTCACTTCACATTTATCTTAAGACGTTATCGAAGCGTCTGTAGTTGAAGCCAGTTGTCGAACATTTCGGTCAAATATATATAATCACTCAACGGGATCAAAATCAAAACTAACTTAAAAACGAATACTACTTATTTCTTTTTAAGCATATGTATTATTGGAAATTGAGTTAAAACACCACACATAGGTTTACTATATAGCAATTTCCATGACAATAATAATAATATTATCACATAGATGTGTTTCTGTAAGTGATTGATCACCTTTCCGTCCTCAGTAACTTCGTATCTTTCTCTTTTTTTTGTGTGATCAAAATTCGATAAACATTTCCCTTGTTGTTGTTTTTTTGTTTTTCTTTCCCTAGAATGAACTTTTTCAAAATACTGTGATCTCTCCAATTGAAGATTTTCAAGTACTTATGCAAAATTCTGATCTGTTGAGAATACACTATCTGATCAATAGATATGGAGTGAGTACTTTACTGTTGTTGTTTTTTGGAGTTTACTGTTCTCAGATTTTCTATTTCTACCTAAAAATCAAATTGAGACTGAGTAGAAGTTTGGGTTGTGTATAGGTGGTCACGCGTTCACAGCCTCTGCCAGATAAGTTCGATTTTTACTATCTTCACGTGGTGGTAGGTGTCTTCTTCACAAAAGTGAAGGGGTGAACAGGAACATCCAGAGTTTACAACCGAACCGATGACATGCAGGTGTTACCCCTAGGGTAGCTGCAAAACCCTGATTCTGACGGGATCGAATGGTGTATGGAACCTGATTCGGACCTCAGTAACCATGGGAATGTAGCTCATGACACTGTCTCACTGTCTTCTCGATTCAACATCAAGTTAAGGGCTCGAGGGTGGCCATTTAAGAGAACCACCTGTTCGGTCTAGGCCTCTGGACAACATTCTGGCCCTCGTACAAAGTATGTGATTTTGTGTAGCGCATCTCTTGTTGTTCATAATGTACCAAGGTTGTGTTTTAATCGTCAGGTAATCAGATTCTTGTATTCCGTATTGAATGAACTATGGAAACTATTTTTTTAAAAATCTGGTGGCCTTAGTGAGAAGTTGTGACCATTTGGGTTCGCCATGTCTAGGTGAAGTAGATGCTCATTGAAGGCATCGGTTGAGAGTAGCGCTTTATTACAAATTGACTGAGTTAAATATTCACGGGTCATTGATTTCTGGTCTAAGTGGCTGAATAATCAACGAGTCTGGTCTCATAGCTTGAAGGTCCCAGGTTTGATCCCTTGTAGCTGAGTGGGTGTGAACTGTGAAGAGCCCGTAGCTGGGACGAAACACCTGTCTAACGCTCTCTGGTTTTAAATGATCTCTCTAACTGATATTGGTTAGTGATGAAATCAGACGGCTGCAATTAGGGCGAAGTTTAAGTATCATAGCCCCAAAGTCAAGGTCTTTCAAAAGTTGACATTCAAGAACCGATTAGATACCTGGACTGCTATGAAATGTCACTCCTAATCAAATCATGTTTGCCTTTTTGAACTTGCAAATTGCAGATACAGTATTCTACTTACTTACTGGATACTTTTTGTACAAATCTATACTTTTAGGTAGGGTTATGGCTTTTAAGATTAAGGGTTAGGGTCTAGAGTTCAGGATTAAAGTTGGGATTATGGTTAGAGTCAGGAGTAGGTCGAAGAATAGTGTCAACAATATCAATGGATCTCAAAGTACCACGATCTGCAGTCATCTGGATGAATGGATATATCGTGCATGGTACGATTTCTCTATAGATCATCTGTGTAGTGACTGGGAGACATTCTTACAACACATAAGCTATAACTATACAGTGTAACATCGCGTTTGTAATATTTTTAATGTATTTTCCAACGATTACGCGACTTTTTGCATCTGAATTCTGATTGGTTGTTCAAGGTCACTGTGGTTTTGCCTATGATAGTTTAACTTTGCCGCAATTAGTAACTGTCAGTCTCACTTTGACCAGAATACTTTGTGTTAAAGACTGACAACTATTTGCAACTTCAGTAGACATCCATGTATGCTGAAATATCTTCGCTAACAAAGCTCTCTTTCTCTCGTTTATAACACCTTTTGGTGAACTGTTAGGATTAGATTTGTACTATTGTGTATAACAACTCTTCTTTTATCGAAAATCGTCGTTTAACTACTCTCGAACTTTTGTCTAGCTAGAAAAATATCAAATAATTGAACTCGATCGAATAGTATGTCGAAGACCAGTTGGTATTTTTTTATTGTTCACATATTGTAATACACGTCTTCAATATATACGACGGTTATTAGTGTATACACATAGAGCTCTTATTACCTTATATATTCATTAAAACACAAACCTGTTACAATATAAGCACCAAAAGTATAAGAAAAACACGGATAGAGCAAATAAAGGACACTATTCAAAAATCAGGTAAAGATACTTCTCAAAAGCGTTCATCAAAGGATGATGGTTCATTACTTCTTGTTACTCTCAGAAACGAAAAAAATTAAAAATATTGTGGCATATTCATCATTCATTACGATTCTTAACCATATCTGATAACGTCTTAGATCAATGATTTGAATTATCTGTCAGATCGGACCCAGGGAGTAGTGAGGCACTTACAGATGTCAACCTAACACAATTACGCTCGCCTCATCCTTCGGCGCTACATCATAGGACTCTTAGATTTTGAAATGCAACAGAGTATATACAGAATTCAAGTTTACCGGTAATACCTTCCCTAATTTGTTGACTATTTGCATTTTGTCGTCATTGTAAATTCATTTATGTTGTTTAAAACCACGTTTGAATCATATAAATGCTTGAATCGTTAACTGGCAATCAATTTATTCGCTGTTGACCTCTTCAATATAAATTATTTGCTATAATGAACTGAAATCGGTTAGAGAATCATTGGAAATCAAGGAGCACTGAATACCTGTTTCGTCCTTGCTTAGAACTCCTCATCTGGAGCCTAAAATCTGAATATCGATCTCTGTTTCATTACTGGCTATAGAATTGATGGCCTGAAGTCCTAATGAGTAGTCGTACCGCTATATATATACTACCCAGTGTCTGAATGGTTGACGGACTGGCCTCATAACTTGTAGGTTGTAATTTCAATACTTCTTGGGGTATTAGATGCACACTGCTGACTATTACTGAACTAGGACGTAACAGGTAGATGCCGATAGGTTCTTGAATTTTGAAGATTCTCTAATTAATACTCGTTCGTGACGAAATTCTAGGTTGAAATTTGCATCCTCATGGGAAGATTAAAACAGCCTGTTACATTCTATACTTCAACAAAATCTCAGTTTTCAATGCGAGACGTCTAAAATACATCGTTTCTCTCATTTTTGTTCATTTGTATGAACACTGTCACCTCAATAACATACTTTGATTTCTGTAATTTAATTAATATTCGTAATGCAATAAATAATGTCTTACAAAATTGAACTGAATAGTAATCAACAGATTAACACCATCCAGTTTAATGTCGTTAATTTGATTGTTAGCTGTGACGTAACTGACCACTAGTCATATATGTGTAACTATGTACACAGAAGTCAATGACCTGATGCTCTAAGTTCATGTATTGTCATTCATACAATAAACTGTTCTCTTCTTCATTCCTCTGCATTCGCAGTGAAACAACAGACTTCAAGCATTAGCAGTGGTGTTGTGTTGTTACCGGTGTGTGTGGTAGGGTTACCAGCCACACGGCCAACTTATTATCTTTACCGAACTTATTACCGGTTAAGGAACTGGTGGTCTAGTAGTGCGTCAGCCAGGGAATCGAACCCAGACCATGTATATATTATGATTGGCGAGATTTCTACCACTGAGACGCGTACAGTTCAATAAACTATACACAGTAAACATTATTTCTCTCTCGTTCTAATATATTCGTTCAAATTATACGACTTCATGATGGTTATTACGTTTGTACTGTAGTTTTGTGTGTGTGTGTGAGATTTCATGTTTTTATTATCTTCTTCCTGGAGAGAATAAAGGACGCACTGGATACAGAACTCCGACCAGAACAAGCTGGATTCAGGAAAGGCAAATCATGTTCTGACCAAATCGCAACTCTATGCATCATCATCGAAGAAAGCATGGAACGGCAATCAAACGTCTACCTCAACTTTATAGACTTTGAGAAGGCCGTCGACAGGCAGCGTTGACCGCGAAGTAATTTGGAAACTACTCGAGTACTACAGCGTACCCCAAATATTCATCAACCTTATTCAACAGCTGTACGACAACGGCACATGTCAAGTGATCCACAACGGAAAACACAGCGAGGCGTTTGGAGTAAACACAGGAATCAGACAAGGGTGCTTATTATCACCAATGATATTCCTAATTGTGGTGGACTGGATTATGCGTCGTCAGACAGTGGGAAACGAGAAGACAGGGATATCCTGGACCGACGTGAAGAACCTAGAAGACCTGGATTTCGCGCGTGGATGATTTATGTTTGATGTCACACAAAATCGAAGACTTACAAGCGAAAACCGACAAACTAGTCGAAGAAGCAGCAAACAGAACTCCAGGTGAACATAGACAAGACGGAGGTTATCAAAATAACCAACCAACAACAACAACAGCAGCAGCAACATCCAGCGCCAATCACCATCAACGGGAGGGATTTGAAAGAGGTTACTTCATTCACTTATCTAGGGAGCATTGTCTCAACTACAGGAGGAACAGACGAGGATGTCAAATCGAGCGAGAATCGGGAAGGCGAGAAACACATTCATCAACCTGAAACCAATCTGGAAATCTTCGTCACTCAGCATCAACAACAAAATTCGGATTTTCAATACAAACGTCAAGTCAATTTCGCTATACGGATCAGAAACTTGGCGGGTCACAAAGAATATTTCCAACAGCCTGTTGCAGACCTTTATCAACAACTGTCTTCGCTCCATACTGAAGATTAGATGGCCGGAAAGAATCACCAACAAGAAGCTATGGGAACAAACGAAACAGGAACCAATCGCCCAACAAATATGCAGGAGGAAGTGGAGATGGATTGGACACTCGCTGAGGAGGCCACTGGGTGACATCGCGCGTCAGGCCAGTGCTCGAGTGGAACCCGAAAGGGAAGCGGTGAGTGGGACGTCCAAGGGTGACATGGAGGAGATCGTGTGAAGAGGAGTTGAAACAGTATGGACTAACATGGATGCAGGTGAAAAGTACAGCAGAAGACAGAAGCAAGTGGAGACGTGCAGTTGAAGCCTTATGTTCCACTAGGAACCCAAGGGAACCATAATAATAATAATAATCTTGCTTTTGGAAATTTATTAAGGAATAATATTTTTTGCTTGAGGAAAATTTTCAACCACATACTTACACACGATTGATTTCATATATGTATATATATATGTGCTTTTCGATTTATATTTACTGTCATCGATCGTTAAAGTTAATAAAGCGCCAATCTAATTCAATGTTTACACATTATATAGAAACCAATTAAATGTATTACTACGACTACTATGTTAATCTTATTATTATTATTATTATTATTATTATTTAAATATGTTGGTAGTATTAAGTGTCAGAAGAAGTGATTAATTTCTAGTCGTAGTGTGTTGTGTGTAAACGTTTGTTGGCAAAATACACACTAATATTGTGTGTAAAACTTGGATATTGTTTAGTGTAATGTTATTCCATATTAAATGTTTTTTGTCTTCATTAGATTCATTACAGTGTTGTTGTTGTTATTCTCCCAATCCTTGCGTTCCGAGTGAAACATAGGCCTTCAGGACTGACGGCATGTTGTTGTTTTTTTGTACCGGGTTCCGGGTTGCTAGCCTCATGACCCCATCATTCTCTCGTTAACGGGTTTGCAATCCGGTTGGTTAGGTGAAGTTTCGAAGTATATCGGTGGAGAATCGAGCTCTGGACCACTTTGGGCCGCGTGGTTGACGAACATTCTCTCGCTGGCACAGCATTTTTATTTTTCTTGTCCCCCTTTCGTGCATTTTCATTTCCTACATGTCTAGGGCGGGTGTTGAATCATTTCTATTGCTGCACGTTATTCTTTATCGATTCAATAACTATAAAGCGTCAGTTATTAATCTTTCCATCCATCCCATTACATAACGTTTTAAGACTATCAATTCGTTCCATCTAATTGTATAATGGTGTGTATGTAAACAGCATGTAATTCTATAGAGAAGTTTTTTTCTATTTATAGATTTCTTAACTTATTAGGTCATACTGTAATCTGGATTTCGCTCAACTAATCTAATCGATCCTTGCCTACTTTTCCAACCCATAAAATACTTGTCCTCATATTCATTGTAAAGTACTAGATTAAACTAAATTTTGTTTAGTGATGAACACACTATGGCAACGAATATGTCGTGTTATAAGAATAAGTCAATGTTTTAATCCCAATGCCATGCGTGCGCTAAGAAAATTTAAACAAGAATGAAAGTGAACTTGTTGTTTGAAAGTAAAATAATCGTAGCATTCGATTTAATATGACTACTTACCATATCTATAATATTTGTACTATTTAACTACACATTTTGTTGTTTGATAAAGTTAATATACGCAGCCTTACATTTTACCTTAAATATAAACCACACACAGAGTTTAAATCAGATCATATTAAGCTTTGTATATCTAAGGTGACATTCGAGTGTAAATTGTTTTGATATTGATTGGTGGACGGTGACTAGCAGTGGAATCCAGGATGCGCATTTCGTCCTATTTGGGACCCGTCATCTGGATGTACCTGCATTCCCCAGTGAGTGATAATGTTCCCACCAAGGCTCGAACCCAGTGCCCATAGTTTCAAACGCCAAAGTGTTATCCACTAGACCACTTGGGCCACAAGAGCTACCTCTTGTGCAACGGATCATATTAATTATTTAATTCAATTTTAGATTTTCCCGTCGATTGATTGGACCGAAGTGCTCGGTCTCAGTTTGACATGTCGGCTTCTTGTGCAGATGTTTCGACGATGTCTGGGCATGTAATTAGAAGTTAATTGGTGGATGGTGACTACCAGTGGAATCCAGGATGTATATTTCGTCCTATTCGGGACTCGTTTGCCATCTGGATGCACCTGCATTAATTGACAGTTGACCGGCGAAACCTTGTTTAGGCTCAGGCCTCATGTTTCTCTTTGCAATCAAATGAACAAGGTGTTTGTTTATGCAGTGTTTTCTTTTATTGGCTAAATTGAATCTGCCCCCTACTCAGCGCATATCCGCACCACAGGGCTTAACCGGGTCGTATCAGTTAATTCACTGGTTATTAATAAACGCTCACTCAATCAAAGATATTTCAGCCAACACACCATATATATACGTATATATAAAAATAGCGGTTTGATCACTTGAAAATATACCCTGGCGTCCGTGTCTTGCTTTTTGTCGTTATAGTATTATTGGCAGACTTCATTATACACTTTTATACTCTTATTCACAAACTAACTGACAATTCAAGCCTATTTTTACTGTCGGTAACTAGATTTTTGTTTTGTGAACCTCATTTTGGTGTTATTATTTTCAAAAGCACTTTCTCAAGGACTGAAAGTAATCAGACAATTTGATTGTAGACAGATAAGTTTTCAGTAGATTTTTTTAAAGTAGAGTAATTTATCTTTTTTAGTAATCACTTGTGTGGTTCACTTTTGTCAGTTATATTTATCCAGTGGCTAACATCGGCGTTAGATCCATCACACAATTATAGAGTATCTCATTTTGTCTGAGGTCAGTAGGATATGCCTTTCTACTGGTGGATGGATGCCAGTAGATGCTCCTGGCTTTTCGGTAATAACACTTCTGAAGACAATCGAACTATGACGAAAAAAGCTGTTCTGTACTTCCGGGTTTTTCAATGATTCTCTAACCTAGGTCAGCTCATGATCAGACCTGTAACCAATCAAATCTCTGCAAACCAACACTTGAGAATGAATCTGTTGCCTGGAGTCCTAGTGAAAACCGTGACTAGCTGGGTCCACCAGGTCAGGAAGGCAACGATTACTTGCCGATGACATTCATTGGTGGTTGCGATATATAAATCGCGAATTAGGTGAAGGAATTCATGGCTATTTGGATCAGATCCCAATGTCTGAAAACTCAGAGAGCTCGCCTTATAACCGTCAGCTGCTGGGTGCGTACTGTGAAGAGTCTGGAGCTTGGACGAAACATATGTACAGTACTTCGTCACGGTTTTCCAATGATTCTCTAATTCATGTCAGCTTGTGTTTAAACCTCTGATAAAACTTTAATTTCGCGGTCATATTTATTTCACACAATGAATTTTTCTTCTGGATAATTTGAATGAAAGTTTATGACACTCGATTTTTTCTTCTAAATCCATGTTATTGTTTTTTTTGTTTTGAATATTTAATCAAGGAAACATCAAAATCACCTGAATCTTTAGCTTTAGCAACAGTTTACTTCCTCTCTGTAATGATGGTCTCCAAATATCGTGATTTTCTTGATCCCAATCCAATATGGTTGCCATACAGTGGGGCTAGTGGTGATAGTGGTCAGATAGGTCGTGCGCATTCAAATACTAATGTCAATTATGCCAACGGAGTAAAACGTGAAAGCTGCCGTCAAGCGGATACAACTGTTCATACTGATGCCAACAATAATAATAATAATAATGCTAGTTCTGAAGGCGTTGTTAGCCTCAGTGGAAATGATGCAGGTAAACAGATTATATATATATCAGGAATTTTATATTAATTTTGTGACATTTAGAAAGTCAAGAATGTTAACAAATCATCCATTCGTAGTTTTCACCATCTTTATGACATATACTGACGTTCTGTATATATATATATATATATATATATATAAACCGGCACCAACTTAGCTGCAGGATAAGTTTCTGGTTAGTGACGCATTCAATCTTCGGTTGACTATTCCTGCAATATTTATCACCTTTAAAATCGAGTTGAATGAAGATAGGCTTTTTTTCCCCACTGTGATTTGTTTGACATTTGAGCCTTCACATCTTCCATACTTGGTAATGTATCTCTGAGGGTAATCGTTGTTTTTTAACATCTTCCCGAGAATCAGAAATTCTCCTTCTAATTTTTCTGCAGAGCATATTCTCCTGATAGGACTTCAGGTGAACATAGAGAAAACAGAGGTGATGAAGATTCCTGGGCAACACCAACAGACAACAACAACAACAACAGACAACAATCAGCATACATGGAAGGAACCTGAAAGAAACAACCTCTTTTACCTACCTGGGAAGCATCGTTTCAACTACAGGCGGACAGAACTGATGAGGATATCAAAGCAAGAATCGGGAAAGCAAGACAAGCTTTCACTACTCTCAAGTCTGTGTGGAGGTCAACAGCACTCAGCATCAAAAATAAGATCCGGATTTTCAACTCCGATGTGAAGTCAGTCAGTGCTATCTATACGGATCAGAGACTTGCACTGCGCGTCATAAAGAGCATCTCAAACAAACTACAGACCTTCATTAACAGTTGTCTTCGCTCAATACTCAAGATCAGATGGCCAGAAAAGATCAGCAACAGAGATCTCTGGCAATGAGCGAACCAACCTAGCAGGAACCGATTGTGAAACAAATAGGCAGGAAGAAATGGAGATGGATTGGCCATACTCTGAGGAAACCATCAAGTGACATCACTAGACAAGCCATCGCTCGAGTGGAACCCGAAAGGGAAGCGGCGAGTTGGTCGTCAGTGCAAGGGTGACTTGGAGGAGGTGATGTGAAGAGGAGATGAAAGCGTGTGGGCAGACTTGGAGCCAGGTGAAGACTCTAGCAGAGAACCGAACGCAATGGAGATGCACGGCTGAAGCCCTATGTTCCTGTAGGAATTAAAGGAAACAATAATAATAATATTCTCCTGAATCTGTAGAACAGAGTTTTGACTAGTGCTTGTTTATAGCTATATGGACAAAAACTATTAAGATGTAAGCATTGTCGATTCCATGTCGGCTTTCAGTAAATTGACTTCTGGAGACTACCATCTTCTAGGCGTTGTATGGCCTATGTCAAGGAACTTTCCATCATTTTCATGTTCCATAGTAAATTCAATATTTGTATGCGCACAAAACGTTGTTGTTGTTTTATTCAAATTCATAATATATATTAATTTCGATTAATTTCCCTGATGAAGTTCGGACCAGCTGTGCCGAACGAACCTTTGGAATTACTTATTTCAATTTCGTTGAGATTTTACAAATATAATTTTTACAAATGTCTAATTATATTACTCTTTAATATTTTCACCCTGCCCCCCCCCCCCTACACTCCTTATTGTGTGATTACATGCAAGTGAATGCATTGCAATGACCGAACTATTTTCTAAACTACTTAACTTATCAGGGTCAATCAATTAATTTAACCTTAATACAGCATCGTCTTTAGCCAAACAATAAAATTTAAATGAATCACAAGACCAATATCAAAACAGCTGTCAAGATTATCTATAAAAAAATATTCAGGGGCTGTTACTGAAATACACAGAGGCGATAGTTATCTGTAAAATTAACCCCCCTCCACTCCCGCCTGTGTGTAAAAAACAACTTATTATTACTCTTAACCTGCCTTGTTTGATAATCCTTATCTGAGTATAATTACCAAAGGTAAACTATTCTCATTCTTAAATCTCTTATCAATTTGTTTATTTTAATTGGCCTTTATTTTTCATATGCATATATATATTGATTTGACAAGTAAATGTATGATCAGGCTGTTCAAAATGTATTAAGCCAATACATCACTCCACATTTTTCAGATAATCAACGTCTTCTAATAGCACTATCCAAAATAAGTTATTTCGTCCTTTGCCCTCTCTGTATTAGACATGAAAATATCTGCTAATATAAGGGTTACTGGACTGTCCATAGTTACACTATCTATTTTACGGTAAAGAGTTTTTTTCAAAACTAGAATTACACACTCGTGGTAGACATTAGTAGTAGTAGTAGTAGACGTTTAAATTCGGGCACTGACAGGAGGAGAAGTTCAGAATTCTGACAAATAATAATCAACAATGTCATTAATTGAGAACCTTGTGAACAAGGAGGTTGTTGTATCAAATGATACAATGAACTTATTGGAAATATTCATGTGATTCAGACTTTCAGTGTAAAACGGAATGATGAATCTTTCACTATATACACAACTAGTCGTTGACGTATAGGTTTCAACTTCTCTACAAGCCACTGAACAACTTTGTGTTGAGGCGAATTGATCATAGCGAGTAAATGTCTCAAGGGGAGGTGTTGATTGTGTTTTCGTTAGGTTATGCTTATTAGGGAGACGAAACCCTCTAGGTTGTAAGTCATTCTACGTATTGATGTAAATCAGTATTGTTTTCTCCAAAATACTTAGAGAGAGAGTATTAATAGTAGACTAAAGAAGAAATGAAAGGAATCGCGAATTCCATGCTCGCGCACAGCTATCTGACATATTATGAATAGAAACTTCACACTGGTACATTTAATTTTAGCCTACATATCATTCAGGGTCTATGTTTGACGGACGCAGCTACGGAACTGAGACCACTAAAACAGAATCGTGTATCCGGAAAACGTTTATCTTAACTCTAAAGTCTTCTCAGATCAAGTTGGATTGTATACAGAACATAAAATTAGACTTTATTACAGCTATTTCGTACCTGTATAGCTTGTTTAATTGATGTGCATACTATTATACAAAGTAATGGGGACAGTATGTCTGACCAACTGTTATCACAGATGTTCTTCCTGATTGTGATGGACTAGATTACGCAACAGACTGTTTGGAGCGATAAAAAGACTCTGGAATATTTGGGCATCTCTCAGGATATCTGTGTAATATCACAAAAACTCGAAGATCTACAGGGAAAAACCAACAAGTTGATAGAAGAGGTAGGTAGTAAAGACAGGTAGGTATTCAAGTTAACATAAAGAAGATACTGGTGATCAATATATTCGATTACCAACAACAACAACAAGCACCAATCCTTATTAATGGGGGAAATTTTAAGGAAGTCAGATTTTTCACTTATCTAGGAAGCATCGTTTCATCTACAGATATCAAAGCCAACCAAACAGAAATTCATCATCCTCAAAATCAATGTGTAAATCTTATGCACTTAGAATGAAGAACAAGTTCACTATCTTCAGAATTAATTCCAAGTCAGTTCAGACACTTGGTGTGTCACAAAAACCATTTCCAACAGCCTGCTGCTGCATCCACTGGATCGGTATTGAAGATCAAGTTGCCTCCGGGAAAAATAAGAGACGAGGAACTGTGGCAGACCGGGAACACCAACCAAGAACCTATCACCCATCAAATCTACCGAAGGAAATGGAGATGGAATAGACATACTCTGAGGAGACCGCTGGGTGACAGTACGTTCCAGGCCATCTAATGGAACAGTTAATTCCTATCTGAATTTCAAGTTTAGTGTATTTAGATTTTAATTTAACACTTTTTGATCACTTAATGTAACATATCAACTTGAAGCTACTTAGACTTTTGCTTCCACTTATCACTGGCAGTATCAATCCCCCCTCTGAGCGCTTGACTTTTAGCCCATAGTTTCTGGGTTCGAATGTATTGCTACATTTACTTCGGCCTGTGTAAATGGGTAGCAACATCAAACCCTCCCCCCCCACACACACATGAACATACATGCACTAAGTATCGCTCATAACCCGACGCTGGGTAACTAATGGAGTTCTGATTAAATAACTAACCAGTGTCAAACAAATTACAATCAAACTCGGAGTGAAGTATCATCACTCAAATGATATACCACATTTATATATTACTGTACAGTCTGTCTGTCTATCTTGGTAACGAATTCTCTTGGTGTTATTATACTTTCTTATTTCTAGATTGCAGTTCAATTGTCAGTGAAGAATATGAATTAGTTGATATACCACTAGATGAAATGACACAACAGAATAAAAAGTTAACTTCATTAACTGATTCCCTTGACATTTGTCTTGGATCAACTGGAATAATTTTAAAAGCTTTATTCAGTGAATTTACAGATTATTTCACGCGAACATTGATTGGTACACATGGACAAGAATTATTTCCTAGTGTTCAACCATTCCTTCAGGATAATTCTTCTGTTATTGAATTAGTCATGTTATTGTGTTCACAAGTGAGTTTTGTGAATGTGTGTGTGTGGTTGTTGTTTAATTGTTTAATTTTGTCTCTTAATGTGCATTGTGTCTTTTTTATGCGCAGGTTTACGGTGTACACTTGACCGACAGACTGTGATCCACACTGAGAAAGCTTAAGTTAAATCGGTTAGCTTGTGGTTACCAACTGACAGATATGTTTGTATATATTTAACTGTCAAACCTCCCTTTTGAAGTATTATTTAATTCAGTTCCGAGTGGAATACAGAGGGCTTCAAGCTTGGGCTTTGAAGTCTTTGTGGTCGCCAGCCTTCCGCTCAGCCTATTCTCTCTAGCAGACTTACTACCGACTAAGTCGGGTTTATGAGTTCATCAGCAAAGAATCAAGTCTGAACCACGCACACGGTTGACAAGTTTTCAAAGTTCAAAAACTTCATGCAATTCTTCCCATTAATAAACTTGAACTAAGCAAGAACAACAATTGTACCAGGATAATATGAGCTCATCTTTTATTATTTCGGGGATTCTTCTCAACTGGATGCAACCTGAACGAAAAAAATATGAATTACATTAAAGATTTGAACATACTTTTCCATGATCACAAGGAGTAATTGGTAGGAAGTAAAAGTAACATTAGTTCGGAATGATTTAACTAATTAAGAGTTACAAACACTGACTATTTATAGAATAATTAGACAAATAGGCTTGGAAACAAAAACAGAGTTGCGTATATATAATTATATATATATATGTGTGTGTATAGAAACAAGGTTTAGCTAGAAAGAGCATAACAAAAAAGTAGATTACGTAACTAAAGAAAATGTTTTATCTAATAGCCAATAGAAAAAAAGAAGAGAAAAGAACAAGATAGGGTGAGTCATGTTTAGATGAGAGAGTAGAGTTTTCTAAACAAGAAAAAGGGTGACTCATAAAAGTTGTATATTTTGTTATCACCAGGGTAGTGCAAGATTCACCACTGTCTCTTTCTGCGTACATAGATTTGGTTTAAGTCGTTTGATAGCAATTGCTTCAACAAAGCGTAGCAAGCTAGGTTTCTTTTGCTTGTTGATTATTTTGAATGACTTCAAGTTGTCTACAATATGACCAGTGTCCAATAGATGACGCGCAATTGCACTGTTTAATGCTTGTGGACCTTTCAGTCTCAGGTTCTTTGGTATGTGTTCAGAAATGCGGACAATAACCCTTCTCTCTGTTCTTCCGATGTATGTACTTTGGCACGTACATGTAAATTGGTAGACACAGTTGGAGGTAACATGAGGTGGGTATTTGTCCACTTTTGATTGTCTCAAACAACTAGTTGTTTGATAAACACATACAAGCTTGGCGGCTGGATATGTTCTTTTCAGGGCAGCGTTCAGTCTGCATCTTATTCTACTAGCAGTATCATCACCTTTGAATGCAAGCTGCAGAAAGATAGGCTTTTTCTCTACTGTGCTACTTTTCACTTTTTCAACATGACGTCTCCCATACTTGTCGATGAACTTTTGTGGGTAACCGTTGTCGTGTAGGCATTTCTCCACAATGGATAGCTCTTCCTCAATCTTTTTTTCTGAACACAGCTTCCTTACACAATCAAATAATGCTCTCACCAATCCTTTTTGTAACTTATAGGGCAGAAGCTTTTTGAAGTTAAGATAAACCACCCTCCAGCTCTCTTTTCTGTGTATATATCTTATGATTTTGCCGTCTATATCTCGTTGGATACCCAGGTCAAGAAAATGGAACTTCTCCTCTTTTTCATACTCCATTGTAAACTTAATATTAGGATGGGCGCTGTTCAAGACTTTTAGTACTTGAGATGCATCATTAAAAGAATTACAAATAACGAAAGTGTCATCGACATACCTGGTATAGAAGTCGGTCTGACTGATTGCGGATTTCAACCTTGTTTGTTCCAGACTACCCATAAAAATATCTGCCAGAATCTGACCCAGGGGGCTTCCCATGGCGACTCCGTCAATTTGGCGGTACAGAGTGTTGTTGAACTGGAACTGTACGTCTTTGGTGCACATAAGTAAAAGTTCGTTGAATAACATTCATGATTTAAGGTGATCTTTTTTGCTAATATAACACCTTAACTACTCAAAAAATGTGTTCCATAGATTTCTATATTAGTTCCTAGTGTTTAATACTTCCAAGTACAATTATCCTGTCATACTCCTGCGTTTCAAGGATATTTTCATCTCGGAATCTTTGATTTAATTTCAAAAGTTATTTCTTTGATGTTAATCTGTGTGGAATTATAACTTCATACTTGTCTAATATTGTGCAGTTCAGGAATTTTTAATCCACAAGTCCAACTCTGATTAGTCCCGTTATGTGTCTGACTGACTGGTTTTAACGTAGAACTTTTCACAGATGTGCACCTGTGCGAGTTGACACACTCCCCCCCCCCCCCATGTAGCACACAAAGCAAGAGAAGATAGTAAAGAAAGATTCAAAAAAGAGATTATAAACAGAAATGTTAGGCAAAAAGAATAGTAATATGGAAGAACAATAGAATTTTATTGGATATGATAAATCACAAAGAGTACATGTGTCTGCGCTATCAATGAGAACGATTTTGAGCCATATCTTTTTTTTTCATTATAGCTTGATTCCATACAGCACTTTTGGTACAAGTATTGAATTTTCAGCATGTGATATCGGTAGCCCATATTTTGCAGGCCGACCATTGATATCAGGTGTGCGTCGGCAGGGGATCGAACCCCGAACCATATGCATGGTCGGCGAGAGTCCTAACCGCTGTGCCACCGACGTCATTGGTTCTTACCATCCCGAGGACCCCAACCAGACAGCCAGTCCACACCTCCCTTCACTAGACTAATCTGTGTTTTGTGGTCAATTCACATTACTGTTGTTCAAAATATCTGCTTCCATTGTAAATACTGATAACTTACTCTTACTTTTTTTCCTCCCACCTCCTTTCCTTTTTAAGGAATGGCAAACATCTTTACAAAAATATGCTGGATTAGGATTTATTGAATTAGTCAATGAAGGACGTCTTATCTCACATTCTATTCGTGATCATTTATATCGTGTAGCCGCTGAAGGTGATATCCTCTTGAACCAGTTACATGTGTCCAATATTCAACAACATACTAAATTTGAAGAAATCACAGCGCATATCATGGCTGATTGTCGTGAAGAAGAACAATCATATAAGAATATTATTGAGTCAACACGTGTACGTGATGTACAACTGGCGAATTATTTGAATAATAAAGTTAATCGATTAACTTTGTTTATTCTCTCTACTTGGTGCAAGTCAAATCATTCAACTGTTCATCATCATCATCACTGCCTTCAACATCTTCCACCTTGCCTAGTATTCATCCTTTGAAGTAAGTTAACATTATCGATTAAAAGTATTAGTCATCCCTTAACCTGGTAGGCACTGGCTAACCTTCACTGGACATTTTTCCAAACACGAAGGAATTGATAAGTGAAAATATTCATTCAGACATTTAGAAGACAAAAGAAAATTTGAGCATATTAATATATGTGTAAAACTTGGGCACTGTGGTAGTAAGTAATTCCATATTAGTTTGTTTATTAGATATATCACACAGTGAAACAGTATAATTATTTACTGGATGACGTTTTGAGCAAAATTTATTACTGTTCATAATCACATCAATTGTAATCACACGACTTTGAAACTTGAGTTTTATAGTTTTCTTTGTTTTCTCCTATTTGTCGTCGTAGGGGTAGTAGAACTGTACTTAGAACACAAGATATAGATAGGTTTTTCGAACACATCAACTCGAAGGTTGAAGCAATTCAATTCACTTATGAATTGGAAATTCAGGAAGGGGAGCTCCCAATGTTAGATTGCAACGTAAAAAGGAAAGACGATGGGAAGTTAAACACTAGTGTTTACAGGAAACCCACACACTCAAACAGATATTTGGACTTCCGATCGTCCCATCCTATGTCAGTAAAAATAGGATTGGTGAAATGTTTACATGACAGAGCACAAAAACTAAGTAGTACCAAAGAAAATCTAAAACAGGAACTGATACACATAAAAGAAGCCTTGAAACTTAATAATTACCCGGATAAATTAGTCAGGAAATATGTAAGGAAATGAAAAAATAAAATAAATAATGATAGTAGCGATAGTGGTAATAACAATAATAATGATAATAATAATAGTGATAATAATAATATTAATGACGACACCAACAATAAGGAATCTAAATCATCAGTAGTAATTCCATACAAGGAAGGAACCTCGGAAGCCTTACGCAGAATTCTTAACAAGGCAGGAATAAAAGTGGCATTCAAACCCACAAACTCAATTAGAAACAAGCTTTGTCGGTTAAAGGATCAATCCTGTAGAGCCTTTAAAACAAAACAATTTAGTTTATCTAATACCCTGCAATGATTGTCAGGTCAAATACATAGGTCAAACTAGTAGAACAGGGGCAGTCAGACTAGCTGAACATAAAACACTTAGCAAAATCTAGATTGGTTGACCCGAATAAGATAAGAAATCTAGAGAATAGTTCAGCTATAGCACTCACTGCATGCAGTTACACACAACCATACAATAGGATGATGGGATAGGATGACAGTTTTAAAATCTAATGTCACAGGGTATAGGGAGAGATTGATAACAGAAGCTTTGTTTATCGAATCAACTGCAAATACATGTAATAGGAATGATTCATCACCTGTCCCAGATATCTGGAAAATTCTACTACTCCAATGACGGCAAATAAGAGAAAATAAAGAAAATTATAAAACTCAAGTGTCAAAGTCGTGTGATCACAATTGATATGATTATGAACAGTAAATTTTGTTCGAAACGTCATCCAGTAAATAATACTGTTTTTTCACTGTGTGATATATCTAATAAACAAACTAATATAAAATTTGAGCAAACAATATTCTTTTCTATAATTTCCTCTTCCGGCTCTAAAGGTAAACTACTTAGTTTTGTAACAACAGAAGACAAGGGCCAGGCAACAGGACGTTTATTACTGAAAATCAACACATATTTAATACGATTGCAGATCTGCAAGAGGAAATTATCAAAAAAAGGAATATTCTTTGCTCTTTGTCTACCAAAATTTATAAGCGTCCAAATTGTCGTTTGCACTACCGTACTGTTCTAACTTTTAAAAATTATATCACCAGTAGTAAACCACTGCAAAATATTTGTTACACGTATCCTCTGTGCTACTTAATAGATAGATATAAGTAGTATGGTGAGTCGCATCTTTAGAGGACCAGTGATAATTTGTAAGTCAGTGGAAAAGCTACTGAAAAAGAGAAACACAAAAAGGTTGCATGCCTGAGAGAACAATCAAACAGTGAATAATGAGACATACCTAATACACAGTGGATTATACTATTTCCATGTAAATCCTCCTCTGCTGTGCTCACTGAAGCTGGTGTCCCCCAAGGTGCTGTACTCTCCCCACTTCTCTTTTCTTTCTTTCTACATGACTTACCATCTTCAAATGACATTAATTTTGTCAAATATGCTGACGACCTGACTGTATCTTTGCCTGTCAAATGTCAAAGTGACTGCTCTAAACTAAATGGCTTTCTGTCAGAAATCAGCCAGTGGTCCAAGGAAAACGGTCTTACCTTAAACTCCCCCAAATGCGAAATAATCAATTTCACCTTTAGGCATAAATCCGACCTTAAGAAACTGGTTGGCTCTCACGAGGTGTGCAACATAGATGGCACTGAAATAGAAACCAAGTCGGAAATCAAATATCTTGGCGTCATTCTATCTGCTGATCTTTCCTGGTCGTCTCATATCTTGATGATTTCTAAGAAAATATTCCAACTTACCTTCTACATCAAGAAGTTAAGACATTCTGGTATGACCCAACCCTTACTCCTGCAATTCGTTAATTCTCGCATTCTGCCTATTATTCTCTATTGTTCCCCCTTAGTTTTTCACGGGCTACTGAATAAAGACTATACCTTATTACGCAGGATGTTAAAGGTTGTCAGCAGGGTAAGCGACGTGCCACTTAACCAGCTTGTTAATATTCTGGTTGACAGGCACATGGAATCATGTGAAAATGGGCTAAATCCATTTTATCTAACTCACATCACCCTCTTCACTCACAACTCTCCCCTTTTATCTCATCAGGTAAAACCAGAAGCTTATATAAAAAACTATATGCTTGCACTAGCAGGTACATAAACTCAGTCATACCCTACTTAGCACGTGTTCTGTGTGATAAAGAAAGCACTAGGCGTGATACCTATAACTTATTAAATTGTCAGTAGAATAACTTGATCTCGTCTTTCCAACTCATATAATTTATAGGTACAAAGTTTTCTTTCTTTCTTTTCCTTTTCTCTCCCTCTTTTTTCTGTTATGTACTGCTTTGTTTCTTTCTTCTGCTTACGCCAGTAAATATGATAGCACCTACTTTTCTAACACCTTCAAACGCTGTTCAACTTTTGCTTTGCTACCGACATGCCAATATGTTGTTGTCATAGTGAACTGAAATTTCCTTAATCTATGTAGAATTCTATTTATTGATAATGTGCTAACTGGATGCAATACTGTAGTAAAAATGCTGAGAATTCCATTCTGTATCACAAGTACTGTTTTGGAATAAAGCAAATTATTATTATTATTATTATTATGTATCTGTGATCTAACCTTCACTATAGACAAGGAGTTCCTTTGTGATTACTTTGTCACAGTATTTTCAAGTAGATTTCAACTTATCTATTCCTAAGTGGCTAACAGAATTCTTCCAGCGATGCATATAGTTATAGTCACCAGACTACAATACCCAACGTCGTATTGCAATTTTCATTGATGTTAGGTGCTCACTAGTGACCGACCACAAACTGGAATTGCCTGAAGATCTAATGAGAAGTCGTGACCACTGAAGTCCACCAAGTCGCGTGTGCGGATAAATGCTCAATGATGATACTGGCTGGTTGTTGAGCTATATATCGCGAATTCACAAAAGTTAGAATTCCGGCCTGAATGTCTGACTGGTCAATGAGGTCACCTTGTAACCTGAAGATCCTGCAGGGAATCGTGTGGTACGTACTGATGAGGAGTTCGGAACCAGGACGAAACAGCTTTCCAGTTCTCCTTGGATTTCAATGGTTCTCTAACTGATCAAACTTGAGACAAACCTAACTCCTATAAACTGACTCTTTAAAATGATTTTAGTGTCAATTTACAGAATGGTCTAAGCCTAGGTGTCATGTTTTTGAGCACTCAATAATCAGACGTGTTTTTGACTTCAGGGACGGTGATATCTACTAAGGAATCCGAGATCATATATCATCTAGTAATACAGTCACTGGTATGAAATCTGAGCTATTTTAGGTTGAGCACCTTCATCCTGATAAAAAAAGACTGCTAATTTCTTATCAGCACCTATGTGAGCAATTTGACACTCAGACACAGAATTATGTGGATACTGATTACAACTCACTTACTGAGCCACTGACGTTATCTGTTTCATCGAAATAGCCTAGTGATAAAATGCTGAGGCTTCAAACTCTCAGAATTCGCATTGTTTCTTTGTACGCTTTGAATATGCTTATTACTGCTGTTCTACACAAATACATTAAATGTATAGTGAGATGACTCAGTTGGATTGTGACTCTTTTTAACATCTTGTAATGCTGTGGTTCCTAAAAAAGGTTTAGCTGACTCAAAGAATCAGAAATAGACATGCAGCACACTATAAAACAAAGAGATTTTTACCATTGCATCAACTAATAACTGAAAATAATATATATAGCTGAATGTCTATCATTTTCATATTGCTTCCCCTTCTACTGATGATGGTGAGCCACCTAGCATGATGACCACATTGTAAACTTGACCGAATTTTATCGGTCTGTATCAAATGAAGCACTAAATACATGGTATTAGTTACTGTCTAGCACCCAATCAAAGTGTCCATTACAGTTGTACAGGAGGTTAATCGCTAACCCGAATAGCTCAGTAGTAACGTCTTTGACTGTAGCACTGGGCGACCCAGGTTTGAATCTCAGGAGGGACATAACTTCCTTGAAGATTGCGGACACATGGATAAACCTGAAACCTGGGTTCAAGGATTCCTTCCGATTCCTTCCAACTATCCAACAATACATCTGTCTGGATCCAACATGGAGCTTGGCACCGGAGTTCAACAGTTCGAGTTGCCACGTTCCAAATAGCACACAAAGGTAGACAAGAAAATGAGTGAAGAGAATCAATAGAGTTTTGACAAGTATAAGAGTGAAACAGAATGTGTAAAGTTAGAAAGGAAAATAAAAGATAACAGAGACTGAATACATCTGCGTAAGCCATTGAAAACGATTTTGAGCCATGTCACCTATTGTCTCCAGCCATTGATTCTTAGAGTCCCGAGGGCCGGCCCCAACCCGGAAGTCTGCATCTCCCCACCTGACTCAGTTTAACTGTCAAGGATTTCATGGATTGATGCCCTGTTTTTGTTTAGTCACCACTTACTCTTTTCCAGCCTGCACCTATATCAGCTAGTAATGCCCGTCCGTCGGGGGAGGCGATGGTTAGGCATGTGCAGCACGTGACCTAACCATCTCAATCTATGTAACTTTATTGCCCAACACTCTACGCCTAACATCAACATTACTTACCTTATTATACCACCTAACGTGAGAAAGAGATCGTAGACATCTATGATCAAAAACAGTCAACCTTTTCATGTCTTCAACTCCAACAATACATATACATCCGTAATTACCAATTTTACCTTTCACCAAAATAATGAGTGAATTAGTCACTCCCTAGCTAATAATGATTATTTGAAGCAGAAAAGGTTTCATTTTAGTTTTTGTTGCTTTATCTTATTGTTAAATTCTTTTCCACTGATAATATGAATTATATTCAAGTTTGAACATGTTTATTGTCAGGTTAATTATCTCTCTTACAGGTTGTGTTAACATTTTTTTTAAAAAGTTAAATATCCAGTGCATTTAATTATACGCCTAACTCTCTTGTGACTAAGATCAAAAACGTGCGTCACTGGCTTAGCGGTTGAATACTCGCCAATCACACATGTGGTCTGGGGTTCGAACCCCGGTCGACGCACTCCTTTACTTCGCTGAGCCAGTGATAAGAGCTTTAAAGGAGGGAAGGTTGGGCATTAGGCTAGCAACCGCATCCCGTAAAAACAACACCGCTGTCACCGAAACTTCAGAGCTGTAACTTGAAGTCCTATGTTCCACTCGGAACGCGAAGGAATAGAATCAATCAATAAAGATCGAAAATGGAGCTAAATCCAAGCTTAAAAAGCTATGAAACTACTCCACAAAGTGTTTTTTTTTCTTCTTTTGATGGTGAGACTGAAATAGTTTTGAGCTGGCAGACTATTAATGATATCAAGTTTTGATCACGAACTGACAAATCAGCTAAAGAACCGTTGAAATCCAGGGAGCACTGGATATCTGCTTCGTCTTAGCTTAGGACTCGTCAGTAGTGCATGTCCATGACCCAACCTCTGGAAATCAAACTCAGGACCTTCAAGCCACAAGGCGAATTTGTTGACTAATCAGTCTGACAGTTCGCGATATAAAGAGGGCAACCGCCAACCAAGGTTATTGTGAGTACTTACCGTGAAACCGAACTTGGTAGACCTAGCTGGTCACTGCTGAAGTCAGTTCATGGGCATGCTCAAGAGGAATCAAATTCCTGCACACTAACACTTCCAATTATTCTAGGACACGAAACATCATCGTCACTATCGAAGTCTTTAAGATTCATATATTGTCGTTCAACTTATTTTTGGTATTATGTCGTTTACTATTATTTAGTGAAAGACTACACTTTTGTGTTGTTGTGACAATATGAATTCAAAATGTAAGACCTAATTCTGTGTGGCGTTGCTTGATTATTAACTGTCAATTTGAATATGTGTATAGAATCAATCGTTATGTCAATCAGTGTTTTCCTGATATCTTCCATTATTTCTAGAAGAATTCTCTTGTTCTTTTCAGTTTTCAATATTTTGTAGTCGTAACGTTTTTGTCGAACCAGTCAATAATGTCTTTCTTCTGGTGTATAAGTGCATGAATGTCATTGATGATGTATTGTGTGTGTCACTGTTTTACTGTTTAGTTGGTATTCATAAATTCCCTTGAACTTTCTGACAAATGAAACGACCAAATTACAGATTTTGACAGTTGTTGTTTTTTTCAATTAATTTATTCCTTTTTTAATGGTGTAAGTTGATTTCTATGCACAAGAATATTGGCTAAGGGTGTAGTCATGAGCTGACATCAGTTAGGGAACCATTGTAAAACAACTGTTTTGTTCTTGTTCAAGACTCTTCAACAGTACGCAATCAACGGGGTTTGAACCCCAGGACCTTCCGGTTGCAAGGCAAGTTCGTAGACCATCGAGCCATTGGAACCCGACCCAACGACCCATGAATTCCAGCTTTTGTTGATTCATGATATTATGTAGAGCAACCACCAGTCTCAAACTAGGATGTGAACAGCTGTCCAGTACTCCCTAGTTTTCCAGTCGTTCTCTAACTGGTGCCACTTTGTGAGCAAACACGAATATTTGTTAATAACACTTCAGTGAAATTTTATTAATAAAGCTACTATATTGAAATAATCTTATTTTAACAGGAAAGATTATTACCGACTAGATGGTTGGGAGGATGACAGTCGAAGACACCGTAGACTCATTCCAAATCCACACGGTACTAGTTATTCTTCAGCTGCCTTTTACAATGAAAATATACGTCGTCGATCTGTTGTTGCTGTTCAAAATCATTCTGATCAGTTGGCAAATCTTTTCAAAGAAGCTGGAGCACAACACGCTCGAGATTTCTCTGTCAGTGATGAATCAGCTACTGAAGTAAACTCACTGTCAACTGAATTACCGCCTGATAATACATCTGTGTGTTCAACTGTCAATGAATCAGTGGATACTACTGAGACTCTGGGTCCTGTAACTTTAACCTGGTTTCAAGAAGATATGCTTTATCCTGGCCGTCTATGCATCGACTTTAAAGGTTAGTTCTATGACAACCTTTTTTTTTTTCTTTTCATTTTCAAATAGTTCAGCGAAGAATCTCTTTTTCGGAGAGTTCATTCACTTAGCTGTACAGTCGCCATGATATATAATTATTTTTATGTATGTGTGTGTTCATTCAGTTTGTCAAAAATATCTCAAGAATAAAAATTAGTTTTGAGTAGTATATACATCATTAAAATATTTCAAGACAGTGATGAATAATGAAAATGCAACGAGGTGAGGGAGGTAAAGCTTAGTAAGTTTAAACTAAAGTTGCGTAATATGAAAAATGTTCAGAAAAAACAATTGGATGTTAATGGGAGAGTATGAGGAGGAGAGTGAACAAAAAGTTAGTTTTGGAAATGATGTTAATAAATGTCACACAAAAATGTACAAAACAGTGTTAATAATGAAATACTGATAACAATCAAGCTTTGAACTGTAACCAAGGTGGTAGAAGGACAAGATGGAGAAGTTTCCTCTATGTGCATAAATCAGTGTTTTCCATACATTTATTCCCCTTAATGAATTTGAACAAAGCAAGAACTACAGTTTTAGCAGAATAATAAAGTGGTACCATCTTTTATTTCGTTGCCTTCTCGTCAGCTGCTTACAGGGCAAAGACATTATTAAATGTATCTACAAAAAACAATTTTAACATGCTTGCACAGAGTTCATTTTAAACAAAAGTCAATCGATCAATATACGCATACACTAATAATATATACATATATGTATGCACTATTAAACACTATTCCGAACAATAATAATCATACACAATGGAAACTTTTCAGCATTTCGCATTCGGATGAAAGAGAGATAAAAAAATTTCCATTAACCAGGGCAAAGAAAGACTGATAACCGCTTCTTTCTGAAGGCATAAATCAGGTTTCAGGCGCTTGATGGAAATGACTTCAGCAAACTTAAGGGGAATTGAGCTCTTTTGCCTAGTGATAATTTTGAACGACTTTTCGACGTCCACCTCATGACCCGTGTCGAGGAGATGCCTGGCGATGGCACTGTTTAAAGCATCTATTCCCTTTAGACGTAAACTTTTCGGTACACGGTCATTGGAAGAACAGAAAGAAGGACATATCTTACATATGCCTTGGCCAGTGTTGAATGTATGGTTCACTTGTAATACTCCTTATTGATCCATTGTGGCATTTCTATAACCAAACAGGATAATGTTCTTCTTTGACTCTTTTAGATAAAACACACATTGAACAACCATTATATCTCGCTATGTATGCTATGTGTTTTGACAGACTAAATGTACGCACACAAAAATAATTATCTACAATTGCTATTGTACGGTTAAATTAGTGAATTTACCGTAAAGCGATTCTCCGCTGGGTATTTTTCGTGCGTTTTTCAGGAGTGGCTTTATTGCATATTCCTGCCAATTTTAACCTCTCAGTTCGTTGCTATAGTGATTTAATGACAAGCTATACTTTTATGTCTTTTAAATGAAATTTTACATTAAAAATTATTTTTCTGGTGAACATATCATTGATGGATGTGAGTTGGTGGTACAGCAGCAGAATGCTCGCCGACCACACTGGTGGTTCGGGGTTCGATCCCCGGCCGTCGCACTCCTTTACTTTGCTAAGCCAGTAACAAGACTGGTAAAGAGGGAAGGTTGGGCATGAGGCCAGCAACCCCATCCCGTAAAAATAAACCCCACTGCCACAGAAACTTCATGTCTCTTAGCTTGAAGACCTATGTTCCACTGGTAACGTAAAGGAATAAAAAAAGATATTATTGATGGTATTACATTCTTGAACTCTGTTATATTTGCTGCACTGTTTATCATAACAGTTTCGTTTGATACTGATATCTGCGCAATATAATGAATCAAAGAAGGCGGCAGATTTAAAAGTTAGACGTATATTACTGAATTTTTATGAAATTATGCTGGTATATTTTTGACCTGTTTATACACTGAAACGCCCTAATACCTGTGGGATAAAGCAGATGGCGCCACTTTAAAAAAGGGATATGCCATATAGTCGCTCTTTTTTTTCAGTTTCAGTTATATTTTGGTGGCCTGCTCAAAACCTGGGTTACCGAAAACCTTCATCGATATATTGCATATAGTTTCTTTTATTCAATTTGTTTAAATCTAATAAAATATGACCTCCAGCAGTATTGTTTACTTTGGCGTGTATTTAAAACATTTACAATCTGCTGATTCTCACATTTCTACTAAACATGAGAATGTAAGCATTATCCTCGATGTCAGTTTACCCCAGTACATGAGATGACCGTTCCCGAGTGGTGTTCTTGGTTCATAAAATAGACTCCTGAACTTTTTATTATCGGCATTCATCAACAAATGTCGTTTATAAAAGAAAAGAAGGCGTTCAGCGAAGAGACTCTTTTCGGCGAATTCATTCACTGAGCTGTACAATCGCATTTATATACAATTTTGTTTGTGTGTGAGTACATTAGATTTATAAAGTTTAGATAGTTACGTAATATAAATATTATTTGGCTTGGAAACAAACGTTAAGATAGAATATAAAATAGAATTGATTAAGTGAATTGGATGACGTAATACAATTGAGTAGGTCAGGTTGGCAACAGTGTTAATGAGTGGTGGTTAAAATTAAATAAGGGTGGGGGTAGAGAATAATACAGTTGAAAATTGAGTAAGTTAATCGGATGACGTAATATAGTTGGCTAGAAATTGGACGTGGATCGAGTTGGCAACATTGTTAATGAGGGTAGAGATTACGAAAGGGTGGGGTAGAGAATAATACAAATGAAGATATGAAATAATAAAATGCAAAAGACAAAATAATACAATTAGTAAGACTGAAATTAAGAAAGATTACGTCCATTGTAGATTTAATGAATGAACGAATTTCTTTTGTATGCAGAGTTCAGGATTTAGCAGACGAATTGCCATTGCTTCTGCGATGTGGAGAAGTTTGATCCGTACACTTTTAGCAAGATTGCCTTGTATTCTGTAGATAACTTTGAAGTTTATTTGTGGTTTGACTTGGTGTCCAGATTCGATCAAATGTTCAAGGATCGAGCTGCGGGGGCATCGGTTTTCTCCTTTATAAAACCATGAAGGTAAATGTTCGTTGACGCGTTTGGATAGCGAACGCTGAGTACGGCCGATATACCTGGCTCCACACGAGCAGGTGAATTGGTAGATGCACATAGATGAGGCCAACAGCGGTAGCTTATCCTTCACGTTCATGCGAATCATTGGTCTCATGGAGAACGTCAGTCGTAATTCAGCTGCAAAGAAGGTTTTCTTCAATGAGTGGGAGAGCCAATTTCTCAGTATTTCTGTAGATTGGTCTCCATTGAACTGTAGGTTCATATAGAGAAGTCGTTTACTTTGTCGAAGGAGAAAAAGAAGAGATATCATCATGGATTACTGGTTTGCGCTTCCGGTTAGATAGCGTTGTGTCACACGATCTGCTGTCAATTAATCTTTTACTTGAAGATCCTGGGCGAAGAGAAAATATCATGCAATAAACCCGGTTGAAAATCCTTTACATTATATAAACAGTGTTCAGAATAAAGCTATCACTACTATGTTATATTTTAAAAAAGATTTCATTCTTTGTAAGATTTTTAACATGATTTGTGAGTTCGTTGGCTTTCCCCATTTTTCGCCTTCAACCACCCTCCCCTCTCATTCGTCTAGTTATGTCATAGTCCTGTTCATGAGCTTGTACAAACAGCATATTTCATTCTACATGCCAAGTTATGCAATGACACCAAGCTTAACATTGTAATCAATATTTTCTTGACCACATTCGGCAAATCTCTTAAGTCAGCATTTCATCATTAACTAAGAATAAAACCATAGGAAATAAGTGTAAATCAATCGAAAGTCCCTTTTGACAATCATTGATTGCTAGGGTGTTTGACTCCTTGGAAGATTAAGATTCACTGCTGCTTCGCAGTGTTTGAGAGTGAGGAATGTTTCACCTACATAATTTTGATTCGGTTAATTAACTTTACAAACTTTTAATATTGCAAAATATTTTGTTTTGCTTTTTTTCAGATAATGCCAACCTGTCTGTACCATGTATCCTAGTCTCATTAGGCGTAACTATCCATGGGACATTATCTGTTTCAAAGTATGAATTATACTTTGAACAGGATGCAGCTAATCCTTTGAATGAATTAATTGACCAGCGAGTAAGTTCACTGCTAAATTTAACATATTTTTGTAAAATGGTTGCTTAAATCATAAAAGTCATTGGTTGGCAAAGAATATTCTTTTCGTAACTTCATTTCAAAACTGTACAGTTATATAGTGTGCGTCGGTGGTACAGTGGTAGGATGCTCGCCGACCACGGAGGTGGTCCGGAGTTCGATCCCCGGCCGGCGCACTGGTTCACCTCGCTAAACCAGTAATACGACTGGTAAAGAGGGAAGGTTGAGCTTGAGGCTAGCAACCTCATCTCATCCCTTAAAAATAAACACCACTGCTACGGAAACTTCAAGCCTCTAACTTGTAGACCTATGTTCCACTGGCAATTTAAAGGACTAAAATATACAGTTAAATAGTGTTGTTCTTAAGTCAGTTCTTCTTTATGGATCACGAAAAGCACTTCGAACAGGCTATTACAGACTTGTATCAACAGATGCCTTCGCTTGCTGCATATTGAGGATGAAATGCCCAGCTGGCCAGTAAGGATTAGCAGCAAGAAACTATGGGAAGAAACTAACTGTCGTTCAACAAACATGCAGGAGAAAATGGATTGGGCACACGCTAAGGAGACCGTCAAATGACATCGCGCTCCAGGCCCTCGAGTGGATCGTCCGAGGTTGACATGGAGGAGATCGTGCGAGGAGGAGGTGAGAGATTTTGGACAATCGTGGGCTCAGCTAAAGAGGACGGCAGAAAATAAAACAAAGTGATGTGTTGTTGTGAAGTCCTATGTTCCACTCGGAACCCATAGTGTTGTAAAAGGTCACGGAAACACCTATAAGGTCAGTCGTTCATATCAATTAGTAACAAGACATATGAATTCACATATCAAGCAAAATAATAAATCACGTAATCTAAAAACAATAAATGATGAGTCACCGTTCATAAATGATTACCTTTAAAAATTACAAGAGCTTGGAAACAAGGATATTGTTCAAAAGAGTAAGCGAAGAGATTCAGAACATTTATAAAGTATAAATAAAAGTTAAGAGTTTGAAGGGATGAAAAGGGACGAAGACAAAAACCCAATGGATATCAAATTATTGTACGAGTTAAAGAAAGGAAAGTTTAAGACTACAGTGGTACACGGGATTGGATAAACCGCTTCTGTACACACAGTTCATAGTATTCCTTGTGTTTATCAAGTTATAATGAAGCATAATTATTGACCAAACAAGATTTAACATATATATCCTATGATTTTCACATAGTTAAAATCCAAGGGTCATTGAATTCCGGCCCAAGTTGCAGAATAGACAACAACTCTAGTCTTCTAACCTGAAGGTCCTTGATTCGATCTCTGGTAGGGTCATGGGCGCTAACTGGTGAAGAGTCCAAAAATAGGACGAAACAGCTGTCTAATACGCCCTGGTTTCCAGTGTTTTTCTAACCGATGTTGGTTCTTGGCAAAATCCAACAATTATAACATACTTCTTCTGTTTTGTCTAATTCTGTATTGATTTTTTAAACACGAAATCAAGTTATGCTCACTGAGTGCTGTTCACTGGCTCATCATTAGACAGATATGTATAACTAACTGAAAAAATAGATTGTACTTTACTTTTTTTTTCTATTTGTATGGTTCTAATTATCACAGACTTTGGATATCTTATCCCCTTAAAATAGCCAACTAAAAATGATGTCCGCATGTAGCTCAAATAGAATTTTACACACTTAAGAATAAGAATGGAAATAAGTTGAAAAATGAAAGAAACAAAGGAATAGTCACACGAAGATATGGGGTCAGTACATGAAATCATCGGCTGTTGTTAGCCTGCGACGTATAACGAAGGATCTTATCAACAGGGTTTTTAAAGACTTCACTGGAAATGTCAGGCTTAATTTTGAATTTAGATGCAACACATATTTCTTTGATGTGCTGCTCATAAAAGGAGACCTGATAGGTTGGTAAAAAAAAATCAATTTACAGAAAATCGACATGGAGGAAGCGGGACAACTGACTGGTTTTTCCACCTTTGTTCCCATGGTCATTCAAAAATAAAACTTGTTTTTTTAGAGAAGACAGTGTTAATGAAGAACTTTGACAACTGAAAGAAACTTTTATAGAAGCTTTGTTGAGACGAATAGTAAATTATAGGATAGAAATACATAATAGAATAAAGTACCTAAGAAAGTGTTGCATCCAAACTTAGAATTTAGGAATAACATTGCGAGTGAATTCCTTGAAAACCGGTATAGGGAAGTGTTGATTTTCTCGTAGATGCATATGTGAATCTTTTTTCCGTTGCTTGCTTTGTAGAACTGTCCTTCCACCCCCTCCCCAACTGTATTTACAGATTAAAGGCGTGGAGAGAGTGACCACTATCCGGCTATTCTTGATCCTACTGATGCTATCTGTCTGTCTCTACCGTTCATAATGTTGATATTTGATTTTATATGATACATTTCTTGGTACGTTCATATAGCGTTCCAAGTCAACATCATCAATGTTTACTTCAGAATATAATGTCCTCATGGAATCCAGAGCCAGTATATTATGACATCACACTTTAGTACATTAATTCCATCTATCATAAGCTCTTAAAACCTTTAATATGGAAATTTCTACTTCAAAATGATCGTAAACTGGATTCTTTTTTATTTTCCCTTTTTTCTCTCTGTTATTTTACAGGTTTTAGCATATATTGAACATGTTTATAGTAGATGGTCATTGTCAGAAATACGTGCAATCTTTAATCGTTCCTTTTTACATCGTAAAGTTGCATTGGAAATATTTGTGGCCTCAAGAGGTAAGCTTTTACAATTGGTTGACTACAATAAACCAAAAAGACTATTAGAATTTATTTTCACTAAATTACCCTTGCACATTGACAGTTCAGTATATAATAATATACTTAGGTGAATTAGCGATTAAGTAATATTTGAATTATCAAGTAATTGGGATTTTGTGGGGGGTGTGAATTGATTATAAAACAACATCGGTTGGAATATTATTTAAATCCAGAAAACACTGAACAGCTGCTCACTTCATAACCTGAAGGTCTCTGCTCTTAACTTCATCAAAACTCATCACGTTTCTGACCGACATGAGAAGTTGGATGGTGACAACTTGGCCTTGATCATTACCACTCACTAATTAGAATTTACATGGGAAATTTTTGGCTTAATGGTCTACGAGCTCGCCTTGTAACCGGAAGGCTCTGGGTTCGAACCCCTGTGGGTGCGTACTGGTGAAGAGTCCCCAACCAGGGCGAAACAGTTGTCCAGTACTCCCAGCCTTTATAATGGTTCTCTAACCAATGTCAGCTCATGATGAAATCCTGTAACCAATCAGCCAAATCCCTACAAATCAATACTTGAATATCACTAATTTATAGTTTAGATAATCAATTATTGTGTTTAGTAGTGTTACTAATTTTAGTTAATACTGTAGCCAATTTTAAACATCGAAATCCATAGGAACTCACATGTATTCTGTTAGCATTAGGGTAATCTAATATATTACATTATAAGTCAGTTCCTCTATATGGCTTAGACACTTGGTGGTGTGTCATCAAATGCATTTCCAACAGGCTTCAGACTTTTATCGGCAGTTACCTTCTCTGGCTTGATGCTCAAGATCAAATGACCAGAGACGATTAGCAAAAAGAAACTCTCGGAAAGAACCAACCAAGAACCTAAAGCCGAACAAATATGCATAGCGAAATGAAGATAGACTGGACATACGTTGAGGTGACAGTTGAGCATTATCATGCTCCAGGCTGTTGGGTGGGGAGGTCAAACAGGGAACGAGAAATTGGGGGACATAGTGTGAAGAGGGAATAACAATAATAATAAAATAATATATCAGTACTGTGCAGATTATACATGCTGATTGGTCGGTGGGATATTGCACATTTCCATGATTCGTTTCCAATTATGTTTTTTAATTGAATATTAATAAGCACTCGGCTTCATTTCGCTTGTAATCATTTTATGGAGTTTAAGCGTCACAATATCTCTATTCAGTTGTGTCACTCACCTATTATTCCACAGAGGTATAAAAAAGAGAAGACGTTCAGCGAAGAGACTCTTTTCGGCGAATTCATTCACATAGCTGTACAATCGCATTTATATATAATTATTTGTGTGTATGTGTACATGAGGTTTGTCAAGTTTAGATAATTGATCAGGTAATACAAGAATGATCTAATATAGAAACAAGGTTAATTAGACAGCAACTAAAGTAAGATTGAGTTAGTAGGTTAGGTGACGTAATATAACTGACTAAAATGTTTCAAATTTGATCAAGATAGCAACAGAGGTAATTACAGATAGAGACTAAGTAGAAGTGGGGTAGAGAGGTATAAAAATTAGTAATGAAGTAGTTTCTACTTTCTTCCTTCTTGTCTTTTGAAATAAAATTTCATATACCAAAATATAAGGAATAATTTGTAAGGGAAACTCATCTGGCTTTTACACTTGTTGGCTTTATATGGCATAAGTTTATCTACAACCTTTTGTAATTTGAAGTTGTGTCATTCAGTAACGAATTCGACTTCTTTATCACTTAAATTATTCATATCATAATTGTACACTGAAACAAGTATTACTGTATGTATAGTAACCAGTTTACCTGCCTATTTAATTATTTCGATTTTCCTTGTGTCAGACTGTTTGTGTGAAGTGGTAGAGCGTGTTGACTACTTCACTTATTTGGGGAGTTGCATCAGCCATCAGCTGACAGAATCTTGGAACGGATACAGAAGGCTCGTTTCGCCTATGCCAGTTTACGCTGTCTCTCTGGTTCAGTAGACGTGATATCCGGCTATCGATCAAAGGGCGAATGTACTGCTCATCAGTGCGCTTCGTCCTCCCTTATGGCTGTGAGTGAGATATATGGAAATTGAGAGTGGAAGACATAAGAAGACTAGCTTTTTTTGATCATATGTGCCTGCGTTTTATCTCCCGTGTGAAGTGGTATAATAGGGTGAGCAATATTGAGGTTAGGATTTGGTCGAGTGCTAGGTAAGGAGGGGAAATCAATAGACGAGACTGTGAAGCTTCATCGACTGAGATGGTTAGGATATATGTTATGTATGCATGCCTAGCCATCGTCTTCCCTGACTGACAATGTTAGCTGACATAGGGTCAGGCTGGAAAACAGCTAGCGGCGGTCAAACCAAAACATGGCACCAGTCAATGAATGCACAGCAGTTTAAGCCAGCTGGCCACGTAGGGAGGTGTAGACTTCCGGGTTAGGGTCTTCGGGCGGTAAACAATGACTGAGATAATCGGTGATATGGCTCAAATTGTTCTCAATGGGTGGCGGAGATGCATCCACTCCTTGTGACTTATAATTTCCAATAAAGCTTTATTGTTCTCTCATCATATTGCTATTCTTTTGCCTCATATCTCTGTTTACTGTCTCTATTCGCCTTTCTTTTACTTCTCTTGCTTTGTGTACTGCATGGAGTTTGGCGACTTGAACTGCTGCATATCGCTGCAATTTCTATGTTGAAAACAGACAGACAGACTCTCCGTCAAGTATTATTTTTTGTGACGGCTGATGGCACTACCCAATCAATCACTTACATTGAAGCATGGGAAGTGGGATTTTAATCTTATGTTGAATAACTGTAATTTACCTACGAGTCACTGAGGCACATCTCTGTCTCTAGTACCAAGCATTGACTAGTATTTATCGATCACATTAACAATGGTATAACTGTGCTTTAAACAGGTACATCTACTTTTAGGTTATTTTCACATTCCCCGTTGACTGACTGATTGATTGATCTTCTTAGACCGAAATCCTCAGTCCGTTTTTACATGTCGTCTCCTACTACGGACTCTCCGAGGATGTTTTAGGATTGACATGAAGTTATTTTGGTTGATGTTGACTAGGAGTGGAGTCTAGGAAGCACATTTCGTCCCTCATAACCTAGTAAATGATGCTTCGGTGTTTGAAACGATGGATGTAGGGTTCAAATCTCGTTGAGAATGCAAGTACATCGGGTTGGATGAAATACCCATCCACTGTTAGTCCACCATCAACACGGTACTGCCTTTATGAGAAACAAGTTGTGCAGTTAGCCATACTTTTTAAATCCGACATTATAATAATATTCTATTTTTTTTCTTCATTTAGGTTCCGTACTTTTCGCGTTCAAAGATGTTGCCACTATGAAATCAATTGTAAATGCTTTACCTGAAGTAGGCATAGGCACAAGATATGGTCTGCCTGCATCCAGATCGTCTACATTAGCTCCACCGAGTAAAATATTTCAACTATCCAATATGACACAACGTTGGCAACGTCGTGAATTATCAAATTTTGATTATCTTATGTATTTAAACACAATAGCTGGTCGTAGTTATAATGACTTAAATCAATATCCAATATTTCCATGGGTTATTTCAAATTATGATGCCAGCGAATTAGATTTATCCTCACCATCTAATTATCGCGACTTGTCGAAACCGATTGGTGCTATAAATCCTAAACGTAAAGCATTTTTCGATGAACGTTATAATAATTGGGAAGATGAAAGTCGACCACCGTTTCATTATGGTACACATTATAGTACAGCTGCATTTGTATTGAATTATTTACTACGTGTTGAACCGTTCACTACTGTGTTTCTTAATCTACAAGTATGTCCATATTTATTGAAACCTGTTTTGTTCCACTCTCGTCTTTACTACTTATGTATTAGGGCTTGTTATAATGTCATTAGCTCAGAAAATGAATGCCAGTGTCTTATGCAGTGAAATCAATGTGTTGAATCTGGTAACCCTGTGTTATTTCTCCCATGCAATTAGTGTTATGCTGTACTGCTTAGGTGTTTCTATTTAATTTCTTCATAGATGTACTAATGGACTTAACCCTAAGTGACTTCAGCGACTCAGGGATTGACTCGTTACCATCAGGGAATAATCTCGTTGACGTAGAATATGCAGATGATATTGTCCTTCTAGGTGTAAACGCTAACAAAATGCATAGTCTCCTGAACATCTTGAGCTGCAGTCTTCGAATGTTTGGCATGCGATTCACTCCCGTCAAATGTAAGATGATGAGGTTACAGGATTGCACTACACTGATTCCTAGTTTACGGATAAGGAGTGAATTGGTAGAGCGTGTTGACCACTTCACTTGTTTTGGAATCTGTATCAGCCCCAACGGGTTGATCTATGACGAAATCTCAGCACGGATAAAGAAGGCTCGTTCGGCATTTGTCTCGATCAAAGCACGTGTACTGCTCAGCAGTCCACTCTGTCCTTCTTTATGGCTGTGAGACCTGGCCATTGAAATAGGGGGAAGACATGAAAAGACTGGCTAGCTAGCTGTCTTTGATTATAGGTGCCTGCATTCTATCTTCCGTGTTAGTTGGTATAATAGGGTGAGCAATATTGAGGTTAGGATTTGGTCGAGTGCTAGGTAAAGAGGGGAAATCAGTAGACGAGGCTGTGAAGTTACATCGATTGAGATGGTTAGGACATGTGTTACGTATGCCTAGTCATCGCTGACATAGGGTCAGGCTGGAAAAGAGACATTGGTGGTCAAACCAAAACATGGCATCAGTAAATGAAATCCACTTACTGTTTGGGGTCTTCGGGACGGTAAACACCAATGGCTGGAGACAATCGGTGATATGGCTCGAAGTCGATCTGATTGGTGGTGCAGATGCATCCACTCCTTGTGACTTATAATTTCCAATAAAACTATTTTGTTCTTCGATATTACTATTCTTTTTGCCTCATATCTCTGTTTACTGTGTCCACATAGCATTTCTTTTAACTTTCTTCTCTTGCTTTGTGTGCTACATGGAGTGTGGCGACTTGAACTGCTGCACATCGGTGCAAAGTTCTCTGTTGAAAACAGATGAACTGACAGATGTCAGTTGGAAAATCACTGAATACCAGGGAGTATTGGACAGATGTTCCGTCCTGGTTTGGGACTCTTCGTCAGTATAATACTACGACCCTATCAGGGGTCGAACCCAGGACGTCCATGTTACGTGACTAAGATGGTTGACTATTTAGCCACTCGGGCAGGAAGTCAATACGCCCATGAATTCTAACTTCTGTCAATTCAATGATTCTCTAACCGGCATTAATGAGTGATCAAACTTCAAAACAACCAAAGATCGCTAAAATCTAAATCTTGAAATCACAAGGTTACCTATTGTTATTCTAAACAACACTTGCACTGATGAATAACACGCATTCTTTTTTTTCTGTTTCATAACAAAATTGTATTCTGAATGTATTCTTCCTCCATTTCATTCATTCATTACTTTTTCTATTTTAATGAAGGGTGGTAAATTTGATCATCCTGATAGAATATTCTTTTCAATTGCAAAAACCTGGGAGAATTGTCAGATTAATACATCAGATGTCAAAGAATTAATTCCAGAATTCTTCTACTTTCCTGAAATGTTTGAAAATTTAAATGATTTAGATTTAGGCATAACAGATGATGGTATTCATGTTGATACTGTGATACTTCCACCATGGGCAAAAACACCTGAAGAATTTGTACGAATTAACCGTGAGGTAGGTTGATCATTGAATTGCTTCAATATGTGTGTTGTTTTTGTTTTAATTGATCATTATATAACCCATGTCTTAACGGGTGTTAATTGGAGTGAAATGTCAATCAATCAAATCCATGCAAACCAACATTTGAAAATTAATAGAATGCTAACTAGCGACTGTCTCTATACAGGAAGTTGCCTGGAGTTCTTGTGTGTACAGTCGTGACCAGTGGGGTCTGCCAATTCAGCTAAGAGGACAGTTACTCGCCGATGACATTGACCGGCGGTTGCGATATATATGTCGGGAATTAGGAAAAGGAATTCATGGGCAATTGAATCAAGTCCCAGTGTTGAATAGTCCGCGAAATTATCTTGTAGCCGTAACGTGCTGGTTTCGTACCGCTGAAGAGTCCGAAACTAGGACGAAACGGCTCTGCAGTACTCCCCGGTTTTATCGAATGGCTCTAATTGATTTCAGCTCGTGATCGAATTCCTGCTAACCAACACTTGTGAAAGTGTTATTCATTCATTGGAGTAAATTGGGTCCATAATCTGAAAGCCATTAGATCCACCCACTATCTAGGATTTTGTTCCACTCTAATCGCCACTGCCAACATATATCGTTGTTTTTTTTTTAGAACAAAACAGGTTTTGTGATCAATAAGCAGGCGTGTCCTTTTTCGTATTTAACGAAATAAAATTAACACTGAACTGTTCCGATTTCGTCTGTAATCAGAGTGTTAATATTTAATAACAAGGAAGAACCTCCATATTTGTTCTCGTATGTTCTTCTTAAGTTTATCAAGTTCTTTTGTGAGCATATTGTGACACTGTAGACTCAGTCTTGTTCATCATTCACACCGTAATCAATAGGTCGTGATAACGGAAATGCTCACCAGAACTTTCAAAAGTATCAGTTTATTTAGATGACCTCAATTAGATTAGCTTATTGTGTGTGACAGACTATCATAGCTCTGTTAACTTTGCTTAATTTAAGTAGGTTTCAGTTGATACAATAATTTCATACAATGATTCCTTTTTATAAATTTGAACAAAGAAAGAAGAAACATTGGCGCAGAATAATCTGGATCCATCTTATTTCGTTGGTTCTCATCAGCTTCGTACAATTTTTGTCCATTAGCAAGCATAGTGTCAGAGCGTCATAGTAGAATAAGGCATTGAGATTTACAGGGTGTCTGAAGTGTCACAACATATATATATATATCTTGGTAGAGAGAAGTTTCTTGAAAAAAATTAGTTAACAGTTGTGTTGTTAAGGTGGTAACAAAAGACAATTAGCAACAGTTACGTAATCAGATAAGAGAAGATCAAAATTTTAAAATTACGGTGCACATGAGGTCAGATGAGAAGCTGATGATGTAATACAGTGAGCAGAACTCAGAAGATCAAGGAAAATTATCTCTTAAGAGAGTCAAGCGAAACATAAAGGAGGAGTTGGAGTGAAGAGATAAGTTAACAAAATTAGAAAACAAAGAGTTACTAAGAAGTGAGTTACCAGGGTAATTGAAGTCCATCAACGGATTCTTTTTGGACACATAAGTCAGGCTTCAATCGTTTTATTGCTATAGCTTCAGCAAACCTGAGAAGACTTGAGGTACTTTGTCTGTTAATTATTTTGAATGATTCCAGCACATCTACTTGGTGTCCTGTGTCAATCAGATGTTTGGCGAATAAAGAGCTTAAATAATTCGGTCCTTTTAACCGGAGGCTCCTTGGTACATATTCGCAGAATCTGACGTAGGCCCTCCCGCAGATACATGGAAATTGGTAAACACAGTTGTCAATCTTTGACTCCATCAGTGAAGAGGTTGTTGGGGATAGAGAGACTAATAACGCTGCAGGATACGTCCTAGACAGGGCTGCGCTTGATCTTTCATTTACCATTCTTATAATGTCGTCGCCCCTGTAGTCGAGTTTGATGAAAATAGGCTTCTTACTGACTGTAGCAGTATCTAACTTCTTGAGTTGATTCTTGCCATATTTGTTAATGAAACTTTGTGGGTAACCATTTTCTTTCAAGCATTTTTCAAGAAACATTAGTTCACTGTCTAGTTTGTTTGGTGAACATATTCTCTTCGCTCTAGAGAAACGCGTTTTCACCAGCGTTCGTTTGTATCTCACCAGGCAGAAGCTGTTGAAATTCAAGTAAAGATCACTCCATGTGTCTTTACGGTATACAGATCTTTCGAGTGTCCCGTCGTATTTTCTCTCCAACTTTACGTCCAAAAAAATGGAATTTTTCATCATCTTCATGCTCCATCGTGAAAGTGATGCTTTTGTGTACATTGTTGAAAGAGTCTAATAGAGACGAAGCGTGACTCAAATCATTGCATACAATGAATGTGTCATCAACGTATCTATAGTAGGCTGTTGTTTCGCCAATTGCACACTTGAGCTTTGTCTGTTCAAGACTGGCCGTAAAGATATCAGCTAATATCGGCCACAGTGGACTCCCCATTGCCACACCATCAATACAATACAACAATTTTATTATTACCATTATGGGTAAATTTTTATTTTGATAGTCTCACAGTGTTATACAGTAATATTTACTGATGACGTTTCGAGCACAAACTATTGCTCATAATCATATCAAGTAACTTGATACCCATAATGGAATTACACTCTACCACAGTGCCCAAGTTTTATTCTTATATCAATTTTATTATTAGTCACAACTATAAGTATAAATGAATTCATTGGATAATGACAGTTGTTTAAAGTTATCTAAGCGTAGAATGCAAGCCTTTTATTTTTTTTCTATTACAAATGAAGCAAAGTATTTGTGTAACCTACATGAACATTCGTGTAGAACAGTCGTCAACCTTGAATAGTTATTACGATAATGTTGACATTGTCTGTCACCCATTTGACCTTGACTTGTTATTCCAATATGTGAGCTTCATTACCATTGGTTTATCATAGGATTATTGATTTTGTCTAGTTTATTTTTTTATTTGTTTGGCGGCTTCTATAGTCTAAATATGTTCACGTGCTTTTTTAAAGTTAAATGCTTTTTCAAGCATTTCTTCAAAGCTTGTGACCCTGCATGTTATGGGCGTTTGTTTTTTCCTCACTGCATTCTAATTGAAGTTTGGAATTTTCTCATCCTTGGCTATTCATTTACCTATTTACCAATCATATTTTTTTTCTTAGCCTACTGTGATTGAACACTAGGTAGCAATTAATGTCATGTCTTTAATCCTTCGTGTTTGGTCCAGAATGAATTCTGTCAGTCAAGTTCGCAAGTTACCATCACTTTACACTCTGAAATGTTGTTAGATGGTTGAAGGCAATCGGAAAGAAATCTTCGATCTAGATTCCGTGCTTGACGTTTCTGAAGTCTTGAAGGAATTCATGTTATTTCTAAGATTCGAACCTGAGTCCGACCCATTTCTGCAGTGAGAGATGTTACTACTGTGCTTTTTGGGCTCACGATTGACCTCCTGTAGGACTGTAATGGATACTTTGACTGGACACTAGGTGGTAAGTAGTGTGATGTATCTAGGGTCGTGAGTTCCTTCAAGACTGCAGATATGCCTTGCTGACAAGTGTCGACAAGCACGCGAAACCTAAGTACCAGGCTTTCCACCGACTGCCTCCAACCATCTAGCAATTTTTGAGCTTCTTTTGTAGCATTTTATTAAGATAAACTTAGGCGATAAGGTTGAGAAAATGTTCACTATTTTTTAGCAAATTACATCTGTCATTACGCATATGGGATCATGGCGGTAAAAGATAAATAACTGTAGCCAGGAGATGAGCGTCAGCGGAAGATTAATCATTCCTACTCAATGTATAGTATGATATTGTGATTATTGCCCCCTGTATACCTTCGTTTCACCATAATTCGAGGCAATTTATGTGTTTGATAGGAAAGAGGGTATTTTTGGTAAATCAATGTTCCAGAATTTATGAGTATATTGGTTCCACAGCAGGCCGGGACAGCAATAGCACCTGATCCTGTGTCTTTTACACACATAGCTCCGATTGTTTTAGGCGAATTGCAATGGCGATATTCGGTAAGTTATTTGTTACCCGATAGATGCTAGAAAAAGACTCTTCATTGGTAGCTAGAGCTTTATGGCTTGTTTGGACCAGGTGGTCTAATATCGATCTGTTGGTGCTTTTAACTACACCTTCATTTAGCCATACTGGTAGGTGTTCCCGAGCACTAAAGATTAAGTTCCTAGAGCAACGGACAATATAAGTGGCTCCACGGAAGCAGTTGAAATGATAAATAGAATAAGTGATGGCCAGCTTAGTTACTTAGCCTTTCATTTTCGTAATCACAACTGGTCAGGTGGAAAGTGTGAGTTGCAGGTTACTGGCATTAAAAGTCCTTCGAATCAGTCTTCTGTTTATCCATTAATGATATCTCAATATATATTTTGTACCCTAATCCAGTGGAGTCTCAGATAAATTGTATATAGTTCATTATTCTATGTTTTTTAAGTGATAATGTATGTATCCTATCAAACTGTTCTTGTTGTTGGTGTTTATGTTTCTCCTTATCGTATCTTCATCTTTATTATTATGTTTTCTTTTTGTATAGGCATTAGAATCTGAACTAGTCTCATGTCAATTGCACCATTGGATAGATCTTATCTTTGGTTATAAACAACGCGGTCCTGAAGCTGTTCGTGCTACCAATGTCTTTCATTATTTAACCTATGACGGAAGCGTTGACTGGGATAAGGCGAGTTTCTTTTTCTTCTCAGATTTCCTTTTGATATATATATGCCATTTCGTAAATATAGTGTAAATTCTTCTACAACTTATTTAATTTAATTCGGACTCTCCCCTCGGACTGATTGGACTGAAGTGTTCAGCCTCTTTTAAAATGTCGGCTCCTATTAGGAACATTTCGATGATGAACAAAGCTGATTATATTCATAAAATGATGACAATTCTAAACGACAAAGAAAAATTCCAAGTAGACAACAAAAAAGATGGCACAACGTCGTTTGAAAATAAAGTAAATAAATGTCTCAAAGAACTTCTAATGAAGAAACTAATCAACAGCGAAACATACAATAAACTGAAGTCAAAAGGTGGACGCCTGCCTTTTATGTACGGCCTACCGAAAATCCATAAAGCAAACGTGCCTTTAAGACCAATCTTGTCAATGATTGACTCACCATGCCACAAGTTAGCTCAATGGTTAGCTGATTCCATAGAGCCAATTCGAATTAAATTTGCAACCCATAGCCTGAAGGATAGCTACCAATTCTCCAAGGAAGTCGACAACATTGACATATCAGACAAACTCATGGTATCGTATGACGTGACCTCCTTGTTCACAAACGTACCACTGATGGAAACGATTGATATCATTTGTAAACAAACGGATCTACTACCGTTACCGGAAACAGAGATGAAGCGACTACTGCTGCTCTGCACAAAAGATATTCAATTCAAATTCGACAATCAACTCTACCGACAAATTGATGGGGTCGCTATGGGTTCACCTCTGGGACCTATCCTGGCTGATATCTTCATGGGCTACCTTGAACAGACACAACTAAGTTCTGCTATCAATGGAACAACCTACTATCGCCGATATGTTGATGACACATTTGTTGTTTGCAACGACATGGATCACGCATCGGCATTATATGATCGCCTAAATGAGATTCATCCAAATATCAAGTTCACCATGGAATATGAACATAAAAATGAGTTCAATTTCCTGGATCTAAATGTAAAAAGAACAAACGAAGGCATAATTGAAAAGTCCATCTATAGAAAAGAAACCTGGACTGGACAATATCTTCACTATAACAGCTTTTGTCCCATAAGCTATAAACGTGGATTAGTGAGGACTTTGTACGACAGAGCCAGGAAGCTATGTTCACCAAACAAGGTCGAAGAAGAACTAGATTTCATCGAGAAATGCCTGAGGGAAAACGGATATCCTAAAGGCTTTATACAGAAGTACAGCAGAGAAAAAGATAAGAAAGAAAAGCATCCAACTGTAGAAAAGAAAAAAGTGTTTATTTGTCTCCCATTCAAAGGAGATGCAGTTTCACAAAAGATTGACAGAAGACTGAAAGGAGCAATAAATAGAAGCTTCCCGGCAGCAAAACTCATAACAGTATACAACACCACTCCTTCCATGATCAACTCAAAACTGGATAAATACCCTGCTGATGTCACCTCCAACTGCGTTTATGAATTTACGTGCACTTGCGGGAGCAAGTACATTGGAAGGACAGAAAGAAGGGCTTCTATCCGGTTTTCTGAACATATTCCAAGAAATCTATGCCTGAAAGGAAGCAAATATTCTCAGAGTGCAATTACCAGACATATTGTTGATACCGGACATCTCGTAGAGATCTCTAAGTCCTTCAAAATATTAAATAGACAAAGGACAGCAAATTTACTACGATTTGCCGAAGCGATCGCAATCAAACGATTTAAACCAGACTTATGCATACAGAAAGAGAGTGTGATTAACCTCTCACTCCCTTGGTAACTGAATTTTGATTTTGATTAGTCATCAGTGATCTCAACTCACTGAGCAAATCTCAATCTTATAAACTGTAAATGCTTTTGTTTTTTGGAGTTGCCATGTGAACCTACAAACTAACACTGTTTCTGTTAATCAATTTTTCTGTTTTCTGTCTTACCTCTCCCCCCTCTTTTCAACTCTGAAAGTGTATAAATTGATGATGATAACTTAAACTAAAATTGTAATGCTTTCATTCTTTTTTGGATGCGTCAATTTTATCTCTTCTCTACTACTAATCAAACATTAAAGTATGTTATTATCATTTATATAACCATTGTAATTTCAGGTAGTCTGCAGCTGATGAGAACCTGTGAAATAGAATGATATCATTTTATACTGCAAATTTCGTCTTCCTTTCTTTATCGAAATTTATCAAGGGAACCAGTTGTATGAAGTTCTTAAAAAGACGCCTCCCTGCCAAAACTATTAAGTCACTGAATCAGGTGGTGACCATTCGATGCAGAATATCTAGAGAATCAACAAAAATCAGGTTCTATGAACAGTGTTTACAAACAGGTTGTTTCCCACGGCAGTTCCTGAAACAAGTGCGATCGGCTAAACTCCCACCTTCCCAAAAGAATCTCCGTCGAATAACAAAATCTCACATCGAATCCTCATACCAGTACCTCTCCGAATTGAAATCTCGTCTGGCTACCTATGATACCCTACTAAGCGAGCTTAATATTATTTGCTGGCTAAAATTCATGAATTTTATCAAAGAGCTACAATCAAAAACATCCAAGGATTATGAAACTCAGCTGACAAAAGCGTTGGTGAAAGAGAAGCTAATCGAAGAATTCCCAGAATCACCTGAACGCTACGTCTGTAATCTATCAAAATTACAATTAAACAAAATCGAATTAGAAGCCTTATCTCTAGGATTCAAGTTTCACGTCCCCAAGAAGCAGATCAGTCGTATAGATACAGAAGCACAATTCGAACACTTATACCATCAACTCCACGACCTGAAACCCTTAGACGAAGACAAAAGAGGATGGCTAAAGTCTAAACTTGTTGATATTGCTAACCAATACCACATATCGCCAATGGAGAAGCAAAAGATGCTGACCGAAGAGCATAGAATAGCTCTGAAGAAACTATATGAGAACGATGAAATCGTCATATTTAGACCTGATAAAGGCTCTGGGGTTGTTATAATGAACAAAGCTGATTATATTCATAAAATGATGACAATTCTAAACGACAAAGAAAAATTCCAAGTAGACAACAAAAAAGATGGCACAACGTCGTTTGAAAATAAAGTAAATAAATGTCTCAAAGAACTTCTAATGAAGAAACTAATCAACAGCGAAACATACAATAAACTGAAGTCAAAAGGTGGACGCCTGCCTTTTATGTACGGCCTACCGAAAATCCATAAAGCAAACGTGCCTTTAAGACCAATCTTGTCAATGATTGACTCACCATGCCACAAGTTAGCTCAATGGTTAGCTGATTCCATAGAGCCAATTCGAATTAAATTTGCAACCCATAGCCTGAAGGATAGCTACCAATTCTCCAAGGAAGTTGACAACATTGACATATCAGACAAACTCATGGTATCGTATGACGTGACCTCCTTGTTCACAAACGTACCACTGATGGAAACGATTGATATCATTTGTAAACAAACGGATCTACTACCGTTACCGGAAACAGAGATGAAGCGACTACTGCTGCTCTGCACAAAAGATATTCAATTCAAATTCGACAATCAACTCTACCGACAAATTGATGGGGTCGCTATGGGTTCACCTCTGGGACCTATCCTGGCTGATATCTTCATGGGCTACCTTGAACAGACACAACTAAGTTCTGCTATCAATGGAACAACCTACTATCGCCGATATGTTGATGACACATTTGTTGTTTGCAACGACATGGATCACGCATCGGCATTATATGATCGCCTAAATGAGATTCATCCAAATATCAAGTTCACCATGGAATATGAACATAAAAATGAGTTCAATTTCCTGGATCTAAATGTAAAAAGAACAAACGAAGGCATAATTGAAAAGTCCATCTATAGAAAAGAAACCTGGACTGGACAATATCTTCACTATAACAGCTTTTGTCCCATAAGCTATAAACGTGGATTAGTGAGGACTTTGTACGACAGAGCCAGGAAGCTATGTTCACCAAACAAGGTCGAAGAAGAACTAGATTTCATCGAGAAATGCCTGAGGGAAAACGGATATCCTAAAGGCTTTATACAGAAGTACAGCAGAGAAAAAGATAAGAAAGAAAAGCATCCAACTGTAGAAAAGAAAAAAGTGTTTATTTGTCTCCCATTCAAAGGAGATGCAGTTTCACAAAAGATTGACAGAAGACTGAAAGGAGCAATAAATAGAAGCTTCCCGGCAGCAAAACTCATAACAGTATACAACACCACTCCTTCCATGATCAACTCAAAACTGGATAAATACCCTGCTGATGTCACCTCCAACTGCGTTTATGAATTTACGTGCACTTGCGGGAGCAAGTACATTGGAAGGACAGAAAGAAGGGCTTCTATCCGGTTTTCTGAACATATTCCAAGAAATCTATGCCTGAAAGGAAGCAAATATTCTCAGAGTGCAATTACCAGACATATTGTTGATACCGGACATCTCGTAGAGATCTCTAAGTCCTTCAAAATATTAAATAGACAAAGGACAGCAAATTTACTACGATTTGCCGAAGCGATCGCAATCAAACGATTTAAACCAGACTTATGCATACAGAAAGAGAGTGTGATTAACCTCTCACTCCCTTGGTAACTGAATTTTGATTTTGATTAGTCATCAGTGATCTCAACTCACTGAGCAAATCTCAATCTTATAAACTGTAAATGCTTTTGTTTTTTGGAGTTGCCATGTGAACCTACAAGCTAACACTGTTTCTGTTAATCAATTTTTCTGTTTTCTGTCTTACCCCTCCCCCCTCTTTTCAACTCTGAAAGTGTATAAATTGATGATGATAACTTAAACTAAAATTGTAATGCTTTCATTCTTTTTTGGATGCGTCAATTTTATCTCTTCTCTACTACTAATCAAACATTAAAGTATGTTATTATCATTTATATAACCATTGTAATTTCAGGTAGTCTGCAGCTGATGAGAACCTGTGAAATAGAATGATATCATTTTATACTGCAAATTTCGTCTTCCTTTCTTTATCGAAATTTATCAAGGGAACCAGTT